GAAAAATCATGTATCAAAAAAAAAAAAAAAAAAAAAAAAAAAAAAAAAAAAAAAAAAAGAAAGAAAGAAAAAAAGAAAAACAAACAAACAAAAAAACTGAAGGGGGATATGCATACTTAATGATTTAGAAACTGACATAATTAACAGCTTGAGTGTAGAATTCCCAAGCCTGCCTCCCATCTATCAGGATCACAAGGATTTTTTATAAAAGGCTACAGTTTGAGCCTGTGCTATAATTCCTTTATTCAAACAGTGACAGTTATCAGTGACACTAGATTTTATAACATAACTATCATAGCAGATCCATTAGATAATAATCAATCTTACCCTTTGTGTTGCATTGTATAATAAATTGAATATATCCTCAAATGGATCTAAATTGCATTTCCAAACTTTAAACTATGATGGCCAGTAACTGTATGCTGGTAACATTTGGGATTTATAGTGCTAAATTTTTTAAGGTAGAGAACTGAAATTTCGGTTCATCTAAAAACACTTCTTTTTTATAAATTTTATTTAAATTAAAAAACAATCTTATTTTATATATCAATCCCAGTTCCCTCTCTCTACCTTCCTCCTCTGCCCCCCACGACCCTTTCCATCCCATCTCCCATCTAGTCCCCAGGGAGGGTGAGGCCTTTCATTAGGGATCATGAAATTTGTGTGAAGTTATTTGGGGCAGGGCTAGGCCCTCTCCCATGTATCTAGGCTGAGAGAGTAGCTCTCCATGGGAAATGTGCTCCCAAAGTCCATTTACGCACTAAGGATAAATACTGGTTCCACTATCAGAGGCCCGATAGACTGCCCAGGCTACCTAGCTGACACCCACATTCAGGGGGCCTGGTTCAGACCTATGCTGGTTCCCTAGCTGTCAGGCTGGGGCCTGTGAGCTCCCACTTGTTTAGGTCAGCTGTTTCTGTGGGTTTCCACAGTATGGTCTAAAAACATTTCTTATACCTCTTCCCATGCATTCATCCATCAATCGCTCATTTCATGGGCCCTTAATTATAAGTGATGAAAAGAATCTCTGCCCCATGTAACTTGTCTAAATTGGGTTTTACCTTTAACCCTGTAAAATTCAGAATTCATTGTATGGTGCACTGCCAGTGGCGTTGTTTCTGTCCACTGTTACTAAGCATGGAATACACATTGTTTTATAATGAGACTCTATCACAGTCTGGCAGGCAAAAGATAAATTTGCAGTGTTGGCCGTGCCCTCTAGACACAGACGTCTCAGCCCTTTTTTAGATGAAGACAAGCATATCTGACATGCTTAGTAAACACCTACACAGGAAGACTTGGTATTCAGACTGTATGGAATGACATCATAGTGTTCATGCCTTTGGTTCAGACTCTTGGCATCAAAGAATGGACTATCCCTTTGGCTTTAGCCATCTCTTGGCCTCTGAACAGACTTTCATCACTTGTCACTCATGTGTTAATAACTGATTGATAACATGGTATTCATCTGGTATTTTATCTTTTTGTCTATATTAACTTTCTGTCTCCTGTCAATGATGCTTGAAAAATTAAGCCCCTCTGTAAATATGGTTCTTAACTAGAATTTTTATGATGCATTACTGTAATTTTTTTCCTTTTAAAAACATTTTTAAATTACGTGTATAGAATTCTTGATACCTGCATTTAAAGTTTAGACATGAGACTTGTAATTTACTTTAATCATCTAAAGCAGCATGAAAACAAAGATTTCTCAGTGAGGATACTTGCCAAAATTTTACAGGTGGAGATTTGCCAGGTGAAGGCTGTAGGTCATGGGAACATCATTTCTGGAAAGATATGAGACCATATATTCAGGAAAGGTCTTCTTTAGTTCACTTAGGTTGTACAGCACTTGAGATGGGAATAGACAGAGAGGTGAACCAAGTCACAAAGATTGGACATCATTTTTCATTGTATAGAATGATAATAAGTTTTAAATGGTAGAATGAATGTGATATGTGTTAATATTAATGTACTGATTGATTTTTATTCTTAAATATGTTCTGCCTCCATTCCCAAAATTCTCTTTTAGTAAGACCTTTGAATATAAATGAAGGCAATGTAATTACAAGGAGAAAATAGCATATGTGTGGCACAGAAGAGCATCACATTGGATACTGCATTTTCCCTTCATAGTCCAAGGTTACGTGCAAAACATGTTGGGGCTTTTTTGTCTTTGTTTTTCTTAAGACTCTTAAAATAAGAGTATTATTTTTTATCATAGTGTTGTTATATATTATAATTTGTAAAAAGTCAGCTGTGACATAAACTCTACACATTAATATTTATTTTAGCATTATAAATTGAATTGTTTTGAACTTTGTAGTTAAAATGCTAAAAAAAAAAAAATTCAACCTGAAAATCTGTTATCACTGACAGCCTAGAGTCACTGGGTGACACAGAAGTGGTTGGTGGCGTTGTGACATCTTTAAAAAACTGTCACAGTGGGCTCATAAAGACCTGAGTGACATGTGCTACAACCTGGGTCCATGGCACCATGTGTGCCTGAACTGCATCCGGGCCATGTCTGCGGTCCATGGCCCTGCCACAGCCAGGGCTGCACAGAGTTGGCCCCACCCTTGTCCTGCCCCTCACCAGCTGCAGCAGACACTGCAAGTCACATGGGTAGCACAGTAGAACTGACCCCATTGGCAGGGTGCAGTGATCTGGCGTTGAAGGTGTGAGAGTGGGAGATCTAGCCCCACTGTCTGCCTGTCACAAGATGCCCTCCCTCCTTCTCCATCCCTCCACGCCTGTGGTGGTTGGGAGAGCTGGCCCTGAGGTCATGAGAATGGGAGAGCTGTTCTTGCCCCTCACCAACTGTAGCACTTGGGAGAGTGGGTCTTGCTACCCACGGGGCAGGAGAGCTCACCCAGGAGTGAGGATGAGAAGAAAAACTGACCAACCCAGATACCACCCAGATGCTGAACCAAGGCTATGAATTAGTCTGCCCCAACATCCACCTCATCTATGAACTTCTGGAGCATCTGAAGGGGCCCTACCTGCAGGTCCGAAACTGCTGTGTCTCTGTGACATAGGGTAACAGCAGGGTATCCAAGAGGAGCCTCAGTGAGGGCCCAGCATGGATGGTGCAGCAGAAGCCATAGGCCTGGAACCAGACCAATGACTCAATGCAATGACCAGTTACAAGTAAAGCTGAATGGACTAAAGGGTATGCTGCCTGACTCAATGGGCCACACTGCATCTCCACACTGAGACTTCTTTTGTTTAGTTTTTTGTTTGTTTTGCTTTGCTTTGCTTTTAATTTTCATTTGTTCATTTATTTGTCTGGAGGTTTTGTTTGGTTTTGGTTTTTCTTTTTTTAAATATATATTTTTTATTTGAATTAGAAACCGGCTTGTTTTACATATCAATCCCAGTTCCCATACCCTCCTGTCCTCTCCTGCCCCCCCCCACCAACCCCCTTCCCATCCCCTTTCTGCTCCCCAGGAAGGGTGAGGTCTTCCATGGGGAGTCTTCAAAGTCTATCATGTTATTTGGAGTGTTTTTCTTTTAAATTTTATTTTATTTGGGGGCAGAAGTTGCAAGGTCAGAGGGCAGATAGGAAGAGGAGGGTAGATGAATAGGATCAGGATTCATGATGTGAAATCCACAAAAAATAAAAGGTTAAAAAAGAAAACACTGACACAACAAACTTTTGATGATCCCTGATGAGAGGCCTCACTCCCCCTCCCCAGGGAGTGGATGGGGGATGGGATGGGGAGTTGGTGGGGGACATGGGAGGGCAGGAGGGAGAGGGAGCTGGGATTGGTATGTAAAATAAGATTGTTTTTAATTTAAATAGAAATTTATTTCTAAAAAACTGACACAAATAAAATACAAGGTAACACTTTATATTTTTTCTTATGACCTACTGATGACCTCCTCCTCTGCCTCCTAGTTCTCTGCTTCCTCCTCTCCATCTTCCTTATCCTCTTTTTCTTCTCCTCCTCAAGCATCTTTCCTAACCCCTTGCCTCTTTTCATATGCTTGTTAACTTTTAGAAAGTTCAGTAGAGTATCTCATTTTTCCAGATTCTGGGTATCAAACCTACCAGTTTTATTTTTAAAACCACATCTTTGCATGACAAGAGGGAGTCCTGCTTTTTGTTTTCCTGAAAAAATATTCTTTCTCATTATCCATTAAATAATTTCTTCTTTTCTCTAATATTTTCAACTAAAGTGATACTTAATATAAAATATTCTGTTTCTCATTTACCAATTAAATGATTTCCTCTTTAATATTTTCAACTAAAATAATATTAAGCAGAATTTGGCTGTTATTCAAGAGGAAGATAATTCGACAAAATTTCCTCTTTCTTTTTATAATACTCAAAATATGCAAAAACAAACAAATAACCAGTTCACCACCTAAAACATGTGCATGGTCTTAAATAGCATACCAGTATAGGGCCAATATAATAACAGCTTGGATTGAAGTAAGATTCACTCTAGACATAGAGCATTTGCTTATTCACGTTAAAATTTTACTTCTTTTTGAAGTGTCTTATTTAAAAGTCTTTGAAAGGTCATTCATACATACCTTTAAGTCCTAATTACCCCATTCTGGTCTGTTACTGTTTTATCTTATCTTATCTTATTGTGCTTTATTATTATTTTATAAATGCCTACTTGTATTCTAAAGAGAAAGAGGAAGAAAGGGTGTGGGTTTGGGTAGGTGGGGAATTGGGGAAGATCTGGGTAGAGGAGAAACCACAATCTGTATAATTTGTATGAAAAGACTCTATTTTCGATAATATATATGTAGTGAAAGCCTGTGATCAGTTGAGAACTGAGAAGGTGAAGGTAACTTGGGCCCTCTTACGATATCAAATTCCTTCATGTCTACAGTGCCTTTGAGATTTTTCAGATTTTTCACAACTGTGCTAATGCCAACCTGAGAAATGTGGCCAAGCTAAATCAAAACACAGTTCCATTTGAAGCTGATTTAAAGAAATAGTTTTATTAATCCCACATTGTTCTTTCCTTAACCCTTCTCAGGAAGCCCCTGTGGTGGCCAGAGCAGCTCTGTTCCTGGAATGTGCCCGTTTTGTTCACCGGTGCAACAGGGGCAACTGGCCAGAGTGGATGAAAGGGCACCATGTGAACATCACCAAGAAAGGCCTTTCCCGGGGCAGGTCTCCCATCGTGGGCAACAAGCGGAACCAAAAGCTGCAGTGGAACGCTGCCAAGCTCTTCTACCAGTGGGGAGATGTGAGCTTTTGTCTTTCTTCTGCAAAACACGGGGCGTTTGAGTGAAGTGAGGCTTCTCTTAGTGAATTTGTTTTAGAGGCAGTTTATTATCTGTTATGTTCCAGCTACCCAATGAACACTTTGGGGGGAAAGTAATCATTTAATTTCTCCAAACAAATCTTTCAGGCTAAGATTACTGTTTGACTTTATAGTTGAGGACACTGAGGTTCATACAGGGCAAGTAACTTGGCAGATTGCATATAGTTGAAATGTGTGTATTTCGTCTCCCATGTTGGATTGCGAAGCCTTTATTTTAATTACTATATTCAAGAAGCATCTTTGTGATCAAGTCTTTGCTATCATTATAAAATATTTAGATGCTGGAAGCATATTTTTTTTCTCTTTTTAAAATGTTAATGTTTTTATTCTTTGGCAAGTTTCTATATGTTTATTTTGGTTTACCCATTTTCACCCTATCCATTATCGTTATCAACTCTCAACACTTTCTTTCTGCTGAAGCCCTTCCCCCCCCCAGAAGCCCCTGCTGTTTTGATTATTTTTCTTCACTTGCTGAGTTTGCCTGTAGGTACTTGATTGATCATGAGTATGAGGGATGCTATTTACCAGAACGTGGGCTACTTAGCAGGGGCTACACCACTAAAGAAATGTTATCCCTCCCAGCACCCATTTACCACCCTTCTTTTAATTTCCTAATAGAGTTTTTCTTCTAATAATCGCCATCGATGTACATAGGTATATGTCTGAATAAGTGAATAACAAAGAAATGAAGCACTCTGCTTTAAGAATTCTAATATAATGGACCCTTATAATGCCAACTTCCTCATTCTAAGAAGGGAAAAAGTGAACAATAAAAAGAAATTCAAGAAGACTAAGGGTTTTTTCCCCCTTCAATATCCCAATACCACTGGTGTAATTCCCTCAGTGACTTGGAATTCAAGAATCGTCTTTGTGATCGAATCATTGCTATCATTATAAAAATATTTACATCTTGAAGAGTAATTTTGCATTTGAAAATGTTCATGTTTTTGTTCTTTGGCAATTTTGTATGTGTATTTACTAGTTTTAGGCTTGCCAGCCAGGACTTGCGTTCAATCCCCAAAACTCATGCAAGAAGAAAACCAAACATGGTAGTACCCACTTGAATTCTCAGTGTCGGGAGGCAGAGACAGGTGGATCCCAGAGATATTAATTACCAGCCTAGCCTAACCAGTGAGCTCTAGGCCAGTGAGAGGCGCTGCCTCACAAAAACAAAGCTGGTACTGCCTGAGGAGCAGAGCTGCAGTTTCACCTCTGGTGTCCATGTGTACATGGACATGTGTGTATTCACAAACCCATGTAATAGTAAACAAAGAAAGAAAATGCTATTATACTGCATTCAGATTAATTTTATCAGAGAATATAATAGATGCATGTAAATTATTGAACTGGATGACACATGAATGCCCACTATCAGATTTTTATGTTAATTGTTCATTCTACCTGATTAGGGCAGTCTGTACTCCAGAGTTTAGGTTTGCCCTCACTGTTTTAGAGAAAGTAAGTATATTCATGACCTAGCTGGAACTATCTGGCCTATAAACTAAAATCTTAATTAATAAAGGGTAGCCCTTTGCCATTGTCTCTCTTAAAGTGAAGATAAAATAGTATAAATCTTCAAGTAAAATTTTTAAGATTCTCACAGTGTTGTTTATTTGAAAAATAGTCTCACTCCCCTCATTCCCTGATCATACTTTAACCCTGTCTCACTCTCTTATCACCTGTGTTCCAATATGTCCCCAGATAATCAAGACATTGGCATTAATTGCTACTCCGTCACCTTGCTGATACTTTATTTTCTCTTGTTAAAGGTATCCACTGGTCTCTACACAGACCTCTAGTAAGGTCTCTTTTCCTAGATGATAAAAATGTTACCCTAAATTTGTTTGGTGAAAAGCTATGCTAAAAGAAAAATCTTAAAGGCACGCATCTATTTTAATAGAAGGATTGGTGGAGAAAACATAATTGGGATGCAGGTGGAGATAGAGTGGGGATGGCAACTGTCATGTTTATAGGATGGGGTTATGACACAGCAATACATTGTTAAAGGCAGAAATATGAACATAAGATTCTATGAGATGTAGAGCAGGTAACTGGAGGGAGCTATTGTCTTCTTCTCAATTGTGTATGAACCCCTCACTGAGACTTAACACCTAATCCATGTATGAGTTCACCCTGAGTGGCCTTTCCTCTGGTTAGCATAAAGCTATAGCCCAAGAATTCTCACTAAACATATTTGTAAAGCCCTGTCTATCTCTTTTATATTTAGTACTCTTGTTATTAAAATATTGACTACTATTTCCCAATTATTTAGTTTCATAATCCTGCTGGTGATAGTTTTTCTATGAGACCACGTTTGTTATTATTAAAGCAAAATCATCAGATTGGAAATGTATATCACCACATGACAGTGAGCAGGAGAAAGGTTGTTCTTATTCCAACACCCTTTATTTTCCACCTCAAATTATATTAAAAACCTTCCAATCCTCTACTGGTAATAAGTCTCAAAAGCCCAAGTACTTTTACATAGTCTTATTCTCCAGTAAAATAGAGATATAAAGTGTTTCTCTTCAGCATTTTAAGTCTTCGGGGGAGGTATAAAGTCCTTAACTCCTATATTTCTCCCAGGCAAAGAAACAATCAACTATAAATGACCAGCATTACTGTTACTCTATTTGAAGAGGTTGTACTAGGTGGACCCTATTCTGATGATAACATTAAAGAGGACATACAAATACATTTGGAGGCTTCTTGCAGGAATACATTATAATCACATTCACCAGATGTGCATGATGTCTCTCTGAGAAAGGTGCCTCCAGGTATTGTTTCAATATAATGAAAAACAAACTATCATATAATTCCATTTCTACTTGAGTCTTCAATTGTATGATAAATTTAGATGTTTTATAGAACATATCCCCAATATGATCTATCTTTTTGATTTCCTGCATTAGAAGACATATAGACAGACTATGTGAGGCCTGAATTGACTGTTATTCCAACCAATAATCTGCAAAATAGAGACTATCACTGGTAGTTTTTAAAGCCTGAAACATCAACAGACTTACTTAATATGATAGCTATTTAGATTAATTACATGAACTAAGATTAATAATTTGCCATTAACAGGTAAAATTGCATTTAACTTCAACAATGTGTGGGCCACTGTTTTAAAATCTTCAAATGATAATTCTTATACTATAGATATATTAATGTAGTTACAACTCTAAAATTTCTCCATGCTTTATTAACTTGTTATAATTAAAATATGATTAATTTATTTTCATATTATTTTAATTGAGACAGTCTACAACAGAAACCTATTTTATTACAGAGCTCACAGAGCTACCCCACACATCACTTTTCCCCAAGAACTACAAAAATCTTCCACGCCAGTAAACCTCAAGGTCACTGCTACACACACACACACACACACACACACACACACACACACACACACACACACAAAACTGCTGTTCCTAAAAGTTTGAGCAGTTTTAGAGTCTCTCAGTTGATGTGAATTTGTAAACAAAACTGCATTTTCAAAAAATCTGGCTAATTACTCTACCATACAGAAACATGGACAGCGTTTAAACTCTCTACCTCATTTAAGGAGTGCTCCCCTCCGACCGTCCTCCTCATATAGTCATTGCCTGAGATCTTTTCGTATGATTTTTCTTCAGGGTCTCAATTCCTGCGTGTCTAATGCTTGATGTGTGATAACACAGAGTACCCTGTCTAGAGCACCTCTGAGGTCCCAGGTCTGCATTGCCAATTTCATCTTGGAGGCATTTTCCCTGTATCCCAAACTTAGTTTGACCCAAATAAAACCCTTCTTCCTAAATACACACTCATCTGCAGTCATGTCTGAGCCTTTAGCTCATGTCTGATACCACCAGCATTTGAGATGTCTACCATCTAGCACATTCCCAATCTCTTTCTCGTCTAAACAGTCTCCCAGGTCAGACCTTCATTACTTCAGACTTTGATGAATACCTTCAGTGTGTCTCATCCTCCCAGCCACGCCCTCTAACATGTTTTGCACACTGCTAGATTGTATCACATTCATAGGTCACAATCTATTAAAAACAGTCTCCAAACTGGTCTCTCTGCTTCCTGCCTTGTCCTCTCTGATCCATTCTATAAACTCCTGACTGTTTGGTTAGGAGAAAATGGTTTTCCTTGAGTTACAGCACAAATTTTTCAGGTTGGTATCATTGTCTGACTTTTGCTTAAATAATTTCTAAGATTTAGGAATGGTGAAGTTGAATTAGTTCATGCATGCAAAGCATATTTATTTTAAACCTCTCTATATAAGTTTACTATGTTTATATAAATTTATGTGTATTTATGTATATTACATATTTTAATTATATATTGCATTTTAATATTTGATGTTATAATTACATATTATATACATCTAATAATATATAAAATTATAAATGTATAAAAGCAGTAGACTTCTATAGATTTAAAGCCAAGCTTCATGTCTTTTCATTACCTTCCTGAGCAGGTAACCTTCCTGAGTAGGACAAGAACCCTCAATGGTTCATTAGGCTACCCTGTCCTAAGAGACCTTTCCAGCCTTCCTGCACATTTTCCTCATTAAAAAGGAAAGAAAGAAAAGTTGTTTTTAAATGATTTCCTAGTGAATCCCTGAATGCTTCCAAATCATAGAAACTTATAGTTGGCTTCCAGTGAACTCTCTCTATTTACAGTCAGCTGGCAGACACACCAGCCTCTCTGGGTCTGTGGCAATGAGATACCTGGCTCTTGGAAAAGAGAGTGGTGTTTATCTTCTGAACTAGTCAGTGTGTCATTTCAACATGTTCTCTCCTCCCCAGGGGACTCCTAGTGTAGTGAGGAAAAGGACATGATGTGGCATGTTCAGATTCTGTCCACAGCTTCCGCTTAGTCTCTTAGCCTCCAGAAGTCCCTGTTCACCAGTGATCTTCCTGTAACTGCATTCATAATTCATCAGGACACATGTAAAAAAAAAAAAAAAAAAATGCCCCAGCGCACTTCAACAACTTATGTAGGCTCGTGTTTCATTTAATAGCTTACAATTTACCTCACTTTATAAATATTTCATGAATGGAAGTAGAAAGGAATTACATCTCCGTAAGGCATTCCTCCGTAGATGAGATGTAGAATCTTAAATTATTATTTAGATATTTAGAGTTATCTTAGGTAAGTTCAGGGTTTGACCTTTTTTTTTTTTTTTAATAAACTGTGGGTGGGTTTAATTTAAATCATTTCATTACAATATCCCAGAAAGATCAATTAAAAAAAAAAAAAAACCTTTGAGGTGTGCTGTTCAGCTGTCTATGTCCACTCTTAATGCCTCCTTTTCAGAACAAACTCTTTGGGGTGCTACTTATGATTTTGTTTTATTAGTTTAAAACTTCTGAAGTTAGCAAGAATAATGGGAATCGTGAAAGCTTTTGATGGTACTTTCTTGTCAGGACTTTTTTTTTTTTTCTGGTTTGTAGTTTGCCACTTAATTCCATGTGTTGTGAAGACCTTTTTATTTCCAAAAGTTTAACATATTCAAAACAGTCCTGCTTGGTGGTAGAGCTTGCATAGCAAGCTCAAGGAGGATGGGGGGCAGAAAAAAAAAATAGTCATGCTTTATTGAAAGCATCCTGGATGCACTAGGCACAACTGTTCATGGGTACAGGTTGGTTTCCAGTAGCGAGTTTAATCCCTTGCATGCTTAGAACCTTGTAACTTTGCTAAGGAAGAAGAGGGTGAGCTGGAGTTTGTTTTTATTAATGCACAGAGCACAACTGTCAGCCCCCAGTCAGGGTTCATTTTAGTTTTGTCCTTGAGACTCCTTCCTAAGGCTGTGATCTTTCATTATTGCATAGTCTACATGGTTTGGATACAAAAGGAACTGGACAGAGATAGTGCATTCACCTCCTATGGAAAATCCCTTTTAATAAATGGTGGAACAATGTGTCATGATTCATAAGAACAGATAGCAAGTGTCTGATTCTGTGTATGCCAAGTTAAGAGCCAATATTGTTAGTGTGCCAAGTCATTAAAAAGTCCTGTTTCTAATGTGGATTTTAGAAGCTCTACCAGAAGAGCAGTTAACATTTCTCACTAACTTACAGAATATCATGGGAAGGGGAGAGCTCCATAAACACCAGTAAGTACATACATAATGGTATTATAAATAAAATCACAGAAATAGAATTCTTGCCAACCTCCAAACTCATTAGCATGGCACTGACATTCTTGTATGATAGCATAATCAGAAGTACTCAGAGGAGAGATGCTTGTTTTTTCACTGTCCTAAAACCCTCTGTTAAAAATAACCAGATGCAGGATGGGGAGGTTGGTGTGTGAGTGCTTGCTTTGCAAGCATGGTGAACTGATTTTAATTCCCCAGTACCCACACTAAAGGTTCAATTGGCCACTCCTATGTGGGATAGACACACAAGTCTTGCTAGGACTTGTGAACACCAGCCTAACTCACTATTCACTGAGAAAGCCTGTCTGAAAGGAATAAGGTGAGAAATCTTAGAACACCCAATATCTTCCTGTGAACTACACATTTGCACAAATGCACATGCCTGCATACTTACCATGCATTTATATGAACACACAGGAGCGGGGTGTGGAATGACACTGCTTGCTTGCATCAGACCTACAAAAACAAATGAACTTTGAATAAAGATGGACATTTGATCCCTAAAAATGTTGTATATGCATACAAAAGTGTCCATCCCATTTTTTCCAAATCTTTAGAACAAATGACTCAGGAGACAGCACTGTCCCTGCCTTCTCTAGATTCCTTATAGACCAAGATGGTGGTGACAACACATGGAATATTGAAGAGGGTTGTGTGGGAAGCCATGCCCATGCTTTGGCTGACGGTGTGATGTTTTAGAGTCTGTTATCTGTCATCCTTCATAGTGCTCCATTCTTTCCTTTTCTGCTGTAGGCAATTGGCATCCGATTGAACGAGCTGTGCCATGGAGAGAGCGAGAGCCCTGCTAACCTGCTCGGCCTTATTTATGATGAGGAGACCAAGAGAAGGCTGCGAAAGGAGGATGAGGAGGAAGACTTTTTAGATGACAGTAAGGAGACCCCCTTGTCCCTGCTTGTAAGAAACTCTGCTTTAGGAGCACCGGATAGCTTCTTCCTCTCTCATACTCTCTCTGCCTTCCTACATCTCCCACAGACATTTCCCTCCTCTCCATGTGGGTGTGAAGCATGTTCTTAAATACAGAAAGAAAGGGGGAAGGGAAAGATGGAGAGAGGGAGGGAGGGAGGGAAAGAGGAAGGGAAGGCACAAAAATCAGGAGAGAAGATAGATGTGAGGCACAGAAGGCAAGGTGGAAGAAATGTCACTTTTTAGGATGACTCTTGCTGTTACCCACAGACCCATGCTAAGCCTCTAAGAGAGAAAACAACTGAAAAACATTGCTTACTCAGAAGGGTTTTCCCTTCTCTAAGTTTATTTCAGGTTTTATGTTGGTACTGATTTGGGAAAGAAAAAGTTGCAAAATAGAATTGAACAAGAAATGCTTTCCAGGGGCTGGGGAGATGGTTCAGTAGGTAAACTGCTTGTTGAACAAGCATAAGGACTTGAATTTAGATCCTCAAATGCCCTATTAAAGAGCCAGACACAGTTGTGGGAGCCTTAACTTTAGCAGTTGTGGGAACCTTAACTTTAGCGCTGGGGAGACAGAAGATAGGGAAATGGGTAGAACTCATTGGCCAGTCAGGCTAACTGAATGGATGAGCTGATTCACTGAAAGAACAAAATTTTATGGTGGAAAGCTTTTAGAGAAAGATACTTGACATCAATCCCCGGCCTCCACATTCATGCACATACATGTATATCCATATGTGCACATACCTATACTAGCAAGTATGTACACCACACACACACACACACACACACACACACACACACACACACACACACACAAAATGCATTCCAAAGAACTACAATAGTGAACTGTTTAATCAGAGCATGTTACAGTATTAATAAGAAATGTAAAGTTTGCTTCAACTCTAACTGCTCCATGTTGTGTCTATTAGAGTTGTCATAGAATTAGGGACAAGAACACTCCTGCTACATCCTCTGCAGCATCATTTTGTACATACATTGCTCTGTACCATACAAGTCTAAATGGAGGCACACTGAGAGGCATGTTATTGAGTGTACATTTCAGTTTGACCTATAGAATCAATGTCTTTCCAAACTGGAAGTAGCAAGATCTTTCACTTAACCTTTCCTCTTCATTGGCAATTCAAGTTCTCTAGTTATATTTTCAGTGTCGCTCTTGTTTAATTCATACCATTCTTCCACATCCTTGTGTTGTGACATAAAATAATGACTAAATGATAACATTGGAAAGATTAAACCAAAGAAAACTCTCACTGTATCCCTCTCTTCTATTGCACCAAGAACTTAGTATTTTTCCCATTATTTGGGTCCCTTTTCATACCTTAGGAAGTCAGAGCAATGCTCGCCATCTCTGTTGATAAAACGCTGAATTTCTACATGTGTGTATCAACCAAATGATAAAAATCAACTCTGAAAATAACCTAGCCAACTTTTGAGCAATTCTGGGTGTTTAATTTCACTCATATGTTAAACTAATCTTAGGCAAGTCATGCCATAGATGGCAGACAGACAGACAGAAGTCATGTAGAGGCCCTTCAGAATGGAGGGAGCTGAAGCGATATTAAATGTATTGTATACTCTATAATAAACCACAAAAGCTCCATTAGGCCATATGTGATATCTGGTACATCAGTATTTTGTTTGTGTCATTCAGAGCTCTGTCTTTTCTAATAGTGACAGGATGTTCCAGATAATAACTAGGAGAGAGACTAAACCACAGTCAAGGTCACTGCCTACAGAACATTTAAGAGGTGTCTGAATGATAACCTCATGAGTGAAAACACAGATCTTGCTTTTAAAATTTTGCACATCCAGTTAACTTTTAGAGTCCTGTTTCCTCTGTGGAGTTAAGAACGATATGTGTGATTCTCCACTGATTATGAGGTTGTTATGTGTGATTTAACTAATCTTGCACTCCAAAGCTAAATATAATATAAGCACATGCCTTTTTGGATATCCCACATGAGCTCGTGTCTTCCATTCTGAATGAGAGGCAGATTTTTCCAGCCATGTTTTAATTCTGAACAAAACAGTCATGGTTCCCAGGAGGGAAAAATAGGCCAGAGACCCTCAGAAGACCAACTTCTACCTTCTGTGTCAAAAAAAATCATGTATACTATTCAGTTAAGAAATTTCATTATGCCCAGGAGAGATTGGGGATATTTTTTAAATTATTAATAGGTAATGATAATGTAAAAGTTTGATGACTTGATTCATTCAACTGATAACTACTTTCTTTTGTAAGAGGCAGAATGTGGTCTTGTTTTTGCAGAAGATGAAAATGTAGTATAGGTGACCAGGTGACACAAGTTCTTGTATCTGTGTTACATCAGTACTGATTGAACTAAGGCTGAAAGGGCTTCATAGCTCTTAGAAGACAAACATCCCCAAACAAACATCCCTTCCTAAAATGAGCTGGGAGGGTTTTAGGGCTCCAAATCTAGCTGGTTGTCATATAGGCTGTCAAAACGTGATTGAATACAAGACAACTTCCTTGTATTCTGTTTTCACCAGTCTTCTGGTGACATCGGAGCTGTGTGTTGTATTGCCGTGTGTACTCTAAACAGAAGCACTGACATCTGCTCGTATGATACTTTAATGCTGAAGCATCTGTTACACAACTTCCGAGGGGAAGAAGAGAAGTGGGTGGGCATGCCCAAGTCATGTTAACAGGAGTAGGTAAATTGAGGTTGTGTAGGAATTATTCTCATGAGCAGATTAATATTATATTACATGGATGTAGTGAGATCCATCACACCATGACCCTCTATTTGTTATTGGTTTGTCTTCTCATGGAGAATTCTTTCTCTTCTTAGGTACTGTGAACCCCTCTAAGTGTGGCTGTCCCTTTGCCTTGAAGATGGCAGCATGCCAACTACTCCTGGAGATAACCACCTTCCTGAGGGAGACCTTTTCTTGCCTGCCTAGACCTCGCACTGAGCCTCTAGTGGTATGTAAAACAAACAAAACAAACAAACAAACAAAAAAAACCTGTCAATAGCCAGGCTACTTGGAGAAAATGAACTGTAGCTGGATTTCTAGTACTCCCAACATCTTTAAATGCTTGAAGACCAACTGTGTTTTGTAAATTAACATTTTAACCAAAAGCTTTTTATACATTAAAAAGACAATTTCTTCTTTGTCCATTAAAATAATAACTCCAAAGTTAACTTAGAAATCACTGGAGACATCACTTTCAGGTACAGCATTTGACTAATGACCACCACTAATTTAGATGCAAATACCTAGGAGCCTATATTCCTACAGGCAATGGAGAGCTTTATGGTCAACATTATTCAGAAATAATTAGCCGATTTTCTTTTGTACTAACAGCTCCTAGGTTCATATAAGAGTATGCTTACTTCCAAAGAGTTTTCTGACTTACAGTATGGTATAAATAACTGTGGTGTTTAGATTCTCAGTATTTTCATCATATAGTTATTTTTATGGCATTTCTTGTGGATTATGGATAGACAGAAATAATGAATGACAACACACACACGCACGTGTGCGTGCGCGCACACACACACACACACACATTTTATAGGCATATAAAAATACAGCCATGTTCCAGTAATTATTAATTTCACTGTCGCTATAAATACTATGCAGGGCTCATACTCCAGAGTGTGTGCTAACAGGGAACACCTTGAGCTTCTGAGTCCCCTGATGAAAACCAATGGTTCTTTTGTCACAGTTCACCTGCAGCTTTACCTGAGGAGCCAAACAGTTTCTCAAACTGTCACACCAACTCCCCATTTAAGGGTATTTCAGAACTCACCTCTCCTGCTGTTAAAACCAAACAGTATGAATAAGTCAGTCCTGGGGTGGGGCCACAGAGATTGAATAAAGAAATCAGTGTTCTGTTACCATCAACCACTGGTTTTGATTTTCTAATGTTCTAGCAAACCCATTTCCTCATATCCTAAAACCAGAATAAATAAATGGGTATTTTCAAGTTAGAAACATTTAAGAATGAAATGTTTGTTTTCAAGAGAAAACTACCCTCGCTGGGACTGAGATGCTGGACCATTTGACTGCTGGAAGAGGAAATTCCAGCTACTACCCTCTGCTACATCATGTTGACTTGGCCTTTACTTTCTGCACTGTCATTTTCATCGTGCTGTTGGGAAGACTGTATAAAGTCAAACCCAGACACCACGATACATGCACTTAGTTTGAGGTCAAGCCTAAACAAAACATCAGACCTGTCTACTTCTACTAGCATCACTCCTTTTAGCCTCTTGATTAATGCAGTCTTCTGGAAAAGCATCGAGTGCATCTGAGTTCACGTTTTCAGATCAGCCACAAGTTTGATAAAAAATACATAAAAGTCTCAGTTTCACTCGGTCATTTTTGTTCTACCTTTTAACTCTTAAAGCTCTACCACAATGACTCTTGTTATGAGGTAATTCTGTTCCATGGAGCCTATCTTATGTTGAAGACAAACTTAATAACCACATCCCCTCATAGAGCAGTGCTGGACTCAAACCTGTCAGTGAGAAATGAAACATTTTATGTTTTCTGAATCAATCGGACCTTTTTAGCCTGAGTACTTAGCATTGTCAGGACAGCAGCCCACAGGAATCTCAGCATCCAGAAGACTGTAAGTGAGGCTACAGAAGGCCCTGTGATAAATAGACACTGTATAAGCAACTAGAAAACTTACAGGGAATGCAAAGAAAGGAAGCTAAAAAGTCTGAGACAAGTACAGTAACCTTCAGTCCTTTAATAACAAGAGTAAAGTTGTGTCCTCTTCACCCTGAACTAGGTTTTTGAGAACTTTTGTTCACTACAGTAGCATTGCCGATGCTTAACGTGGGCTTATTTATTTTTTATGTTTTCTTTTTTTGAGATTATAAAATATTTACATCATTAGCCCCTTCCATGTCCTCCCTCCAAATTCTCCTATAAAACCCTTTTTGATCTTTTTCAAATTCATAGCCTCTTTTTAGATATTGTCATATAAATATGTCTATGTATATATTCATACATAGATTCCTAAATATGTAAGTACAGCCTGCTCAGTCTGTATAATGCTACCTCTGTGTGTGTTTTCAGGGCTGACCATTTGATATTGGATAAACCACTGGTGTGCTCTTCCCTGAGGAAGACTGTTTCTCCTGCTCTTCATATTCCTTACTTACTTGTCATTCTTTGTGTAGGGCTGATGGCTCCTGGGATTTCCTCATCTTGTCATTAATTCTTTCAAGAAGAGAATCAGAAATTCCCTCAATACAAAATCAACAATAGAGGCTCTGGCCTCACACAAGCATATTCCTAAACCAGAACTTACTTTCCACATGTATGTACTAAGCAAGTTCAATCAAAGTTTGTTTTGAATGGTACCCTGTCCTGCTTCTCAAAGTACACTTGTTTTCAACAGCACAGACATATTATCTTCCATTTCTTCAGGTCAAAGGTCCAAGCTAAGGACAGGCCTTCCTAAGCTAAAATCAAGATACTGATATGGTTGGCTTTCATTTGTGGTAGGGAAAGAATCTGCCTGCCTCCTTGCTCTTTTTCTACTACTACACCCACCTCATTCCCCTTATTCCATCTTCAGAGGCAGTAATAGCATACTGAAGCTCCCTGGGTCCATAGCCAGGGAATGGTCTTCCATTTCTAAGAGTATATGTAATTAAATTTGGTTCACTTAGCTAACACAGTGCAATCTCTCCATCATAAGATCATTAACTTTAACTGTATCCCCAAGGTTCATGTAACAATATAAAACAACATAATCTCAGGCTCTGGGGGTTTAGAGTTTAGATATCACTTGGGGACCATTGTTCTATTACTGTTGTCTACTCTATAACTCCTACACTTTGGGCTTATTATTTGCGCTTGCCTATCTTCCAACTTAGAATTCTGACTTTCTCAGAGACGGGATCATTTCTTACTTATGCCATTGTGCCTAACATGTTCAAACTGAATGCATGATTATGCAATTAACATGTAAATGACAAAGACACCTCCAGGACATTGGACAGAGAGTTAAAGGGTAAAAGAGCTAGTCCAAAGAGTCCTGTGTTGTTCAAAGATAAAGCACATTAGAAGAAGCTATGAGTTAGGAGACACTTGTTTTCAAATCAAGAATATGTTTCAAGACCACAATTTAAAATGAGCAATTTTAAATGTAACTGAATGTGGTTCATAATGGATAGAGGTTTGCCACAATATGAATGCAGTACGCAGAGTAAAGTGACACCTGCCTATCATTGCAAAACTTAGGAAACTGAGGCCAGGCAAGAGGGTCATGAGACCAGTTTTCGGCTTCTGAGCAGGACCCTGTCAAAAACAAATGAACAAATAAAAAACAGAAAGCAGTGCTTTGTCTGAGGACATCCCAGCATGTACATGTTCTTCTATGCCGTTTCAGGACTTGGAGAGCTGCAGGCTCCGTCTGGATCCTGAGTTGGACCGGCATAGATATGAGAGGAAGATCAGCTTCGCAGGGGTTCTGGATGAAAACGAAGACTCAAAAGATTCTCTCCACAGCAGCAGCCACACTCTCAAATCCGACACAGGTGCTGAGGAGAAGAAAGGTAGGGAACCCAAGGGTTGTTTCATGTGTCTGGCTTTCTCACAGGAAATAATTGATCTGTGATCTAAAGTACAAAACCTGTGTGCCTAAATCCACACAGTGACTCTTGGGACTCTTCACGGCCAGTAAGGTAGGAAAAAACACTTGTTAGAGGTTGAACTTGGCAGCCAGACTGCCTTGGCTTACAATGCCTGGCTCAACAATTCTCTTTGCCCACACTGAATGTGATATCATCAGCCTTAAGATGACCTGCTATTTTATTTCCCAATAAAAAAGGGAAAAACACCCAAATTCAACTATTTTTCAGTAATCTCTTATCACTATACTTTGTTTTATTGACAGAGGACTTTGAGACAGTTAAATATATATAGTCACTGTGATTGTTACATATAATTCCCAACGTAGCTTAAATGTGCTGGTTAAAGCTTTTCAATTCAAAGTCCGAACTTAATTACTGTTCAATGCAGAGTTGTCAATGTCCATGTTTTTCTATAGCATGATGCTTTCTGTAGCATCAGATTGTTAATGAATGACACACCAGTTCAGAAAAGAATCAAAGATTAATACATATTCAATGTATATAATGAGAGTTAATAAATAAAACTACAACTGCAAGGTAGAGCTGCATATGCTAGTTCTGGAAACCAGTTAGGAATAGTATGAAGCTGGCCTCCCTTGACTTCCTCTTCTGCACTGTCCAGCTTATACCAAAACCCGCTTCTCCATCCCTCACTACCCCTTGGCCTTGATGCTAGGAGATAGCCTGAGTTGTTTTGCTGCTGATGCTTACATAAGCATTAGACAAAAGCAAGAACCGTTGTATTTCAGCTGCCCATTGGCACGATGAACCCTAACTTCAGCTTCACATATGTCAAAGTGTGAAGAAGATGAAACTATGAAGATGGCCTTCTCTGTATGACCTTATACACATGACTTGCCTTTAAAGCCACAGTCCTCTTTTCTGCTCAAATAACCAACATATGTACTGTGTCATTAGAGCTTTAATTGAGGCGGTGCAAGTAAAACATAGAACAAATACATAGAGCACACAGAGGACCATGGTGAGTGGCCCTTGTCATCCTTCTCTTCCTACGTTATGAGCAGCTAGGTCAGATATCAACACAGAAAACCCTAGCGAGGTCTAAAAATGTAAGTCATTTAAGGCTCCCTGCCATCTCACCTTCACTCTCCAAAGTTTTTACTTTTTACATTTTGCTGCCCTTCAATGTTTTTTGTATAGAACTTCACATTTTTAGCTAGGCAGTGGTGGCACACACCTTTAATCCCATAACTCAGGAGGCAGAGGCAGGTGGTCTCTGTGAGTTTGAGGTCAGCCTGGTCTGCAGAATGAGTTCCAAGACAGACAGGGCTGTTACACAGAGAAACCCTGTCTTATTCACATTATAAAAAAACTGTACATCTTTGTAGAAAGTTGATTTTGTACGCTGAAATATTTTCAGTGTCCTGTAGACAAAGAATGAATGCATGCTTGATTATTTTAATCAATTAATGAGTGGCATAGCCCTATATATAGAAAACATAAAATAAGAAATGCGGGAACAATGGAGAAAGTTTGAATATTTCAACATTAGAATGTTACTGCCTTTTAGATACAAATATGATTATATAATACCCTATTGAATTTTTATGGGGAGAGGTCCTGTTCTAAAAGAAATAAATGGTCTTGAGCAATTTATAGATGTGAAGAAGTATTAAGTCAATGTGATTTCAAATATTTCCTATATATGTATCCAATGAAGGTAACTTCCATGCTTAAACATATGCCAACTAAACTTTAATTTGGAAAGCAGTCTTTAGCCATTCAGAGTTATTATCACGATTATTATTTAAATTGAATAAAAACTCCAAATACCCAGTTAAGCTTAAACAAAGTAAATTCTCTATCATCTTTAAAAGTAAAATATTTGCTTAATTTTAAAACCATGTCAACTTCATTATCTATGTAGTTGTCTTACTGCTCAAACTCTCACATGCTTAGTGATTTTTGTCATATAATTTGCCTATGTTAATATATAAATGTCTTATAAATAGACAACAGAAAGTTAAAACTATAAATAAAATGAGACTATAACCATAAAAATGTTCTTAAATAGTTGGCAAAAATCTCCCTAAAGATAAGTAAATATTCCATAAGGCATTTGGAAAACTCACCAGCAATTACAGCCAATAAGAAAATGGGTCAATGAGACACTGATAATGTAACTACTATTTTTCTAATGCCATACCACCTGTTTTTATAAAAGCAAAAGTCAACTCCTAAAATAAACAACTTGAGAATGAGTAGATACTACCAAAGGAAATGACCATGAACTTATCCTTAAAACTGAAAATATCTGCCCAAGATCTCTAAGCAGAGTCTGTGAAATTCTTTTACCCCCACCCCAAAGACAAACTAAAACTAGTATTCCAAAATACAGAAACATCTCTTCATTTTGCATCCAGCTACTAAGCACCTGCTTTTTACCAGGAACTGTTACAAGTTCCCAGAAGGCAGCCTAACAATAGCATTTTAGTACATATATTTCTATTCATACTAATTCATAGTTAAAAGTATACCACTATTGATATAACAACTGGTAACACTAAATGCCAGACTTTCAAGAGATATAATGGAAGAAAGAGATGTGGTCAGAGAAGGTCCTAATAATGGACATTGAGCTGAAAGGCTTTCATGGGCATTTCAGTAATACTGAAGGCTGAAGGCCAAACAGAGGCAACTGTGAGGCCAAGGACATCATGGAGAGTGGCCTTGGAGCACCTGAAGAAGGGAAAAATGATCAACAGTGTTATTATAGTATGAATTGGGGGAGGAGTGGCAAGATATAGGTCAGGAAGGCAAGGGGCAGGCAGAGGCTGGCAGATATGCTTAGAGATTTAATCCTACGTTAAATGTGTTAGAGATTGTGGGTCAGTGTATGTGGCTAGATGTGTAGAAGATAGGGAGGAAGGAACAGTAAGAGGTAGCTACACTGGACCAGGGAAAAGGTAATAGGACTTGGAACACTTTGAACTTGTGATATTTTGAAGCATGCAGGAATCATGACTTGCTAATGGATACAGTATAGAAAGGGAGATGTATTACCCACTTCAGATGAGCCTGTTTCATTTTGATTCTAGTTCTTATGGTTATGGAGATGAAGGCTAAAATTCAGTAGTGTGTAGTCTCAGGTGACATATTTATGAACATCATTAAATCTGAATTCTCCACATTGTGTCCCTTGTAATTGATGTCATAATTCTGAACCCTGATATTTCAGGACTGTAGGAGGTCTCCAATTATCTTTTATGTTAGAACAAATTCTCAAAATTAAGTCTCTTTCAGATCCCACTAATTTGAAGTCATTTGGTCTCATTTGTAGCCTGAATAGTGTCATAAACTCAGGCAAAAGACATTAGTATATGCATCTATTAAAAAAAAAAAACTAAGAAGTATCACTGTAATCTAGTCTTTATTTCTCAATCTATTTACACATGAAATTTCAGTAGTGGTCATTAAAAATAATTAACCATGGAGTTCAAATTAAGCCTAGAAATGATATTGAAAAATAAAGTTAGGTGAATCTTGTGTTATAATTAAACTACAAAAGCTATAGCTTTTGTGGCATTTATCCAACTGTGCTGCCAGAAATTCCTCCAGATGTGCAGTTCTGTTCAGATGTGTTCAGGGAGCCCCAAGAAGCTTGTATAAGTGCAGCAGTGATAATCCTGGGCTCTTTCAGTCACAAGAGTAACCCAGAGACTAAACATTCACTTCTTCTTTATGAATTCTTCACACCTCCTTACACGACCTTGAAAGTATACATTTAACTAACATTTTAAAGGATATGAGTTTTATTATTGTCTCATATGAGCATTTTGTTGAGGGAAGAAATCTGAAACTAGCATTCCAACTTCTTGATTTCAAAATGTATTCATGGCTTTGATTTAAATAATGAGTAAGCTAGCTTCTTCTTTCTAATAGTTTTGAGCCTTGAAATTTTTGCTTTATCCTGCTATTATGAAATCAGTATTGGTAATATCAGTAAGAAAGAAAAATGTTTACCTGAAAAATAATTGTGCTTTTATAAAGTAAGTTTGAAGCTTAAACATGTTTCTTTTTACGTTTCTTTTACCATTTTATTCCCACCCTGGTGACTGTTTCTTTCAGAGTACTAAGCATGAATAATGCATCCACTTCTTGTTATGTAGAGACTGTAAGATAGCTCAGGGCATGCAACATTTAGACTCCCATATCATTAGCTTTTTGATTGAGAGGAGGACGCTATAAAATCCCTAAGTAATTAGAAATAGAACTGTAACACACACACACACACACACACACACACACACTCATACACAGGCACACACATGCACATGCACACTTACACACACAGGCACACACATGCACACACACATTCTCTCACACAAGCACACCCACACAGCATTCTCCTGTGAGCAGATCCCTTAAAGTCTTTGCTGAGGAATAGAGTACACATACCTGCTGACTGTCAGAGAGGGGCGCACTTCTTGTACTTATTTTTTAATAGGTTCCTCCAAAGAGAAGAGTTCCAATGACAATTCTCGGAACTCTGTAAGTTCTACTTCATAGGAAAAACAAAAACAGTTAAAAGTATGGTTCTTTTGAACCAAGTAAGAATGTGATTAAAATTTTTTCTAGCTGATCTTGGTGATGGTGCTGTGTAAACACACTCATGCTTATGAACCCTGGGCCAGAATGAGAGCAGATTGTTCCCAGCCATAATGTGCATTTTGCCCAAGAAAGATACTGCACCAGCCCTTGCTGCTCATCCTGGTCTCCTGCCTGACCAAACGGGGTGACTTGGGGCTGGCAGGAAGGCCCCTATCCAGAAATGCTGCTCAATCAGGCCGGCAGAGAGTTTGCTGGTCAGGGACAAATTGGGAAGAGTGTGGATATAAACTGGCTGGGGGAAACTAAGCGGGGGAAGCCCTATTTTATTCTTTCAATACAGTTCCCAGCAGGAAGATCAGGATAGGAGGTTCTCGCCTGCTCCAGATTAAAGGAACCCGCAGTTTCCAGGTGAAGAAGGGGGGTTCCTTGTCCAGCATTCGCCGAGTCGGCAGCTTAAAGAGCAGCAAGTTATCACGGCAGGACTCAGAGTCTGAGGCTGAGGAGCTGCAGCTGTCCCAGAGCAGGGACACTGTCACTGACCTAGGTAACATAGAAGAGTGGGGTGTGCAGGGACGTGGGGGGTAAGAAGACAGGACTCAAGTCCTGGAACAGCCAAGTCCATTTCATCCCATTTATAGAGAGCAAGATCGGAGCCGTAGTTTAGACACTCGTTCTGTAGAGAAGCGCACTCTGCTCCCGAGCAGGTGCATGTGGCATCTGGAAATCTGTCCAAGTGCAGATTCTGAGTCAGCAGATGATGCGGGGATCTGGGACTCTGCATTTGGAATAAGCTTCCTCGTGATGCTGCCACTGCTGACTCAAGGACCACACTTGGAGCTGTGAGCATAGAAAGTGTTCGTCAGGGAACAAAAACCACTTTGGCAACAAGGACAGTCTTAGAACTCCAGGTGCTTGTACATCTCTGCAACTCATGAGGACCTTAAAAGTCAACTGATGAGGACTTTGATATTGTAGTCTTCACTTGACAGTGACAACCCTGGGAAAGAGTAGGGTTTTTTAGGCCTGAAACCCAGGGAATCTTTAGTGGGTCACCTACTTTCTCAGGAATGTGTTTTCACCAACCACCTGGTGGGAATAGTTGTTTCCTCATGGTCTGTTCTGTGAGGATGCTCTTGTAAAATGTGTTAGGTGTACAAGGGTGAGCTGCCAGTACAATTCAAGCACAAAAGTCATAGAGTACCACTGTAGGGTATGAAGAGGCTCCAAATCTCCTAATGTGGTTGTCCAGTATATGGGCATCTTAATAGACAAGGAAAAGACTAAGTGGGATAAATGTAGAGCTCACCAGCTGCCTGGAATTAAGTCTTTAGTAGATGTTCAAGCACATTATCCCTACCATTCAGTCTCTACTTTCAAGGCAGCAGTTAAGTGTGGATAAATGATCGATAAAGTCTGTCAACTGGAAGCTGAGTGTCTAATCAAAGAAAGTTTAAAATAGAAAATGCTTCTACATCCACCCACCCTCGCCTTTAAAAATAGCTAATGTATGCATTAGTTAAGATTCGGCTCTTTTTTTTTTTTCCAAGGGGATAATAGGGTAAAGTGATTTCTATTGTTGCAGGGTGAACATTATAACCTTACCATCACTTAGTGTTTAGAATTAACTGAACTGATCAACCCATCCCCACCAGGCAAGTCAAAGTAACCAGACTAGAGATGCAGATTTGTTTTTTAAAAGGATCTGTGAAGCTTTTAGTTTTGAGGACAAGGCTTTGTGGCCAATTAACTAAATTCCTTTACACTTCCCATAGAATAGACTCAATGTCTGCTTATAATTGGCTGTTATTGTTTTCAAATCACCTTAATACTTCCAAGACCCCCTCACAGCACTGAATAGCTCCCATAACAAAGCCTGATGTCTACAACAGTTGTACAGATACAGAAACAATCCCATGGGGGTATTATCATCCTATGATGTCAGTGCAGGTCAGTTTGTGTCCCTGGTTAACTACAAATGTGAAGTCTGAGCAGTCTGGAATGGATTTGGGCACACTCAGTATATAACTGGCTCATCTCAAGGACTTGATTTTTTTTTTCCTCTCTCTCTGCTCTCAGGTCTTGACATGGAAGCCACCTTAGCAGAATCACCAATGTCTTAGAACTTGTCAGTTCAACTTGTGGTTAGGGAACAGCTCTTAGTAATAATCTTTGAACAAAGTCCTATGCCCTGTAACCTGTTGGGCCATGGTAGAGTCTGCCCTTGGTTCAAAAGCATGGACAATGACACCATACCGATATGTTCTCCAAAGAGACTGAACGCTGAACTCTTTCTTGGTGTTCTTTTTTGAAGAAGGGAGTCCTTGGAGTGCAAGTGAACCCAGCATTGAGCCTGAGGGAATGAGCAATGCCGGTACGGAGGAAAATTACCACAGAAACATGTCGTGGCTTCATGTAAGTATCTCTGTTTCTTCTGTTTGTCTGATATTTGGGGCTACAGATCTACATCAGGTCTTCTCTTTGTCTGCTGTAATCTGATCCTTCCAGTGGCTTGGTCAGTGAGCTCAGAGCATGCTCTGCCCAGGCATATAGAAGCCAGGGGAGGATTCTGGCTGTCTTCCTTTGTCATGCTCCATTTTATTCATCTAAGGAGGGGGCTCTCATTAAATCCAAAGCTTACCCAGCTAAGCTGGCTAGCAAGTCAACCAGCCAGCAAGCTCTAGGGATCCCACTCAGCTCTTACGTGTGCTGGGGATTCAAACTCCAGTCCTCATGCCTACACAAGTACTCTTACACACGAGCCCTCATGCCAAACAAGAAGCTGCTCTTAATTCTTTAATATGTAGGGTCGTAAGTCATGTCAAATTGCTTCATTAAAGATGGCAAGAGTCAGCTAAGTAAAGAGAAATCTCAGTCATATCAGTGTAGCCAGAAAGGGGCCCTTCCAACTCCTTTGCCATATGCTATTGGCGAAAAACAAGACTTTAGACTAACCCAAGCTCAATGGGAGGAGCTTTCACAGAGCTTAAGTAGCAGATTGTATAGCTCACCAGGCATCATCTTAGAAATATACCCACTAAAGGATTATCAGTAACAGAATTTTAAAGTTACAAAGTATAGATTGCTAAACCAGTTGTTGCTAACCTCAAAACATTCGTATCAGATATCTCTGAGGCAAAGTCTAATGATATACTGTGTGAGTGCATGCTTGTGTGAGTGTGTTAGTGCATTGTGTGTGTGTTTGAGTGTGTGCGTACATGAAAAGATTTCTTGGAGTTTCTCCTGGACACCAGATTCGTAATAACACAGAAACCATAGAATTCTTATATATGTCTGCCTCATGCTTCAGTGTAAAGCAGCATATCCGAAGATACACAGTAAATCTGGAGATGAGCTGGATATTCTACCAGACACCATTCATATTTGTTGAAAACCTTGGAGGCTTAGATATTGTTAGCTTGACAGGAGTATAAAGATAACTATGGCTTTTCTCTTTGCCTCGGAATAAGCAAAACATGTCAGTCTTAAGGCAGCCTCTAGCAACTCTGCCAAGGAGGTTCAGTTGGCCTCCTCTGTGTATGCTTGCATTTTGTTCCCATCCAGTATGGTGCACAGTCCTTCCCAGGTTAGTTGTCAAGGTGGAAGCTGGTTTCATGGATGACAGAAGCATTCAGAGAGTTATGCTATACATACTTTCTGTTAGGAAGATTGATTTAAAAGCTATGCACCTAGTTCAGATCATAATACCCACATCCAGGTCACAACTGTCTGTAACTCTAGTTCGAGGGCATTTGACACCCTCCTCTTTTGACTGCTACAGGGATGCATGGTGTGCCTACAGACATGTAGATAAAGCACTCGTATATATAAAATAAAAAAAAAAAACGTTTTGAAGTTGTAAACTTGGGATCTGGAGGCATGGCTCATTGACAAAGCACTTGCCTAACAATGCACAGTTACCAGAGTTTGGTCCCTAGCACCACAAAAGAACACAAGCCACAAATGTAGGCTGAAGAGATGTAGCTCGGTGATGGATACGTGCTCTGCAAGTGCAAGTTCCAGAATTTGAACACCAGAATTGTGATTTCGATTTGTACATTTCAGTTGCAAATTTGTTTCTGTCTTAAAATAACTGTATCATTTCAAACAGCTGAGTTCATTTCTAGACTCCTAATGTGAAATCTTAGGAGATGTATTTGAATAAGTTAAATGATTTTAGACAGGGAGCTAGAATGGCTTAAAAGTCAGAATAGGGCATTGGAAATGAGGCTTTCTGGTGAGGTTCAAGTTCCAGTTCCTGACGACTATCCAGACTGAAGGTGCAGAGGTGTTTTCAAGCACTGCACAGTAAAGGGGAGAGTTAAGGGTGTACCCAGGTGTTAAGGACAAGTTAGAGAACTCTAGAACTGAACTCACCATTGTATGTCCTTCCTTCTGGCTCCTCTCACAGTGGAGAAGCTGGGATAGGAGTTTGAAACTATTTGGAAGCCATATACTTCACAACCAGTGCTCAGTATTTCCAAAATATCCTTTTACTAATTAAATTAAGTATGAAGGGAGAAAAAAAAGGCCACATGATCAGAGACCTTCAGCTAACTATCCACCTGTGGGAATTACTGAGTTCCTGTAGTTTGCTCACTGATTAAGAGTTCTTGCATTGACTTTACAACTTCCTGCATTGCCTGGTTGTTGAATATGTGGGTGTTTTGTTTTTGTTTTTTAAATTTTCTTTTCCAGGTCATGATCTTACTATGCAATCAACAAAGTTTCATTTGTACACATGTGGATTACTGCCATCCACACTGCTACCTACACCATAGCCGTTCCTGTGCTCGATTGGTCAGGGCCATTAAGCTGCTGTATGGGGACAGTGTGGACTCCCTGCGTGAGAGCAACAACATCAGCAATGTGGCTTTGAGGGGCAAGAAACAGAAAGAGGTGAGTGAGCAGTCACTGGGTAGTATACCATGGGCAGGAGAAAAGATGTATTTATAGTAATGTTCTTATCTGCCCTGGAAATAAATGCAAAAAACAGTTATATAAAACACACTACACAGATCTATGCAGCTCTAAGAAAAGGCAGATGATATGTGCAAGACAGACAGATGCTTTGTCTGTGTTTGCAAGTAAACATGGAGCATTCCCCAGGCTTTGTCTCATAGATAAAAATTTAGGGAGTTTGAAGTGATGAGTAAGTAAAGGTTAGAAGAACATTTCCCTGGGACCTACAAACATGACAAGAAAGACTTTGCAGGTATGGTTAGGGATTTTACAGTGAGAGAGTGCCCTGGATTATCCATATGGGCTCAGGGTTGTCCTATGTGTCCTCATATAGGAAGAAAGAACTTCTGAGAATCTAAAGCAGAGCAGATGACAAGAGACAGCAGAATTGGGAGGGGACATGAACCCAGAAAAACAAGCAAACTCCAGACTCAGAGAAAGTGAAGGAAACAGAATACCTCCTGGAACCTTTCAGTTTCTTTGAAAAGTCTGACCCCCAGAATTGTAAAGAAAAACAAAAACAAAACAAACAAACAAGCAAACAAATAAACCTGGGATGTAATAAGCTATGAAGCCTGTGATAGTTTGTTGGAGCATCAATAGAGAGCTATTAGAAGTATACATTATGAAATAAGTAATAAATGGCTCAACCATTTACAGATGAGTCAAACGATGCTAAGAAAATTCTTTGAACACCCTATGACATTTCCAAGTATTAAGCCACTCTTTCAGCTGAGCTGGCAGAATAGAATAGCCATGGCTGCAGTTCTTTTGCCAGGAAAATCTCCAGTTACCCTCCTGCCCCTGAACAGGCAGCATAGTCAAAATGCCCATTCCACTGAAAGCCACGGGCTTCCTCTACAGGTGCTTTTCTCAAATGGTTTTGCAAAAAAGATTTTTGTATAACACCTGCTCACTTCAACAAGCTTTTTCTATGCACCACCTGTTAGCAAAATATTAGAATAGATAATCTTTTAAAAGTAAATCAGCAGGAAAATAAAAATATCTTTCCATTAAGGACTTTACACACCAGGTTTGGGCTTAGAGTGGGCAATTAATACATTCTCCAAGCAGTTTGAGAATGTGAACATATAAAACAAAACTGCAGTTGAATTGTGTAGCAGTGGTTAATAATTCAGTGTTTCTGTGGGGTATTTACATTAAAGCTTTTTTATTTTGACTCATGATTCCAGATTGTGGTGTATTCTAGTGAGGGTGTCAAGGTGAAAGAAACTAGAAACAGCTAGTCACATACCATCCACAGTTAGGGGCAGAGAAAATCCAATGCATTCATGTTGGAGTTGATTTCTCTAACTCTTATACAATTCAGAACCCCCTTCCTAGGGCTGGTGCTGCCCACAGTGGGCTGGGCCTTCTCACACTGATTAACTGAATTAAGACAATCACACACACATATGCCCATAGGCCAGCCAGGGATAGACAATCCCACATTATGACTGTCTTTCCAAGTGAGTCCATTCATGCCAAGGTGACAGTTAAAGCTAACTATCACTCCATCTCTTCACTGAAATCTTACCTTTTTGTTGATAAGCACAAGACACACTCTGATGGTTAATAAATATCATTCTCTTTCCTTAGCCTTTTATCGAAATTTTAATGGAGTATTGCTTATGCTTTCCTCCTTGGCCTTTTATTCAGCCATCCATCCGTTTATCTATTCAGCAGAGTTGTGAAGAACCTCTGGACCATGCTGAGCCCATATTTTGTTCAGAGTGTAATCATAAACTAAGGAACACTGAGGATGTAGCTTACTTGTCAGAGTACTTGCCCTAGCATGCATAATTGTCTGGTAGTACCTCATAAACTATGTGTAGTAGTGGGGCACACATGTAATTTCAGCCCTCAGGACATGAAAGTAGGAGGATTAGAATTCAAAATATTCCTTAGCTACATAGTGAGTCTGAGGCCAGCTTGGGATACATAAGACTGCCTCAGTAATATCAGTAACAAGCCAAAGAAACAAAGCCCTTGCCTTCAAATCTCATGGCAGTAGTCAGACTTCCCCAGTATCCCTGAGAGATCTTATGGCCCTCTTTTGACTATAACTGTTGTGGTAAAACCACATTAGTAGTGGATAATGTTCTTGTTAAGTGAATTGTCCCGAGGAAACAACAAAATATCTACTCACTTCATACAGAGAAGGAACCAGCAAACCAAAGAAGATTGCATTCAAGTCCAGCCTGGTGAACCAATGAGTTATATACTCACAACTAGCTATACTTCCAGGGACTCTCCTAGGCAACAGAATTCCCTTTCCTATAATCTCAGGGTGGCTAATGAAAGTCTTAAGCCAGCCTCATGAGTGTCTATCCTCTCTCCTTGTGGGAATGTTAACATGTCAATTTCACGAGCATCACTTGCATGTAATCACAGTGGCTCTGTTATACAATAGCTATCTATGCTTATGTCCATCCCAGAGCAAACAGCTAAATTTATGGTTCTCCATTAGTGATGAATTACATCCTTTGTCTTGGTTTATTCTTCCCAGATTTCTTTATACATTCTTGCTTAATGTCTAATTCTAACCATTCATGTAATCCAGTGAGATCTCAAACTCTTCAAAAACCACTACTAGAAGTCATGAGAAATAGCCCTTCATTCTATTTGATGCCTAAGTTCCTTTGACTTGAGTTTCATTAAAAAAAAAAAAAAAAAAAAAAAAAAAAAGTTCTCACAGTAGTTTGGTCTGAGTCAAGAGTTATACCATAAAGGAACTTCAGGACTCAAACGCATTAACACATTATACCAAGTCCCTGTCACACATGTTCCCACCTCTAATATCTGCTGCCTGACTCTAAACAAGTCATTCAAGCACAGTGACCAGCCTGTGACCCAATGTAAACACCATCCAACTCCTTCCCCTTCCACTGAAACCCACAACCTAGGTATCATGGAGCCAGCAGACACACCGCGCTTCCTCAGCATTCTTGCCAACATGTGAATGTGGTGTCTCAAAGGGGGCTGGCAGACAGAATGAGACACGACTCTGTGTTTTCTAGCACATTGGGTAAGGTGTAACCGCTCAGCTTTTCTTGAACTGGATACTATTGTGTCCTATCATTTAACCAAGAATAATTATTTGTATGTAACCATGAAAAGGATGCAATGTCTAGCCAGAGGACAAAGGAATACACTTATAAACATCTAAAATCATTACTCCCCAGAAATTCCATAACATAAAAAATCATAGAAATGGTTGTGTAAAAGCTATCATTGTTTGCTAAGATGCATCAAGGGAGAAAGAGTGGATGAAACAAAGTAATTACTGTTATTAAATTGGGAATTTGGGGATTTTCTGTTATCTTCATAGTTTCTGTCTTTTCCAAAAACTCTGATATGCACATGTATTATTTTTGAGTAGAAAGGTAAAGCACACAGGTAGGGATTTTAAATACCACAAACCTTTCCATAGGGATGTAAGACATCTTCTACATCTCTGTGGGAAGTTATAGCTATACATGATTTTAAAGGTTTTATATATATATATATATATGTGTGTGTGTGTGTGTGTGTGTGTGTGTGTGTGTGTGTGTTTTATATGTGTGTGTGTGTGTATGTATACTCTTAATACAGCCTATTTCCCAATTGTTTTATGTTTCAAGAATGTACTACCATTGTTTTTTCCTTTTTCTTTCCAAAACACAGCTGGAGCTCTGATCTCCTTTCCTGCATAGGTTCATTTTAAAAGTTGGTCCCAGACCAGCCCTTTAACAGATTCATTGTCTTGGATTCTTTGTCAGAGTTTCAAGAGGCTTTCTTGGGGCATGTACATGCTTGTAGATTTGCTTTTTCTTTCAAAATATCTTCATCTATCACACTGTGAAGCTTTACCAAAAATGCTTAAGTTTAGTTTTTCTTTTGGCACAGAGGGAGAAAGTTTTTCATTGGCCTGGCCCTGGCAAAGTTACTGAGCTTTACTCTGTGAGGGCCTGCACAGCCTGGAATGAAAACAAAACAAAACAAAAAGCAGGAAGGAATCACAAGTCAGGATTAATAAACAAGGAAGGACCAATTCCTCTCTAAACTGCCCTGACCCTTCCAGGCTTTGGCACCTTGGGAGTCAGAGGCAGGCATGTAAATGAAACCGCCTGTTCTGGAACCAGGTTGAAGGCACAGTTTGCAATTAAGATGTATAGTTATTTTCCCCCCAAAGCCACTGTATCTGAGCCAATTTCCATTGAGATGATGGGAAGTATCAACTTATTCTTCCCTGTCTGCCCTGTCTGCATCTTAACACTTGAAATACTTCTTTCTTCCCTGACACATACCTCAACTTGTACCCTAGACTAGAGTGTATTTTATCTGGATTAACCTTTACTTAAAATTTTCTTTTTTCAGCCACTTGACAGAACATAATCAAACCTGAAACAAAACTCAGGAAGCCTTTGTCTTTCCCATATTTGGCAAATAACTAGCTTTGCAACTTGGTCAGATCATGCCACACTTGTATCCTTGTTTCTTCAAATGTAAAAGAGAAGTTTCATAGGAATCCTATCGAATACCCCTTTTCACAACAAAACCAATGCTTTTCAGAAAGTTCGGGCCTGTGCAGTACATATGTATGTATGCATGCATGCATGCATGTATGTATACCTTCAGTTAGAAGATGGTACCATGGGGAAGCTGGGGGATGTAAAACACTATGGGTTTTGTAAAAGCACTTTGGATACACACCTCACCTTTTCTTAGTGCTCAGATAAGTCGTGCCTGAGGACACCTTCCCTGAAGAAGAGAGTTTCAGATGTCAATCTGGAAGGGAAGAAGGACTCCGGAATGCTGAAGTATATCAGGCTTCAGGTATGGGCACTCAGGTCAGAAACATTCATGAAGCATTAACAGGAAAGAGACCCCTTACACTCTACTGATGAGTGTTTGGGACACAAGCCGGCACTGTGTTGATATGTATGTCCTCCTAACTGGAAAGCAATGTACCACCAAGTGTGCAAGGAGAGAAAACTCCTTGCTAAGACAGCCAGTTGAAATAGAAGAGACATAGAATGAGGTCTAGAAGTTTGGGTGGGCTGCCCCTCTCACACTCTACTGTCTCCAATGGAGTTAATCTCCTACTTAGCATGTAATGGCTATCCACAGGCTTCCATATGAGACCATCTACATTCTCATTCTTATGCCTAGGCTACTTCTCTAGCTCTGAGACTTGGGTGAGGAATTTCATTCCCCTTGCTCTTTGTTATCTCATCAATGAGAAAAGGATTATAGGAATATACCTATCTCAAAGGATTGTGTCAAGAATTAAATAAAAGAATGCATTGGCCTACTTATCCAGTTATGGACACACTATTCTTTTGCTCTTACAAGCCAAGTGTGAAATCATCCCTTTCCCTTATGGGGATGAAGGGATTTTCATGTTTTCCTAGAATGTTTAAAATGATACCTTATTTATAATCTGCATATATTTCCTACATTATGAGAAATAATGGATTAAGTAGAACTTTGTGGGTAGTTGTGGGACCATATCCATAGTGTATAATCACGTTGTTTCAAAGGGAAATGTCATTCAAGGTCATGCTGCCTTTGGAAATTAAATTTATAAATGAGCTCCTTTATACAGATCCCATGTGGTTTCCAGTGGAAATCTGCTAGCATGGAGAAAATAAAAGAAAGAAAGCTTTAAAAAACCTACCAGAACTTTGAAGACAAAGTTGTGGTTGTTGCTTTCTTTCTTTCTTTCCTATAAAGGTGCCTTATACTCCATGGTTAATATTTTGAGTTATTGTAAAACTGTTCTTGTATGTATGATGAAAATATTACAAGATCGATATTTTTTTCTGACTTCCCTAATAATATATATAGTTTGCATGGCCTGTCACCTAAATCCTCTCCCGTTTTAGGAAATATCTTAAGGTCACCCAAGGGAACGAGAGAAGGGAGGAGGTTCTTAAGTTCAAGAAGTAATTTTTGTCTTAAAAGATTTGAAATATGATTTACATCTCTCCCCCAGGTGATGAGCTTGTCACCTGCTCCCTTATCGCTACTAATCAAGGCAGCGCCAATTCTGACAGAGGAGATGTATGGAGATATCCAGCCTGCTGCCTGGGAACTTCTTCTCAGCATGGATGAGCACATGGCAGGGGCAGCAGGTAAAGAAACACTACGTGAGATCTGGCCATTGTGGCCATTAGTGACCACAGTGTTGAAACAGAAAAGAGGCTTTCAATTCTGTCAGGATGATGGAAGCTTCCAGACTTCTAGAGAATGGTTTTTGAAGTCATGAATTTTGTGGTGATGTGTGCCTACAGTTCCATCACCGAGGATATGGAAACAGGGGAATCCTGAGTTTGAGGACAGCGTGGGTTAGATAATTGAGTTCCAGTCCAGTCTGAAATAGATAGTGAGGCCCCTACAAAAAGAGACTTCAAGGATTTAAGGATACAGCTCACTGGCTGAGCACTTGCTTAGTGTGAACAACATTCTAGATTCATCTCTAGCCTGAAAATAAAGAAATTAAAGCAGCAATTGATTTTAAGTGAACAGTAACTGGTGACATTTACAGTGACTCGTAAGACACTGGAGTGTTGATGCTTGTGGCAGCTGAGGAATGGATGCCTGGTGTCTCTTGAAGGGAGGGGTCTGTAGAACAAAGGCGTACAGAAATGGCCTTGAAGCACTGACCTTCTCTATCTTCAGAGGTCTAGAGAAATTCAGCAGAAAAAAAATGACCCCCCCCAAAACTGATGAAACAGAGCTTTCAGCTTCCCAAGCCATGAAAGCAGAGAGAACTAATTTTTCTCAGAGGTTTTTATGAAGGTGTTAAGAGTAAAGAATTGCTACACACACACACACACACACACACACACACACACACACACACACACTATTTGGTCTGTTATGAGAAAACTATTTTGGTAAGAAGTCAAAAGCAGAACTCTTCCATAATGTATGAACGATATAAACGTGGTGTTTAAAAACTGAAACAGAGTGGAATACATTTAAAAACCAAGCGTGGAGGTTTATGTAGCTAGCAGACCAAATAATTTATCAAAACCTAGTGACCACAATAACACTAGCATTTATTGTAGAATTATGTCTCATTTTACTAATGAAATTTAATTGGTTTTTGTTTTTTGGTGTTGTTTTTTTTTTTTTTTTTTTTTCAATTGCTGCTGTTTTTGAGACAGGGTCTCACTTTATAGCCCAGGCTGGCCTTCAAACTCAGCCTCATTTTAAGATTACAGGTACGTGCCCTGTTGCCTGGCACAAGTAGCTTATTTTATAGAGTTTACAAACTCAAGTCAGAGTTGAAGGAACTTGTGGAAGTTTGTCCCACTCCGATCAGAGAGCCATAAAATCCAACCCAGACCTACAGACAGTGCATTCTAGATAGCTGTGCTTTATATCATTTTGCTAGAGAAAAATGAATGCACTTCTCACTTCACAAAGTGCTTCCTGTGCTGGTGAGATAGCACAGACAGTTGCGAGTGCTTTCCTGTGCATCATTTTACTTCACTGGGATAGGAAACTTGGAGTCCGGCATTATCGAGCACTCATCATCATTCTTCCTGGCCATTTTCCAGGGAAGAAACGGATGCTGCAAGGTTAAGAGTCTTGCCCAAGATCATGTAGCAAAGAAGTGTGAGAGCTAGGACCCAACCTCTATTCTGCTGACACAACTAAGCATGGATTGGGGCTGTAGGAAGAAAAAGTGTGTGTAGATTATGTCTTCATGTCTGCCATCGGCCCTTCTATCTGTGCTATAGTCCTGTTTCTCTTCATTCACAAGCCCTCAACTTACCGCCACATCCCAATTTCTCTAACTAATATTTAGCTCTCACCAAACTTTAGATTTTAAGTCTTCTGGTATGTGAAATCACCTTTTGCTCCTCAATCTCTGGGAAGGGCAGCTGTTCTGAGTAGAATTTACTTTTCCTGGAGCGGATGGAGCTGAGGTTATTTTGCAGACTGTCTTCTTGTGTCATCCTCAGATTGCTACTGAAGACTCTAGCCATTTCCTGAGTAGTACATTTCACTGTGTAACCTTTTTTTTTTTTTTTTTTTCATTGCTTTCTCTGGCTCTCCCTTTTCACCACGAACCAAAGAAATTCACCTAGAATGAGTATTCTGCTGAAATGTCACCACTGCCCCTGCTTTGTCACCAGCTGCTATGTGTCCTGGTCAAACAAAGTTTGCTGTTTAGTTTCTAGTAGCTGGAGCATTGTTAGCTTTGGCCACTGTTGGCGGCCTGGGGAGTGGTTGTGAGGGGATAGGAGCAGTTCCCGTATCCCCTCAACCCCAGAAATAACAAGGCAGTCTTAAGTTGTGCAGCTGACTAATTATTGTTGGCTGTCTCTAGCCGCCATGTTCCTGCTGTGTGCGGTGAAGGTCCCTGAAGCTGTGTCAGACATGTTGATGTCCGAGTTCCACCATGCAGAAACCGTACAGAGGCTGAATGCAGTCCTCAAGTTCCACACACTCTGGAGGTTTCGCTATCAGGTCTGGCCAAGAATGGAGGAGGGAGCACAGCAGATTTTTAAGGTGAGGGATGCTACGTCCACGGAAACTAGATCAGCACAGCCAACCCAGGGCTTGTTTAAATCCATGGAACACAGACTCACAGTGCACAGTGCACAGTGCTCTGATTGTACTGGCAATCCTAACTCATATATAAATAAATACCATTTGATTACACAAATTGGAACACACAAGAACATGGAACAACAACAACAACAAAAATGAAGTCAGTAGCAGCCTGACTATCTCATTGCCATCCTCCAGGGCCTAAGTGTGGATTGTAACCATGCTGGCATTTTTGCTGTCTACACACATACATATGTTTGGGGCAGAATAGACCAAACAGCATAACTTTTGATCATTTTGTTAAAATACTTCATTTCACTAATGAACACACTGAAGCCCAAGGAGGATCATCCTGTGCCATGTAACAGAAAAGTCCTAGAAAATATCCCTTTTCTTTGGTGTTTCTTATGCCTCTAAGGAGCCACCCAGACCCTTGACACCTACTAAGGTGTTCTGTGTTCAATTCTGCCTCAGACTCTTTCTAGCTTCTACTCCGTCCTACTAACCTCACTCTTCTGTGTCAACTAACAGATCCCGCCTCCCAGCATAAACTTCACCCTGCCCTCACCAGTACTTGGAATGCCATCTGTCCCAATGTTTGACCCTCCGTGGGTCCCTCAGTGCAGCGGGAGTGTCCAGGACCCCATTAACGAAGACCAATCTGTGAGTACCAGGCCCTTTCTTTCCCATATCTCCACCTTGCATGGGATGCATGCAAACATTTGATCATTCTTGTCATAAGAATGCAATAACACAGAAAGTCATGGTGACCCACAGTATTAGGAATAGTAGAAACTAACTTCTATCAAGCTAAGTCAAAGCATCAAACAGGCATTTATTTACTGGTAAACAGAGTGGCTTACTGCTATTTGTTGTTACATTAATTTAACTGCAGTGTATGAGCTGCCTGGTGGTTGAAGACATGGGTCCAGCAAGAGTAAGAAATGAAGAGTCAGCAGCTTGTAGCTCTTGTCTAGTTCCCATTTTATTGTCACCACCACCATTGTCATTGCCACCATCTCTCAAAACTTTAGGTATTACAGTCCTTTATGTATCATTGCTATGTAAGAGATACAGCTAAGTATATTCACAGAAAAAAATATATGCCTTTGGAATAGTGAGTCTTCAAGTTACACCTTTATCATCTATTGAATAGCATACCTCCACATTAACAATAATACTTTTTAAAAACTCAAAAAGGAAACAAAAACAGAAATGGAATACATTTTAGTGCAAATTCACCATTGTGTCCATGAACAAATTTCCCTGGAATTGACAGAATTTGGTTTGTATATTTCAAATGTATGTCATATATCTCCCAAAAGACATCCAGAAAGATTATACCATTACCTTTTGTACTTTATACAAAATTATGTTTTCTGTTGTCAAGGCAAAACTTATCTCTTGCTCCAAGGAGAATAAATAATAGCTAATTCTGAATCAAATATTAGTGACATGGCTTAGGAATACAGATTTATGCTACTCTGAATGATACCTTGGAAGAAGTTTCCTGAGCCTCTGTAGTCTCAGAACAAAAAAAAAGTTATTAATCAATGCAATTACTAAATACACAGGTAGGGAGAGTGGACAGTTATAGAAGAAAGATGAGAAGTTCTGTGCTTCAGATGCTACCTTGTTTATGAGTTTAAGACATCCCAAAGTTTACTTATTAGAAAAGGGTGTTAGGCAAGTGCCACTATTGTACCTTTAGGGATACCTTGCCTCCTGGCTATTGTTGGGGTTCATAGGTATCACAGCGGAGTAGGATGATTGGTTTTTTTTCTCCCTGGTCAGCTGCTATAGCACTTTCTAGTATTATGAAAGTCAGTCTTTAGGGTGGAGACTTTGGGTCAGATCCAGTTCAATTCCTCTGAGTCCTTTGTCTAAATGTCATGATGCTGTCAGCTGTAGGGACCTACCTTTGCCTTGGTCATCTTGTGAGGTGACCAAGGGCAACAGCAATAGTGTATAGTCTGGAACTTCCCTGACCAACAATCCAAAAGGAAATGCTCATACTGGGGTTTTGGTTAGATAGTCTAGGGCTCTTCAGGTAGTATTAGCACTCCAAGTAGCATTACTTCATTTAACTAATATATAATTTTAGGTAAATATAAAATAATGTGATTTCCTATGTGTCTTATCAAACATTCTTAGTGTCTATGGCTATACTACCCTGAATGTTTTAAGTGACAGGATCTTAGATTTAATACTTGGTGTTGGGGTGATGGGAGCACAGAAATAGTCACTCTGGGGGAACTGGGAAAGGGACATTTTCAAAAAAAGATAAACGTGGGGCTTTTGGGTATAGTAGTGTTGGTCGTGTTATAGTCTTAGCCTGGCAGTGGTTACTGTTATGTTGGAAGCTTCACCCCAGCCCCTGGCATCCATATACCCACAGAGTCGAATATGTTATGGTGGAGGTTCTACCCAGGCCCCCTTCTCCATCTCCCTCCAAACCCTGCTGCATCTCAGAAAGCTGCCAAATGATGACCCCTCCCCCAGAGACACTCAAGACCACTTCCACAGGGAATTTAAACTCCCCCCCCCAGAAAAAAGACGTGGTTTTCCAGTTGCTCTTTCTCGTCTCCTCTCTGGGGGGTTGGAAGGTACCCAGGAGTGTTGTATCCATTAAATGTGGGCTTTAAAAAAGCGGGGGGAGGGTTGTTAGGTCAGTTGCAGAGGTTTGCAGTTAGTAGCTATTAAGGGAACTAAAAATAGCCCAAGATAGTTTTGGCTTTCAGTCTGTAATGTTCCTTCTTTTCACAAACAAGAAATTCTAGTCAGTCGATCTATAAAATTTTGAACACCAATGTGATTTTTTTGCAGGGGGTGGTGGAGACTTCAGCTCACACGATTCATGTGTTAGTTACTTTGAATGGTACAATAAGTTATTGGTATTTTAATTCGCACATCTTGGAGAACATTAGTTGACTATATGAAGTTGAGTTGAACATCTTTGCAGGCCATGCGTAGATTTTTCTAGGCATTTGCAGTGTTCTTTGCAGAACAGTTTGTTCAATCCCTTTTGAGTCACGATATGTTATTTTACTCATATCCCTCATGTATATTGTCTCCATGCCTCATGGCCTCAGTGACAAGGAAAACACACCTGTTTCTTCTCTCACATGTGCAGTAACTCAAGCATCCGCTCCACCAATATAAGTGTCTTTGGCTTTTCTCCCATGCAAGTCATAAGTTCCTTTGATACAAATAACTCTTTCCCAATAATCGATAAAAAAACAAAACAAAACAAAACAAAACTCGGATTTCATATCCAGCATGCATTCTCTCTTTTTCCAATTCCTACAGTATGCCTTATAACAGACCAGCTTAGCTACCTGCCTCTGAAAATAAACTATGTGATCCAACACTGTACCAGTCATCTGTTGTACAATTTATCATGGTATAAACTGCTAGTCTCATCTTATCCTACCTAGTGGAGCTTCTGTAATTTAGTCAAGATCTCCAGATGTCACTATAACCATATGTGACTTTAGGGCAACAGAGAGATGCGAATTGACTGTTGTGCTTCAAATTGACCAGGAAAGACTCTAGTGGTCACTGCCTTGCTCTGATCACTGACTTTGTCCCTACAGCTCTCAGCATCTATCTCAGTATAAGCATCATGAGTAAAGAAGGCATGAATTGTATAATGGTATAGGTATTACATGGGATGAATTACCTGTTCTTTGTCTCTATCTATTGCCTGTAGAATGGTCGATTGGTTTAATGTTTTTCACTTCAATTTTTACATTCAACCTGTGTCCTATTTTACATTTAGTAATACTCTCCTACAAAGTATTTTCAGCTTGCTGCAGGATTTATTGATGAATGTTAATTACTGTGATGATATTTTGTTTGTGATCTAATGAATAAAGCTTGCCTAAAGATCAGAGTGTGGAGCTAGCCATAGAGGCCAGGCAGTGGTAACACACACCTAGCACTTGGGAGACAGAGTTCAAGGCCACCCTGGGCTACAGGAAATTGATCCAGTCTAAAATAGAAACAGAGCCAAGCAGTGGTAGCTCACACCTTTAATCCCAGCACTAAGGATGTTGAGATAGTTTAATAAAAGTTGTTCTTCCTGCTTAAATTGTGGATTGTTATCACCTGAACATGTGAAATAAAATTGTTTCTAGAAGTCATAGACATTGTTAAGGAATAACAACAGTGAGTAAGGGGGGATGTCACCAACTGTAGAAATTTAATATGTGTGGTGGTGTGTGTGTGTGTGTGTGTGTGTGTGTGTGTGTGTGTGTGTGTGTGTCTAGACAGATAGGTTGCAGATAGGTATCAATTAGGCCGGATTTTCTACAGGCAAACTTCCACCTTTCAGGGCTTTGTTGGATCACTCTTTGTGCCTATGGACCTGTAAGATGTGTAGTCATGTACCGGTTTTGTGTTTCCACAGAAATCCTTCTCTGCCCGGGCTGTGTCCCGCTCTCATCAGAGGGCAGAACACATCTTAAAGAACTTGCAGCAGGAAGAAGAGAAGAAACGTCTTGGTCGAGAGGCGAGCCTTATCACCGCCATTCCCATCACCCAAGAGGCCTGCTATGAGCCCACATGCACACCCAACTCAGAGCCTGAGGAAGAAGGTGCCTTCACATCTGTGACATCTAGGGGAAAGGGCGCATGCCACCGGGAAAGGATCTGCTTTCAGATAAACAAGGATGACACCACATGGAATGCCTTCCCTTACCTGCCCCTCACAAAGAGAAAAAAAAAAAATGCTATTTTCTAATGTTTAGAATTGTCCTGTACCTGGAGAATGATAGTAACCTTGAACAAATCATCTGATAGCCAGCCAGTTGGTTGTGGTTGAGAGAAGCTGAGTCTGCCATGCACAGACAGCAAACACTGAGCCTGACTAATAATGAGTTCATCCGTTAACCACTTTTAGCCTTCCCAACTACAGATAGCTTTCCCATGGTTATCTAAAAAATGATTTGTAAACCATTATAATTTTATTAATTCTCAATTTGGCTTCTTGTGGGAAATTTTTATAAGGGATTCTCTGCTTCTGTAGAAGTTTATGTTTTGTTTTCTAAGTATGTGGTAAGGCTGCGTAAGCATCTGGTCTGACAGTGGCAGTACTTGACATAAGTACAACTTTACCTTGTGGTGATGGTAAATTTGGGTTCTAAAACTAAAATTCACATTCCCCATTCTGTTTGCCAGTAGAAGAAGTCGCCAATCTGACATCGCGACGGCTGTCTGTGAGTCCATCCTGTACCTCCAGCACATCCCACAGGAACTACTCCTTCCGCAGAGGGTCAGTCTGGTCCGTACGTTCAGCAGTCAGTGCTGAAGGTGTGTCCTCTGGCCAACGCGCTGTTCTTGATCACTACTTCATTCTCAACTATATTCTCATATTAGAAGTGCTTTGTGGCTCAGAACTTATGTCTAGATATGTGAGCAAGTTTTGAGTTCAAGGCTTTTGTGATACTAATGTCCAGCTTTATTCTTTTGCTGAGATTTACCTAGTTGTCCCACTTATTAATTACTAGTTATACTATCCCAATTTTATTGGCACGATTTTCAAAAGACACATGACTAAGAATGAAATGGTCTATCTCATGATTCTATGTTTAAGTCTCCATGTTGATCCCAACCCCAGGCAGTCTTGGCTATTACTTTCTAGTTAAGCTTTTTAATTGGAAAGTGAAAGTCCTTTCTTACTTTGTTTTTCATTTCCAAGATTATCTTAGCTATTCGTGATCTCTTGACATTCCTATGTGAATTTTAAGATGGGTTCATCAATATTCTTCAAAAAGGACAGATGTATCTTAATCAATGTATCCATTGGTTATCTATCCATTCATACAATTTTATGTATGTGGTTTTCAATCTACAAATATTATACTTCCTTTGTTGAATTTATTTGTGTTTTATCTGTTTTTGTTGTTGCCAATTTATAGAAACGTGTTCTTTTTTTTACTTGTGTTAGCAATAAAAGTTAATTTTTCCATATATATTTTAAGACCTGAAAGCTTGATAGGATAATTTCTTGTTTTGTTTTGTTTTGTTTTTGTTTCATTTTCATTTTTCGAAACAAGATTTCACTGTGTAACAGTCCTGGTTATCCTAGAACTCCCTTTGTAGACCCGGCTGGCCTTGAATTCACAGATTTCTGCCTGTCTCCGCCTCCCAAGTGCTAGGATTGAAGGCATGCACTACCAATGCCATGTGAGATAGTTTATTATTTCCAGTGATATTTTGTATCTCCCTTAATATATTATTTATATACATATATATAGTCATATCATTTGCAAACATAATTTACTCATTGTTTTCTACTGTAGTTTCCTTATATTTCTTGTTATTAACTACTTAGCCCTGCTAAGTTTCAAGGACAATATTACTATAAACAGTGGCAATACTTATTTTTGTCTTGCTCGCTGTCCTAAGTTGGAAACATTTTGTCTTTTACCATCACTTACAACATTAACCATGAATTTTTAGCAAATAGACTTTGTAATGTGATGAAAAGTCCTTTTGATTCTCAGGGTTTTAGTATTTTAATCATGAAATGTTCTTATGTTTGTCAAATGTTTTTTATGCACCAATTAAAATTCTCATGGGCTTTTTTCTTCATTAATTGACATGTTATTTTGTATTACTTTTATTTTTTCATATGTTATACAATTTCAGAGAAAACCCATCATGTTCATAGTATGCAGACTTTCTTACTAGAGCCCACTTGACAATACTTTGCAGAGGATTTTCTCCCATGTGTTCATAAGGGATATTGGTACACAGTTTCATTTCTTGTGTTGCCAGCATCTAGTTTCAGTATCAGAATATATACATACCTGAGTATAACACAGGTACAAATTGCCCTTTAAACACTGTTCCTGATGAATTCCAAAATTAGAAATATATTGTTTACATTTTCATAAGTATCAAAGTCCTTTTAATTTCCCCTGAGTAATTTGATTGACTGGTGTTTTAGAGTCAAGGTAATTTTCACATATTTGTGAATTCCCCAAATTTCCTACTGTTAGTGACATTTGATTTCATCACAGTAGAGTGAGAAAGCACAGATTGTGTGAGTTAGCGTTGGCTTCCTTGCTACCTATGTCCTGCTCTACTCCAGGTAGCAGTGTTTCTTTCTTTTGACGTTTTGGGTATGCATTGTTCGCATTTGATTTCTTTGAGAATTCTGTCTAGCGGCTCTTTTATGAAAAAGTATATAGTCTCTAGTTATCATTGTCAAATTGTTTCTTTCTCCTTTTGATTCTGCCATTATTTGCTCTATATGATTTAGAGTTCTACTATTATATGCATATGTGCATATAATTAACCTTCCTGATAAGCTGAATCTTTATCTAAATACATTCATCCTTGCCTGTAAAGCTTTTCTCTTTAAATGTCATGGTCTAGTATAAAGTTCACCATTCCAACTCTCTTATCATTTCTATTCACATGATTTATGTCTGTATTTTTGAAACAATATTCTGAATCTTAAACATAGATTGAATTTTTTTTTATCCATTCCACTAATTCTGCCTTTTGTTTGGAGAATTTTGTCTATATCCATTTACTGAAATTTATGAGTAAACTAAGATTTGTGTCTTCCATATTAAAAGATAAAATATATCTCTCAAAACACAGTTTTGTAATGTTAACTTTCAGTAATAATCACTTTTACATTTATATGGCAATTATATTAATTAAAATACAGCATATTCATAATAGCTACCTTAAAACCATTGCCTAATAAGTGCCATAACATCTCAGCATCTCCAGGACAGTTCCTATTGATTGTATTTTTTTCCTGAATATGAATGATATTTTCTTGTTTCTTTGAGTGTCTCACACATTTTTTTATTGAAAGAAAATAAAGCCAAAAAACAAAACAAAACAAAAACAAAAGCTGGACAATTGGTGGCACATGGCACATGTGTTTAGTCCCTGCACTCAGGAGGCAGAGGCAGGGGAATCTCTGTGAGTTCCAGGCCAGACTCAGAGAAACCCTGTCTCAAATTTTTTTTTAAAAAAAGTGAGTAAAGTTTTAATGTGGCAGATGTCTATCATCTTTCTATCTTCCCACCCATCTATCATTTTCAATGTCCTGTATGCAGTTAGTGAGAAGTTAGAACTGGATAAAGCTTTTATCTTCCAGCCTGTCACAGGACCTCTAAAATCTCAGAAGGCCAGAAGTTAAGATAGGAGACTCAAAGACTCAACATTTTCTATAAAAATGTTTATTTTGTATTAATAACTGACTTTGATGTTATTATTATTAATATTAATTAATATACTATTAAGTAACTTTGCTACCTTTCTTGACTTCTAGTACTTTTCCTGTTGTTTCCTTTATTGTAAGTGAAGTAATTATCAATGCTAATATTTATTGTATTTATCACATGAGGACGTTAATATGACCGTGTTACACTACCTACCCCAAATTCACATGCTTTCTGCTACCCAATGTTCGTGCTCATGATCTCTCACATATTTGTGACATGTGGCATGTCTTAGTCCTCACTTAGAATTTTATTTTCTCTGATTTCATGTTGTGAACTAATTTCCTCTCTCAATATGTCTGTGCTTCTCTTTCTCTGAAATATAATCCTAGTAATGGTGCTTGAGAATCGGGTTCATTTTGTTGCTTTTAGAGGGGGGACTTTCTATCAAGTCACAATTTTTTTTTTATTTTTAGCAATATTATAGATTGTATTGTAAAATAGAATTTGAAGTGCGAATTGTTGTTGCATTAGGAATTTTTGTCTCTCCCTCCAGATGAAGAACACACCACTGAACACACACCAAACCACCATGTGCCTCAGCCTCCACAAGCAGTATTCCCAGCATGCATCTGTGCAGCGGTCCTTCCCATTGTTCATTTAATGGAGGATGGAGAGGTGCGAGAAGATGGAGTGGCAGGTATCATCTGGCCAGTCAAACCATTCCCCTCTTACTTACCCTGCTCATCTGATGGGAAACAGCATTTTTCTCTCGAAGATAGAACCTATCTACGATATGCTAGATTGTTCCACGTACATGTTATAATAACATGCTATTGTTATCGCTCTCTCTACCTCCCTCTCTTGCCACCTTTGTTACCTTTACCAAGAAATTTCATTAAAATAGGTTGCTAGGTCCTTGAACAATTTTATGACCAGAAAATGTGGCAGTACATATTCGACTATCAAGGAGTTAATGGGTTTTATTTCCTATCTCAGAAATCTTAGCTATTAATTTAGTCATGCCAAAGCCTTCATTCCTAATTCATTGTCTTTCCTAATATACCAGTAAGATAAGTCTGAAAGAAGAAATAATAAAATAAGGTATATTTATAATGAACAACAGGTTAATATTCCTTTTGGCCTTTTTTTTTTTTTCTTCTTCTTTTTTCTTTTTAATCCTTTGATAAGGACAGAACCCAGGGCCCTGCACATAATCACCCAGAGCTCTAACACTGAGATGTACCCTCAGTCCTCTTCTTCCTTTAAAAAAAATCAGACAGGTCTCATGAAGTACTTTAAACACACAGCTGAGGCTAGCCTTGAACTTGAAATTCTCCTGTCTCAGCACCCCTTGCCAAGCAGCTGGAAGTGCAAGCCTATGCTACCAGGCTCAGCTAAGGTTAATATTCTTTCAGTTTTTAATATATGTACTGCAAGAAAGAACATGAGATTTATATTATTAATATGAAAGCTTAATAATTTAAAACCCCCCACAAATGAGCAAAAGGGTCTCTAGGCCAAGAGCATCCATGAATAACACAGTTACATAAACAATACTATCTTACATTTTGTTTACAAAGCTGCACCAGGCACACATGTAGAATCTGAAAGATTGTTTATATAAAATACAAATTAAAACTTTAAAGCTGAATTTATACAAAATGCAATCAAATTTTACTTTAATTTAATGAAGTCTTGCGTTGCCGACAGTAAGTTGGTCTCCAAGGTGAGGACAAGTGCACATACTTGCAAAGGCAGTGCTTGCAAAGCAATGCCAACACCTAAAGACAAACTCACTCCTGTTTTCTTCTCCTTGTACAAGAAAGTATTCATTGAAAACAAAACCAACAGCTTTCCACTTTTCAATACAGAAAGTGTTCAGAAGGCCATTTCTTTTCATATCAAGACCATATGAGCTTTATTGCATTTTACTTTTCAAAAAATAATAGTTATTAATTATTTGAAAATTTCACACATGTGCATAATTTTAATCGTATGCATCCTTGTCTCTACCTCCAACTCACCCAACCACAAACCCTTCTCCTTCCCAGCTTAATGTTTTCTTTTTTTTAATTTTATTTTTATGTGCATGGTTTCTGCCTGTATATACATCTGTGCACCACATTCATGCTGATGCCTCCAGAGACCAGAAGGGAGCATCAGATCTCTTAGAATTGGAGTCACAAATGATTGTGAACCACCTTGTAGGCGTTGGAATTTAGACTCGGGTCCTCTCAAAATTGTTATCATTATTAATAGCCCCTTGCATTCAATTATTGCTGACCATGCAAATGATGCAAATGATGTAGGGCTAGCCACTGAGGGAGAGGCAAATTGCTAATAGTCACATTCCCAAAGAAAAGTAACTCTCCATACCTCAACAGCCATCAAATGCCAAAAGCTCCTGAGCTAAAAGTACAGATTCAGAAGCCACTCTGCTCCCCATACTGGAGTTTTGACTGCTTTAGTCTTGCACAGACAACCACACCTGCTGAGAGTATTTTTCATCAGCTATATCATGTCCCAAAGACAGCATTGTACAGTAGTTGTACCCATCTGCTAGCTCTTAGCATTCCTTACACCCACTGTTCCTCAATGCTCCTCCTTCCCTGGATAGAAGGAAGATCATACAGAACACCTATTGTATGGCTGAATACTAGCAACCACTTATTCTCAGGACTTGGACCAATCATGAGTCTCTGTCTTAAGCAATTCTCACTGAAAAAAAAGTCTTTGACTAAGAATAAGACAAGCACAAACCTGTAGGTATAAATATAAACAATGAGAAGAGAGTTTGGCAACACGACCATTTAGTAGAACACCAGTAGGTTCACTCTAGAGCCCTAAGCATAGGCTGTTGACCAAATTACAGTTCCAGTCATGAAATCCCTCCTGCAGAGCGGCCTCAAATCTGCTCTTAAGGGGTCAGTTTCCCTATAACCATCATGCTAATATTGGGCCAATGGGTACAACTTTCCTGGCAGGTCAGCAATTAGATTCCTGGAACTCTCATGATAGAAAAATAACAACTTCAGAAAAGCTTTGAAAGCACAAAGAAAGGACTCGTTGAAGTTTAATAAATTGCTTTGAAACTACTTATGGACATTTTCTTTTCTCTTTTAAAGTCAGTGCTGTGGCCCAGCAAGTATTGTGGAACTGTCTAATCGAAGATCCATCAACGGTTCTTCGACATTTTCTGGAAAAATTGACCATCAGCAATAGACAAGTGAGTTGCTCTTCTTTTTAGCTATGAGTTCTGCTGAGCGCAAGCAAAGGACTTTACAGTTCTGCCAAGTGATATTAGTGTACTCTCATGTGAAGCCAGTAAGTATCTTTTATGTAATGATGCACAATATTAACTTTTGTTAATGCACTTAACAGTTCTCTGGTAACTGATTTTTTTCCATGTGTGCATGGTACATTGTTTAGTAACCCCAAGACTTGAAAAATTCTCAATATTTAAGCAAAGATTAAATGATGTTGAACTTTTTAGGGTTGAATACATTCACGGAACTCTAGATGTTTGGTAGTCTGGAATGCTAATGGAGTTATTCCAATGGGTTAACGTTCTCCATCACCCAGAAAGCTAACTTATCAGAGCACCTGTAAGGTATCAAATAAAAATAGTTTTCTGGACAATAAGGAAACAAACTTGTGTTTAAAAATTATTTCCATTTTTATTATATTCACTGGAAGATTACGTTTGGTTTCTGGGAAGCCGGGCTAATTACAGGCATTTCAATTTATCTTTCCTTGGCTTCATTTATCTCGTTGATTTGAAACCTAGGAAACCAAATTAGGAAAGTCAATTAAGCTAGTGTTCATGTTAGTTTCTCAAATTAGGTCCTCTCCACATTCCATTTACACCAGGCCAGCCATGACAAATAAAACAAGCTAAGTACACAACTCTCCCATGATTTACCAGTAGACACAGTGCAAAGTTGTATTTTAAAATAAAAATTTCTACTGCTTGGTGGTATTTATATATTATCCATAAACGTCTTCCCATTCACTTAACTGGTAAGAATCACATATAGTATCAGTATCTATGGATTGGTTTCTCCTCTGCCATGTTAAAGTGGTGAACACAATTGGAATCACTTATTGGACAAAAATTCAGAAAATTAACCTCTATTTTCAAGCAGTTGGTTTCTGACAGCGGGGCTGCTGACTGAGGGCCTTATGCATCTGCTCTTCTTCCAGGATGAGCTAATGTACATGCTACGCAAACTTCTCTTAAATATTGGAGACTTTCCAGCTCAGACATCACACATCCTGTTCAACTACTTGGTGAGTCTCAGCAGCTAACAGGTTGGAAATGATTTCTGGTAGGAATCAGGGATATGGAGAAAGAGACATGGGGATCCCTCCCCGATAAATTCCCAATAGTTGTATAATTGAAGGAGGATCAACAGAAGATTTCACTTTTAGTATAGGGAAAGCCCTGCCTGGCACAATCTTTGGCATATGGTGGATCCTCAAAAAAATGTTATTTTCTTTGTTTTCCTTTTAGCATTAGGCAACTCCCTATGTTAGGTGGTTCATGTCATTTTTAGTCTTCACACCACCTTCTCCCACTTTGCTGTTTAGCACATACATACACACACACACACACACTCACACTCACACACACACACACATACGCTAGATAGAAATTATAAGTGTAGTTTTCCACAGCAGCTCTTATGCTTTATCATGCTCCAACAGCTTCTTTCTGACCCCTCTCAGATTTATCTGTTGTTTCTTCTTCTTTTTTTATTTTATATAACAAAGTCCAATTAAATGAAAACAAACATTTATACACAATATTTGGGAATTTGGGCGTCGTTCTTTCCAAACTACTTCCTGCTGGTAAGGGGCGCTGTCATGGGGGATTCGAAGAAGATTCAGATAAACTAGACTACAGCCAGGTTTCTTCTTCTTAAAACACAAAAGAATATGCATTCTGTTTGGAGACTGAGGCACATTAACTATTTTGAAATTGTCCCTCAATCCAGACAGAGAGGCAGACAAATATCTTTGCTGACATTTTCTCCCTTTCTGTTATAACAGACATAGTCATATGCATGTATAGCAGCGTGGTAAACTTAGCCCACACTATAAATCTAGAAGTGGAGGCGATGTTTGTAATTCCTTCATTGTGTCTATGACAAATATGGTCTTCCTTCTCAGTGTCCACTTGTTGGCTAGCTCAGGAGGAAAAAAAAAATATCCAATCCATATGAAAGCCAGCTTGACCAAGTTTTTCTGTTGTCTTCCCCTGGCTAACGCCACTGAGTGTGCTAAGGGAAGCGTTTGAGCAAAGACTACAAATGAAGGAATGATTTAATTTTAGAAAAAGAAAAACCAGGAGCATGAGTTTAGGAATAACGTGCCTCTGAGGCTGGTGTTCTTTTGGTCCAGGTGGGACTCATCATGTACTTTGTGAGGACCCCGTGTGAGTGGGGGATGGACGCCATCTCTGCCACACTGACCTTCCTGTGGGAGGTGGTTGGGTACGTGGAGGGCCTCTTCTTCAAGGACCTCAAGCAGACAATGAAGAAGGAACAGTGTGAAGTGAAGCTGCTGGTCACTGCTTCCATGCCAGGTAATACGTACGTGAGTACGTGTTTATGTCTGTATATATGTATACTCGCTCAAAAGACGTGGAACTTTTTCATTCACCAGAAAGATCTAACCCCTAGTATTTAATGCATTCAAGAATTTTTGTTTAGTACAGTCAGAAGAAATATAATAGCCACTTCAAAAAGTCAGGAGTTGTGAGATGAAAAGGCAGATATTGAACAGAGTGCCTGTGATCAGTCCTTGAAGAGCAGCCAAGGTTAAAGATTTATTTAAGTCTATCGCAGAGCGACAGTAGAACTGAAAGCCATTGTGAGTGACTTTTTGGCACTGCCATTTGAATGACATTGTTTGTATGGCAAGGACCCTGGGCCTTTGTAAGCTCAATGAGAGGAGGCTTTGTGAAAATTTGGAAGAGGGAAAAACAGGAAGAGGGAGAACTGGGAAAGAACACAATGTGTGTTGTCAACCCTGGATGCAGTTCCTCTGCCCTCAGCACAGCTTGTGTGATGATGACTTTCACAATGCCTTATCCTTGTGCAGAGAATATTAAAATGTAAGAGGATACGTGTGTTGAAATGAAGAGAAAGGCTAAATTATGCAGAGGTGAGAACAGGTTCCAACAGCAAAGAAGCCCCAGTTAAAATTAACCCTGCCATGTTTTAGCCCTATAACCAGAATTAGCTGTGGAAAAATAAAATCATTTCTCATGCTTTCTTTCCGTGTGTGTGTGTTATATAAATGTAATTCCTAACTCACAATTATGATGAAGGCATTAGTTTCTGTACATGAAATAGTTTTTTGAAAGGCCTGAATCATGATAATTATCCAACAGGTGATGGATAATTATGTGTTTGTATGCTGTGTGGAGTATTCAAAAGAGTAGTCAGCTCTTTTATAAATATCAGAAAAACATCATATGGTCACTCACACTCTTAAACGCTTGGCTACATGGCTAGTTTGAAGTCAGCCTGGGCTAGATAAGGCCTGTTTCAAAACTAAGCAAACTAACTTAAAGAGATAAGCTTATTAGGTAGTATTTTAATGTCTCAAATGCAAACTTACATGAAAGACTATGTTCATAGTTATTTTTATTTTGGATAGGTACCAAAACTTTGGTGGTTCATGGTCAGAATGAATGTGACATTCCAACCCAGTTACCAGTCCATGAAGACACTCAGTTTGAAGCCCTGCTGAAGGTAGGAGAGCTTCTTTGACAGACATAATTTCCCCTCACCCTCTCTCTTTTAATTTAAATTAGAAACAATCCAGTTTTACATATCAATCCCAGTTCCCTCTCCCTCCCATCCTTCCATATCCCCCATCATCCCCCAATCCCACCCCCTTTCTAATCCCCAGGGAAGGTAAGGTCTTCCACCAGGGGATCTTCAAAGGATAGACAGGATTTTTTTATGCATACCCATGGTCTCCTCAGTAAATATGTTTTTAGAATTAATGGCATTTTCTGTATTCAAACCAACCCATCCAGTTCTTCACTCCCCAGAGCCTCATCTACTGTTGTACGCTTATATAACTTCCACCACTTTTAACTGACATTTTAGCTCAGCGTTAAAGCAGGCGAATTGGGCAAATTCTATCTCAAACAGCAGTGTTGCCTGTGGATGTTTTTCCCAACTCCCCCGAAAGCTGTGAATTCCGGTTTGGGAACATTTGGTGTTACTGTTTTAGGTTTTTGCTGTGCCTTGGTTGTGCTCACAGAGGTAAATTCTAGCCGTCAACCAAGAGTAATACCAAGAGCAATCGATATAGTACAGAAATCACTGGTGATGCAGGAAATATATGCCTTAGAACAAATCAGGCAGGCAAAGAATGGATTTTCTAGTGCTTATAACAGTCCTCCCTCCAAAGAAATGCAGTTGATCGCTTATTCTTGACGACGTTACTACATATACTTTGCCTGATCTCATGCCCAGGAAGTGCCACTGTCCCTTCACAGCCTTTCACTCCACCTGAATTAAAACTGTGCTACTTTGGACACTGTAAGAATCGATGATTTATGTTACCAGCCTTTACTAAATTACTTGTAGATACATGTATCACTGTATGTTCTCATGTCCCTAAAAGAATTACTTTGTGTCTTTCTTGCATAGTATCTATATATCAGGTAATACTGTCTTGAGAAACATTTATAAAATTTGTTGTTATTGTTCTAGGAGTGTCTGGAGTTTTTCAACATCCCAGAATCCCAGTCAACACACTACTTCCTCATGGATAAACGATGGAACCTTATCCATTACAACAAGGTAAATATGCAATCATGATGCCCATGCCGATTTGTGCCAGAATCTCACCAAACCTTGCCTAATGCAGTTTACTGCTGGTAATGCATCGACGACTCAGTTTATGAGCATGGTGACTTGGGTCTCGTGAGCTTTGGATCAGTTGATTTACCTTTCTACCCCTTAGTGCCCTTATCTGTAAAATGAAAGTGATAATAATATGTGTGCTGGGGTTTGTTGTCATCAGTGAAGGAGATAGACCAGCTTGAGCACTTAGCTACTCACCATAGTTGTTATATGTGAGAAATTGCATATTTTCAAATTGTATTGGTAGCTTTTCTCATTGCTATGACCTTATACTACACAGAAGGGAAGGTTTATTTTGGCTTGCAGTTGAATGCAATCCACTGAGGCCAGAAATGCATGGAGGCAGGAACTAGAAGGGCCCATCAGTCACATGGAATCTGTGGTCAAGAATCCCAGCAAGAGTGCCTGTGCTCACTCACTTTCTCCTTTTTCTTCAGTCTATGTGTCCAGCCTATGAGGTTAAGTTGACAGTGAAGATTAACCATCCCAGGTATACAGTAATGTGTACCTGATTGGGATTTTAGCTATTTTGGCTTTCTTTCTCTTACTTTAGACATGATGATAGTGACTTGATCTCATGAACAAAAGGACACTTCAGGTGGTCCCCAGCATCAGTTTAGGTTAACCCTCTAGTAGAGTAATGTGTCTCCTGACCTTGCACCCAGTGCTGAGAATGGGTACTCAGAGTGGACAGAGTGATGCTTTCCTAAGAAGAGGGTATTGCCTTCCTTAAGGTTTTGTGGAAATGAGGAGTGGAAGGTAGCAAATGCCATTAGAAAATAAATGAACATTTTGTCTGACTTTTGGATAAAGAGGAAGTGAAAATAAAATGTGACTACTGTTGAACTTGCTTTTCTCTCTCTGTGCAACCCATTGCAGACCTATGTTCGGGACATTTATCCTTTCCGGAGGTCCGTATCTCCGCAGCTGAACCTTGTACATATGCATCCAGAAAGGGGGCAGGAGCTCATTCAGAAACAGGTATTTAACCACGCCTTTGTATTCTGGGTCATGTTGTTGGGAGAGTAACCTGCACACACGCACACACATTACCAGTGAGGGGCTGCAATTCTATCATGACCCTCTCTTCAGATAATGAATGATAAATGACCTTGCTCAGTAGATGTCCTCTCAAATATGCAAGTTTTATAGATCCTGGTGCATAAGGTATTCAGAGAAACTCATACGGGATAATATCATGAAACATAGAATAGAAATACTCTAACTTATTAGCTGGCTACTTTCTAGGTATGGTTTTCATTTCATATTTTTATAAAGTAATATTATAAAAATACATGGATGGTATATAGTGGTGTATGACTGCAACCCTGGTACTAAGGAGGTGGAGGCAATTTTGGTATTCAAGCTCAACTTCAGCTACATGGGAGTTTCAAGGCCAGCATGGACTCCATGAAACCCTTTCTCAAGTAAAAGAAAAAAATCAGGGACTGGGGATGGCAAGCATAAGGACACGAGTTCTGATCCCTGACACAAGAGGGAGGAGTGATGAGCAAAGGGATCAAGACCAGGCTGGAGAAACCCACAGAAACAGCTGGCCTGAACAAGGGGGAGCTCATGGATCCCAGACTGATAGCTGGGAAACCAATGTAAGACTGACCCAGGCCTCCTGAACATGGGTCTCAGTTAGGAGGTCTGGACAGTCTATGGGGCCTCTGACAATGGATGTATCCCTAGTGCAGGAACAAACTCCAGTAGCCCATTCCCCATGGAGGGATACTCCAGAGATACTGGAGGAGAGCCTAGGCCCTACCCCAAATGACTTGACAGACTTTGATGATCCCTCATTGAAGGCCTCATCCTCCCTGGGGATGGGTAATGGGATTGGGGGGGGGTCTGTGGGGAGCCATGGGAGAATGGGAGGTTAAGGGAACTAGGATGGATATGTAAAATAAGAAAAAAATATTAAAAATTTAAAAATGTTTCTGAAAATCAAAATAGGCATTAAATAAGTTAAATAATAATCAAACATATTTTTTTAAAAAAGAAAAGAGTGGTAGAGTATATCTGTAACCCTAGTGCTGGGAGTGAGGGAAGGAAGGTGAATCCACAGGGCTCTCTGGCCAGATAGCCTAACTAAAATAGTGAGCTCTAGTCTCAATGTAAGATGTTGTCTCAAGAAATAAGGTTGGGCATGAAGACACACAAAGCTGACTTCTGACAATCACAGCTGTATACATTCACATACCACATGCACACAAAGTATTCATGGCATAGTTTTACAGTATTAACACAGTAACTAAAGCCAGATGAAAACTAGATAAAAATATAGCGCCTCAAAATAACATCAGACTGAGAACCAGAGATCTAGATTCCATCCCCACTGTGCAGATGACTAGGACTCTGACCTCAGTGGCTTTTAAAAACATGAAAACACACAGCCAAGCAATCATATTTAGACCCAATACTGGAGAGCAGAATAACATTCACATATGTGATCTCAAATCGACTTCGACCTTAAAGAAAGTCAGCAATCTGTATGCAAAACCTGACTTTATACTCAATTCCAAAATTGACAATTTTCTTAGTGTAATTTTAATGCATATGTATTTATTAACTCCTATTTTTAAGTAAAAAGCATAAACAATAATTTGAAGGTACTTGCTCAAGTCGGTTTTCTGCGTTCATCGAGGATCCTAATTTTTACATTCAAATATGGTTCATGAGATAAATGAGGATGGAGTAGCATTACTTCAGTGATGGTTTAAGATTGCTACCATTAACTGCTTTCATTGCTTTTAAAAGAAACAAGATGCCAAGTCTATTGTCAAGAATAAGGTGCTGGGCAAAACAGAAAGGTCTTCGTGATGTACAGTGTCAAAGACCATCTCACCAAAATGACTATAGCCTTTAATTTTGACAGCAAGATAGGAAAAAACTGCTGCTTCTAGGCATGTGGTTGTGATTTTTATGTTTAAAAATATACTTTAAAGATTGCTGTAATTGGGGTATTGCTCTCTCTACTCCAAGAACCCTTGAAATGAAGGTGGACTTTAAATGAGTCCTCAAGACCCAAGATAAACAATAGGCTGGTATTTATTAGGGAAGCACTTACACAAATAATTGTAAATAGCCACTGCGGTCTTCCTCCTCCAATAGATGCAATCTGCCCTTCCAGTGCTCTGACCACAACCCAAGAGAGCGAGCCACACCCTCGTCTTCCTTACAAGGGGGTCACATCTGCATACTTGAAGCCACATCCATAGGATGTGGCCACCACCACAAATTCACTGGCAAAGCAAGATGCCACTACATTGAGATGTCTCAGTTCCCCAGGGACATGAAGACATGGAGGCTTATGGTCTGGCTAGGCAGTCTCTGCCACAGCTGTTCATTACTCAAGAACTTCCTAGTCCCATTCCTTTCCCTGGTGATTATCAAGAGAAACAAAAGGAGAAATCAGGAGCCACAGAGATATGCCTTCCAAACTCTGGAATAAATGGGTGTCTGAGGCCAGGAACTTTTGTATTAATAGCTTATTCCTGGATTCCATTTTGTCTTTTCTTAAAAAGACAGACCCGGAACTGCCAGACAACAGCTTAGTCTATGGAGATGCAGAGTCGTTTGTCACTGACTGCTAGCTCCTGTTAGAGAAAGGCTTCTGTGTTATGACATACACACACAGATGGAGCTCTGTGCAGTTCTAGACTCTCTTGACAATCGTTGATTTGTGCCTCTCTGGGCCACAGCATCCCTAAGCTCAGACAGCTTCAGGGACTGAGAGCCCATTGAACACTGCTTATTCTTTCTATGTGGTGAAAACCACTCCTTCCTCTTTCCTCCCCCTTCCATTCTGTCAGGCAGGCTTGTTATTGAAGATCTTCAGTATCTGAACTCTGCAATTCTCAGCTTCCTAATTCTGTTCTTTGTCCGCTCCTGCTAGGTGTTCACCAGGAAGCTGGAGGAAGTGGGGCGGGTGTTGTTTCTCATCTCGCTAACCCAGAAGATTCCCACAGCCCACAAGCAGTCACACGTCTCCATGCTTCAGGAGGACCTTCTTCGACTGCCTTCCTTCCCTCGGAGTGCAATAGATGCTGAGTTTTCTCTCTTCAGTGACCCTCAAGGTACTCAGGAAGAAAGTCATTCCTCTTGGTCTTTTTCTCATACCTTTGTTTTGATCTGACCACTCGATGCCAGTGGTTCTCAAACTTAACTAAACATCTCAGTCAGTTGGTGGTTATGTTCAAACGCTGATGCCCATCCTCCACCACCAGTTTCAGAGTGGATCACAAAATGTCTAACACATTCCCAAAAGATGCTGCTGATGCTGATGCTGATGCTGCCTTTCAAGCACTGGCTTTGGAGACCAGCACTGGTGGCTGATACAGCAGATGTAGGAAGCAGGGAGGTGATGTTTGAAGGGGACTCCTGCACAGTGGGAGCTCCCTCCCAGATGCCTGATTAGGCAAACTGCACCCAAATGCCTGTTTTCAAAGAGAGATCTTTTATTAAGCAGGAAATTGAAATTAAAGGGGCTGCTTTCTAACTCTGGCAGAAAAGCAGCAACACATGACCTTGCAGGTATAATTTTTAAGAGCAGAAAAAAGAGACAGAGAGGAAGTCTGTGTTAGAATGGGCAAGGATGTATGCAGTGGGGGGGGGGGAGATTCAAGATCTGGGGGAAGGGAAGAGTGGGGTGGGGCAAGGACATTTTTCCCAGGAGAACAAAGAACTGCCTCTGGATAGAGAGAAGACAGATGTGACATGACACATAGAAGAATAGTAATTAATAAAAGTAAAGAGGGGAAACCCAAGCAGGGACAGGCGGATCTCAGAGAGTTTGAGGTCAGCCTGATATACAAAGTGAGTTCCAAGACAGCCAGGACTATTACATAGAGAAACCCTGTTTCAAAAAACCAAAGCAGGAGAAAAAATGAGGAACTCTGTGTTAGGATGAGGTAGGCTTTTAATTATCATTGGGCATGTTAATTAAGTGAACCAAAGGGGACTTCTGGTTGCTGGACTTCAATACTTTGATAGCTGGATCTTGACAGTCACCTTCAGGAAGAGGAAGTGACCAAACAAGCTAGGCCTTGATGGCTAGCTTTAGGAATATAGTCTAACAGTTTTCAGCAAGGTAGAGGAAATGGGGGAGAAGAGCAAGGCTTGCAGAGTCACATGCTCTAATGGGCTAGTGCCCCTTCAGAGTTACTGCAGGGGAGTCCCTTGAGTAAGCAAACTCCAAGCTAATCCCGAGTGACAAAATCAGAAGAGTAGTGGCCACTGGGTGGGGAAGATGTGAATGAGCTGCTAGCAAAGGCACTAGGGAACTTCAGAAAAGGATAAAAATAGCCCTTGGGTGTGTTAACCTGAGTACATATTGCTGCAAAACTCTCTGACCACACAATTGAAGTCCTGTGCATTTTAGTGTGGCTTATGCCTGAAGTGTGGCGGAGTCAGAGAGATAGCAAGAGACCCGACTGAGAAACTCACTTTGTTACCATCATTGGGCTTCAGGGTCCCTGACAGAAAGGGTTCTTGTAATTATGAGTTTTTCGGAGGAAGGCGACCTTGGTTGGTTGGAGCCAAAGAACACCACAATGTCACACAGTGCAGCAGAGCTCAAGTGGGAAGTTTAGGAGGGAGGGGAGCGTGTGTGTGTGTGTGTGTGTGTGTGTGTGTGTGTGTGTGTGTGTGTGTGTGTGTGCAGAGGCGGCCTCTGAAAGAGAGCAGAAGGAAACGAAGAGGGAGAGGGCTAGAAGGTCTTGCCTTTTATAAGGGGATATGGCAGATGCGCATAGGGACAGTGCTCTACTCAGCGATGCAGCAGCTACAGTGTCACATCTTAGCTACTGCTGCTGATGTGTCCCACTAGGTCCCCGAGAGTAGAGTAGGCCAGCGTAAATGCCCAGTGCTAACAGTTCTGGTCTAAACAGTGGTAAGAAAGCTAGGCAACGATCCCACTCCTAACTGTTGTCTAGCTAGAATCTCTCTTTCAGAGATGCAGTTTAGCAACACAATCCTGCAAATACCCGTCCTGGCTTGCCCGGGTTAAAACAAAGAGGTGTTGGTGCAGATCCTTAGATATGGAGGAAGTGGTATGCCCATGCAGGTGCTGGGAAATCATTCAGCGGTAGATCTTCTGGAGTAGGAAGAAGTAAATGGAACATAGTGCAGCAGGTGTCATTTGATCTCCTGCTCATGCTGACAGGGTTGGTGTAGGACTAATTCAGTCTCTGCTGCTTCATGTTCACAGCTGGGAAGGAACTGTTTGGCCTTGACACCCTTCAGAAAAGCCTGTGGATCCAGCTCCTGGAGGAAATGTTCCTGGGCATGCCGAGCGAGTTTCCCTGGGGAGACGAGATCATGCTTTTTCTCAATGTGTTTAATGGGGCTCTGATTCTCCACCCCGAAGACAGCGCTCTCCTCAGGCAGTATGCGGCCACTGTCATCAATACGGCTGTGCACTTCAATCACCTCTTCTCGCTCAGTGGCTACCAGTGGATTCTCCCCACAATGCTGCAGGTGCCCAAAATCTCCTCTCCTAGCTACAGGAGTAGCCCAGCCTTGCTAAGTGAGACCTAGCAGTACAACAGGATCTGTAAACAAATCTTTCCGTGACTAAGTTAACTCATTTGTTATAGCAGAAGGCACCCATTGAAATCCCCACATAGATTTCTCAAGGGTTCACACTATTCTGTGCTATCCTGAGATATTGCCCCAGAGTTGGGAGCTGGGACAGTCTTCCCGTGTTCTTTAGTGTGGTAGCTCCCAAAATGTGGTATCTGGAATGGCAGCCTCAGTATTGCCCAGCAACTCACTAGAAATTCGCTCTCCTGCACCCCACCTCAGACCTGCTGGGTAAGAAACTTGGTTAGGATGTCCCAGCAGTGTGTATCTTTATGGAGTCAGGAGGCCGTGCTGTGCCGTAGACCGTGGGAAAACCTCTGGGCTGCCCGTGAGCCGGCTGGACAGCGCGTTGCCATCTGCTGAGACCTCAGTTTGAACAGGGGTTGCTAGTGCCATAAATCTAGGTCCAAGGGATTGGAGGAAGTTGACTCTAGCAAGATTTTCTATTTCACATGTACAGCGTGCATCTGGCTACACTTAGGCACAGAGCACCGAAGATAATTCAGACAGGACCCAGGCCTAATTCTAGCTGCCTGTTTGGAGGAAGATTTTAATGAACATTATGAAAATAGCATATGTTTATACAAAACACAATCTGTTTCATCCAATGGTGGCAAGAAATTTGCTTTTACTACAAGACTCTCTGACTCATTTTTAAGTAACATCAACTTTTATCATTTTTCAATTACCAAAAGTAATTATACTCATTACAAAATTGAGACAACAAAGTTAAACAAAATATAGAGATCACCTGCATCTCTTATCCCCAGAAAACTTTTATGTTCCCTGAAAATCTACACTCAGGCATAAAAATAAAAGCACATCATACCATATTCAAATTTATAGCCCCCTTTTAAAGTAATAAATGCCATCATGCGATTTTCACATTGAGCTTTAGAGCATCATTTGATACAACTACACTTCCATTGTAAGATTTCATCTTACCCAGGTCAAAATGAGTGAAGATCTAAAACAAATGAGCGAAATCCCAAAACAAATGATAGCAGTGTTGCTGTGGATATAGGAAAAGGGCAACACTTACTCATGGCTGTTAAAAGTGCAAACTGGTGCCACCATCATGTAAATCAGGTTCCTAAAAGAGCTAAACATACATCAACCATACAATCCAGCTATGCCCAAAGGATGCTATATCCTATTATAGAAATATCACCTGATTGTCCCTGTTCTCTGATGCTCTATTCATAATAATCAGGAAATGGAAACAGCCTAGATTTCCATCAACCAATGAGTAACTGATAACAAAAATTGTGGTACTCAATGCATGTTCTACACTTCACTTAACAAGCTACTGTTTGTAATTAATTTAACTTATTTCAAGTTTTCCCCTATGACAAACAAACCACAGTAAGTATTTTTTGGTAAACAGCATGTCTATTTCTTTATCTGAAATAAATGTCTAGTCATAAGCCTTCCTGGTTGTGGGGGGATATATGTGTGGTTTACAGGAATCTTACCTCTATCACACGTCATCTCAAGAAAGCTGGTGCTGTATTACAACCCACCCTACACACTTATAGAATTAACCCTTTTCTGTTTCCCTTGGCTATGGGAAGTTTTAGAAGGAAACCCCACTCTGGCACACTGTGAGGGCACTTTCTAAGTAAGGCGGTATTTCTCTGTAGGTGTATTCTGACTATGAGAGCAATCCCCAACTGCGTCGAGCCATCGAATTTGCCTGCCACCAGTTCTACATTCTCCACAGAAAGCCCTTTGTGCTCCAGCTGTTTGCTAGTGTGGCCCCTCTCCTGGAGTTTCCGGTGAGTAAGATCTGAGAGAATAAGTGAAGACCAACCAAATGAAACATCAAAAGGCAGCAGCAAGGGAGGTGGGCAGCACACGTGTTGGGACAGAAAGCAGAGGCAGGCAGAGAAGTCGAAAAGCTTCCTGAGTGGGCAGGAAGGAAGCTTAAGATGTGCTTGGCTTACAACTGACGTTTAGTAGATCCCAGAAATTCTTCACCAGGATGTCAGATATGGAATTATATAAGCTGAATTGCACATAGATATTGTGGTGTATATTTCAACTTATAAATGTTGAAGTCAGCTGTCATAGTGTTAAGGTGGCAAGCAATAAACTGAAACTGTTGTCGTTTGTTTTGTTTTGTTTTGTTTTGTTTTATGTAGGATGCTGCCAATACTGGATCCAGCAAAGGTGTGTCGGCCCAGTGTCTGTTTGACTTGCTTCAGTCCCTGGAGGGAGAAACCACTGATATTTTGGACATCTTAGAGCTGGTTAAGGCTGAGAAGCCTCTTAAGTCACTAGGTAAATGCAAACCTGCCCCTAACATTCTTTCTCTTCTAGCAATTGTTCAAATATGTGTATGTTTGTATATAACTAACTATACATAACTAAAATTATTATATAATATATTCAAAAAATTAAAAAAAAATAAATGGAACAATGGTATACATTGGGTGAGTATATTTTTTTGTCATAAATCTTTTGTGAATGTACATAATAAGAAATCCTCTGCTGTAAAAAGCAGACTGAAGTATTTCCTAGTATGTCCCCACTCAAACAGTATAATTTCAGCAATTCTGAGCCAATAGTCTTTTAGAATGGCCTTTTGTTGTTATGTAATGAACAGATTTAGATATAATTAAAAGATGAAGCTTTCTGTTCTGCCGCAAACAATTAAAATGCCTCAGTATCTTCTATTTGGTAAGAATGTGAAAACCTCCCTTATTAGTGTCCTGTGGTTTGAATGTAGGAAGTTGAATTTTATTTCCTTCGGAGGAAAAAATAATGTAGAATTCGGAAATAAATCTGAGATAAGAGAACTTCAGTAGTGACACAGTCTGTGTCTCTCAGAGCCACCCATGCTAGTTGTACATCTTTGCAGATTTCTGCTATGGAAACGAAGACCTGACATTCTCCATCAGTGAAGCCATCAAGCTCTGTGTCACTGTGGTGGCTTATGCTCCTGAGTCATTCAGAAGGTATTTGCAGCCCTCTTTCTATCCCTTGTGATAAATAAGTAAGGCAAAGAAATCAAACTGAATAAGAAAGGTTATGTTTGGCATATCTTTCTATAACATTTTGGTGAGTAAGCTTCTAAAAACCACATTTAGAAGATTTTTTTCATGGCAGAAAACCTGAAAAAATATTGTGAATCGTCCTGAATGTGAAATTCCCTAATTTGGAATTCTGTGCAGAAGCTAAGATGTTTACTCCTGTTAAAAAGTATTTTCCACTTATGTAATACAAGCTGTTAGCAAACAAAATTTCATAACAGATATTTAAACCATCTGTGAAAACCCCCTCTGAGGACTAATGAGAACACAAAGGGCAATGATATAAATCTCATATTTTATTTTGCCAGGAACAAGGAAGCCAAAGGACTCAAATGGGAAGTGAGTCACCCCAGTGCCAGGAAGTTGGCTCTGGTCTGATACATAAGTTTTATCTCCTTTTAACAACCCTATTATGTTGGCACACCCTCCAGGACAAGAGGAGCCAGTCTTATTTTGCTCACTGTCTTTGTACATTTGCTCTTTAGATGGGTTTCTGCTGTCCCCTAGAACAGAATAAAGGTTCAAGAGATGACCAGGATTTCTCTTAATTAAACTCTTCTGGAAAGAAACATCAGGAATGAATAAAAATGTAACCAGTAGCCTCAGGTTTTTTGTCATCTTTAGTGAGGATTACACACTAAGCTCAAAGTCAGGCAGAGGTGTGACTGTGGCCTTTAAGAGAAGAAAACCTTCAGTCTACAGGGTGATAGACTTCCACTCCTCTGTTCCCCTTGCAATACCCTGGCTCCGGGAAGCACCACAGAATGAATCCATTCTATCTGAATGCAGACATGCATTCTGTTGTTTTGTATTTTGAGTGTGCACATTGTTAAATAGGTGCCTCAGATTCTCACTGACATTAGGACCTTGTCATAATGAAGTAAGCAAAAAAAAAAAAAAAAAAAAAAAAAAATCTTTCCCCTTAAACCAAGTTCTCAGTGAGACACGAAATTCTCTTTCAAATTCCAATACAAAAACATTGAAACCAAGAGGAATTTGAGCTTGTAATCAAAGTTCCTTGTCATTGTGAGTTTAAAAAAAAAAAAAAAAGAGTCCAATATTTGCAGTTATATTTAGTTTAGCTTGTTTTTAATCCTGCTCAAGTTAAACCAGAGGGCTTTCCATGCCTGAGTAGAGTAGACATCTCTTCCTTCCTTCCTTCCTTCCTTCCTTCCTTCCTTCCTTCCTTCCTTCCTTCCTTCCTTCTTTCCTTCCTTCTCTCTCTCTCTCTCTCTCTCTCTCTCTCTCTCTCTTCTTTCCTTCCTTCTTTCCTTTCTTCTTCTTTTTCTGTTTTTGGTTTTCAAGGCAGGGTTTCTCTGTGCCTTGGATGTTCTATAACTCACTTTGTAGACCAGAATGGCCTCAAACTCATAGATCTGCCTGCCTCTGTCTCCAGAGTGCTGCGATTAAAGGTGTGGGTCACCACGGCCCAGTAAGTTCAAATTTCTTAAGTAACTGTTTCCAGGACTTCCATATCTGTAAACATCAAATCCTTGTGGTGCTTAAATTATTCCCTTTAAAAGTATATTTTATTTAAAGAGAAATAATATTCATGTAAACAGGTTTTGTAAATCATATTTCTACAATGAGTGCTTGCTCATAAAGTTAGTGGATCTATATGGTTTTAATTACCACCCAGATAAAAGGATCAGTTGGAATACCGCTCTTCTCATTCCCTCAGGGAAAGTCAGCTTCATCTCTTAACTAATTCAGAGAGATTGTCTAATGAGTACTCGCTAACATCTGACTTCTGTTCCTCAGTGTTCTGTCATGAGATTTATCCACATCATAACTTTTCGCTGTAGTTTTTATTATTCATCTACAATATTCCATTGTGTGACTATGCCCTCAAGGTATCAGTTTCTTCCCTTGGTGATATACCTGTTTGGCTGTATTCAGTTTAAAGCTGTGGAAAATAATGCCCCAATGAATGTTTGTAGTTTTGTGCACGTATCATATCAGCATTTCTATGTGTGAAAATACTTTGCTAGATTATAAAGTACATGTATGTTTTGCTTTAGTAGATATCACCAACAGGGTTCCTGAACGGACTGTGTCAATTTTTATTTCCACCAGCAATGTCTGTTGCTTATAGACTAGTAAATATCTATCATCATTTAATATGTATCTTGTTCTTTCTAACACAAGAAATGGTATCAGTTCTTTATAAAGTTAGTACTTTGTGTGTGTGTGTGTGTGTGTGTGTGTGTGTGTGTGTGTGTTTGTGTGTGTGTGTGTGTGTGTGTGTGTGTGTGTGCATGTCCATGTGTTCATAGATACACAGGTATACATACGTACATACAAAGGACAATCTCTGGTGCTATATGATGTCATTATAACTTAAAAATTTTCTTCTCCTACAGAAATGTAGTCCTTACAAAAAGCCTTAGCTTCTACCTGACTCCTATAATAATTTTTAAATCTTACACAGACTTTCTAGAAGGACAGTCTGGCTACAATGAAATCTTTATTTTTTTTTTCAGGAAATAAATTTTCTTGTCTCTTTTCTAAAGGCTATCACAGAGATATAAGAACCTAGAAATATGTTAAAGCTTTAACTCCATGCCCATCAAGTTCTGAAAAGTGCCTTTCTCTACTGTAGAGCACTGGTTCTATGCAGTGAGCCAATCAGAAAGCACTATTCAGTGTTGAAAAAGACATAGCAGAATTTCCTGGTATTTTGAGGAAGAGAATAGGTTGTGCAATTGTCCCAGGCTTTTCAGAAATATCAACTATGGAGCAGTGTCTCTTAGATCTCGAAGCTTAAGAAATTAAACTCAGTTGGGTGAACCTTGCAACAAAATATTTGTGTTGGAGTTATACACGAGCAGTTTTTCATGCTGACTACTAAATTCTCATCTCCTCTTTAAATTGAGTGTTCTGGCCACTCTTTGCTACACCAAGTATGCACCCTATTCAGTGAATAGTGTATCCTCCCTCTATTAAGGCCACACTGTCAGACATCATGCCAATAATAGCATCTACCAACTCTTGCTACACAGTGGCTTAAGCCTCTGAAGGTGGCTTCTTAGAAAAGGGTCTAATGTTGTCTTGCAGTTACTTTAGCTGGAAAATCACTCCAGCACATTCTTAAACAGAGACTTTGCTGGGGAATGAAGCCTTTTACTCTGGGTCTCTAGTGCCCTGACAATATTCTGCTCTTCTTTTGATCCTTTGGACAAAATCCTTCTTACTTATCTCATATGCTTCCTTAAGACAGGCTTCCTTGCCTGTTACCAAGTGCTCAGTCAATTAGTGATAGTCAACACATCCAGCAGCCTTCATTGCTTTGGATTGATACAGCACAGGAAGGGGAATAGAATTCAACATCGATAGTGGCTTTCCCAGGCTCCTGAAGATCATACAGCCCAGTCAGATGTGACTTGATTGTCTTTCTGTTGCTTACAGCCTGCAGATGCTCATGGTCTTGGAGGCATTAGTTCCATGTTACCTACAGAAGATGAAGAGGCAGACTTCACAGGTAGAAACTGTGCCTGCTGCCCGAGAGGAGATTGCTGCCACAGCTGCTCTGGCCACATCCCTACAAGCCCTTTTGTACAGTGTGGAGGTCCTCACCAGGTAATCTCAGAGGCAGATATCCACAGCCTGAGACCAATTTTTTTTCATTGAAAAGATGAGAAAACTAGTTAACTAAATATCTCTAAAACCTGACTTTTGTTTGCAGATAACTGTCTTTTTGGAGATAGTTACTCAGGCCCTTATGGCTTATTACTGTAAATACTCCCTAAATTATTTGGATAATAATAATAACTGCATAGCGGCAGTAGCAATGATGACTTTCCTACATGATTGCTAAATACACATTTACATATAACTTGATGAGTTTCCATGGAAGTTTTAAGCCAGTGGTAAACAAATCTTTGGTAGAAGGGTGAGTTAGTGAATATAAAGATTTTGTCCACATTTTAACCGGCTGATTGATTGATTTTTAGTTTTTACATTTGTTGGGGGGGAGATGGAGAAAAGAGAGAATGAATGCACACACAATTCAGAGGACAAGTTATGAGGACTGATTCTCTCCTTCTACCATGTGGGTCCCGGGAAATGAACTTAAATTGTCAGGTTTGGGGTTAACACCTCCACTCACTGCATGATCTTGCTCACCATCTTCAATTGTTTTGAGAAGTCTGTTTGCAATTGTACTAAACATTCTTCTATTATTTTACTATTTATAAAGAGCTGTACTTTTAACTATACTTTTAGGAACTCCCAAACAAATATAAACATCAGAAGGTTACTCTATTCCAGAAGGAACAGATTTGTCATGGAATTGAATTAAGTAATTCCAGGGGAAAGAAAAATGAGAGATCCTGGGAAGAAAGTCACATGAGCATCAGAGGTCAGCCCTAAAAAGAGTTCAAGAAGCTTTCAAGAAGAGAAGGAGATGGGCTGACATATAGCAGGAAGGACATGATGGGGAATGTAGGTGGGCAAAGATGGCCTGAGAGCAGGAAAGGCAAGTCCTTCCTTGAGGTGCTGATGGGGACCATCCTGGCTTTGTGTCTTTGCTCTTTCATTCTGTGTATCCTCATTTCATCCAAAAATCCTGCTTGGAATTTCACTCCTGACCCTGACCAGGGATCAGTTCTCTCCCTCTATCATATGGGTCCCATGGATCAAACTCAGCTTATCAGGCTTTGGAGGCAAGCATCTTTCCCACCAAGTCATCATCCTGATCCTATTCATTATTTTGAGAGGTAATATGCGGGTGATAGTTAGTGGAATGATTGTTCATGAATAGTGATAACCACATTGCCAACCGAGGCAAGCAGAATAGAGCCCCAAAGTCTTGTGCCATTGAAATGCTCATCTGCATCCAAAATGAGTAAACAGGAAGAGGTGGAAAGCAGAGTCAGGACCTACTGGATAAAGTGGCTGTTCCAGTGAGTAGTCCAGAGCTTTTCTGGTAGTTTCAGGAAAGCCTTGGGAGAAGATGCTTCCAAAGAGAAGGCTGGAGTTTAGTCTATTCCTTCTGCACCTGTGTCCTAACAGGTGGGAACAGTAATCAAAATTTCCCAAAAACTACTGTGGTTGCTTCCTCTCACATTTTATGACCACAGTTCTTTCTGCCTTTGATAATGACAAATGAAGTAAACACATCCCAAATTCAAAATTTACTTGCCTAAAATCCCATGAAGAGTTTTGGATAAAGTTTTGGGCATTTAAAACCCTATAGCTGGATCAAGGAAGTTCTCATCTTGAGAACCTGGTAACCTAAACTGGGTCCTTGGAATTGAGTCCACAGAGCTGTCCAAATGCCATGGCATGTGTATCTCCACCCCCATGGGAAGAAAATAAATATTCAAGTAAAGTCTTGTAGCTTAAAATACTCTACTGCATTTACTATCATTTACTAAAGAAGAAAGCCTTATTGGCTAGTAGGAACTACAACATAATTGATTTTACTGTTTTTTTTTTATTCATTAAATTTGCTGTTAGACAATTCACACTGTATGCAGTATCATAGAGTTCATCAAGACTACTCCCACCCCCACATTCCTACCATACCCTTCTATACCCCTCCCCCAAAGCCTCTCTCATGCTCTTGCCCATTCTTTTGTTTCTTACTTTTAAAGAACAATCCCCTTTCATATCTATACTGCTAATTTTATTATCTCATGAAAAGAGATATTTAACAGTGACATGGGCATCACCTAAGTATACTATATGTATATTAGGTTCCTAATAATTCTATCAAAAGTTAGAGATAAAAACAAAACCTGGAACAGTATCCACGATGGATCAGGCTTCTCAGGGACTCAAAGAAAGAAAATGAAGGCATTGGTCAGCCTGAGTGATTATCTCAAAGGTCAGGGGGCACCCACTCCCTAGATCATTCAGTTTTTGGTGGAACGGTTTCATGTGGCTTTCGTCTGAGCAGTTTCTTTGCCGACTTTCCACGAGGAACCACTCTTCATTTAGAAGGCATCTTATTTTTTCACATGGTCCCCTTCACTCCCCAAGCTGGCAATAAGGCATCAAATCCCTGTTCTGCAAATCTGTGTTCCCAGACCAAATAATAATAATAATAATAATAATAATAAAATATGATTTTTAAACATATTCATTAAGTAAACTAAGACCTGGGGGGCCATCTTTAGGTTCCACCTATCATACTGCAGCATGGAAAAAGATGACCTTCTGTTACTCCTGAAAGTTATCATATACAGCAGTTAGCATTCAGAACAATCAGGCCATAAATATTTCATCAGGGTAAATACTATGAAAAACCTACAGCATCCTTTCTGTGCCTCAGATGCCAATACATGAGCAAGGATTTATTTAATACTAAAGGAGAGCCAACAGACATTAAGTGAAGTCACTTGAAACTTATTAAACATCTGACTTAAAATAGAAATTTACTCACTTCCTACAGAAACTAAGCTTAGGTATAACTTTCACTAAAAGAGTTATTACATTATATAATGATTTCTTAGAAATACAAAGTAATTCTGGTGCAGACTTCCTCTTGCCTCTAACTGTTATCTAGAATGCTGGACTGCTTCCCACCTGAAGAACTGTTGAATGATCTCTTTACTATCCCTTAACACTAACACATTGAGCACATGTCTTATTTGAAGAGTCATGGTTTACTTCTGAGAACCAAGACATAGAACTTAAGCCTTGATGAGTATACATAACTTGGGAATCAACCTTGTCTTTAAAGGGCCACTCAGGACAAAGCTGGACAGCCTATCCCTTTAAGATTTGGAGACTTACTTAGGTGGGCTTCCACTTGAGGGTTTCATGAATGTTTCTAGTCGTGTTGCTTTGTTCTGGAAACCACTGTTACTGTTGCAGGCCAATGACAGCTCCACAGATGAGCAGGAGCGATCAAGGTCACAAAGGAACAACCACAGCCAATCATACCATGTCATCCGGAGTGAACACCAGGTAACTCACTGTGCCCTGTGCTTCCGTGGCCTCTCGGTTGCATTTTAGTGGCTGGGAATGAAAGAAATCCTGAAAACAAAGCAAAGCAATCAAAAGAACCCACAATATTAAGTGTGAAAATCTGTGAGGAAAACCTTCTAAGATAAAGAAAAGAGGATGAGAGTTTATAGACACAAGAAAATACCACAGCTACTTTGAAAATTATCATGGAGAAACTCAAAGTAGCACTTGTGTTGGTCTGTCGGACTCCAAGCTGACCAAAGAATTCACTGGGCCTTAGGGTAGAGAGGCCCTCTGCTTCCCGTACTCCATAGTTCCACTGTCTTTCTAGGTTGTCTCAGAACTGGCTCTGATTACCAACCAGTTACAAAGCTCATGTTTCCAAAATACTAGAAATAAAACACACTCCCTTCTCTCATCACCTGAAACAGAAATAGTATTCAATGATAAGGCTCAGATTTCAAAGTTTGTTTGTTTTTATTTCCTCCTTTGGCTATATTCCATGAGTTTATGGAGATCCTTAAATTTTTCGTTACACACCTCATATGACAATGAAACAAGTCTCGTGGGAGCTGTAATTGTGGTATATGTGGTGGCCAAATGAAAAAGGATAGAATCTGCAGGGTTAATACATGTGTCTGCGTTTATCTAAGTGTGTTCCTCCAAGGGTTTTTGTCTATGAAGTCTCTAGGAAGTCTCAGCCTTCTTGCTCTGAGGCTCATGAAGAATGTCCTTCTGATTGGCAGGTACCAGGAGCAAGGAGCCAAGCTTCACTTTATCAGGTACAGAAAGACTTGTTCTGATTTCATACCCTTCTGACACACTGAGATGACCAATGCCCTTAGATCTGGACTCTAATTCCCTTTAACTCATCCAGCGATGCATGACAAAACTGTTCTCATGTAAATCCTCAGGAAATGGCCCAGGGAAAGCCACCACAGTGTGGCACTGCCAGTCTCCTGGGAAAATAAAATTGTCTTCATCCTCCCAAGGAGCTTCTGTGGAGCTCTATCTACCAAACCCTTAACCCAGTAGGGATCATATTTCTCTGTAGTGTGATACCCTGCTCTCAGAGTAACCACTTACCCACATTTTCAGAGCCCTCATTAATCCTTCACAATTCCCCAGGGAAAACCTTCACTTACTGGAGGAGGGGCAAGGCCTTCCCAGAGAAGAGCTAGATGAACGAATTGCCCGAGAAGAATTCAGAAGGCCCAGGGAGTCTCTGCTGAATATTTGCACAGAATTCTATAAGCATTGTGGGCCAAGGCTGAAGATCTTGCAAAATCTGGCTGGGGAACCCCGGGTCACTGCCCTGGAGCTGCTGGATGTAAAGTCCCACATGAGGTACCTACCTCTCTCTACCTTAGCATGTGTAAAGAGTTTAAGCCATGCATCTGAATATATGTGTCAAGCTGGACTGTCGGGGCTTCCTCCAGGAAAATGAATGAGATACTTAAAATAATTTGTTTCCTGTGACTTGGGTACATTTTATATAGATCCTTCTGATAAAAGTAAACATTTTGCCTATTAAAGTGATCTCGGTTAGAAAGGAGGGAATGATTTTAAAATGAGAATTCAGTCCATAATTTACTGTTTTCACAGATATTTAAATGCCAGAGGACCTAGTAGCTGTATTTCTAACAGTTTGTGAAGAGTCACATGAATTTCTTCAAAGAAAACTTCCCTGGTTAACAAAGACTTACTTGAAATGTTTTAATATAGCTATAGAATTAAACATACAGTTCTCTCCTAACCATCCAAAAACAGCATTGTAATTTGGCAGAACAGACCAATGTCTTGATTAGTAAGCCTCTGTTTTTATTTATTAAAATTATGTTTTCAAGGGAATGTGGTAAATGCTGGGTGAAAGTACCCAGGACAGAAGCACTAGGCAGAGGCAAGCACTTTCTCCTCCAGCCTCTCTCCTCTGCTGAGGTGTTGGCACACACCCATCCATGCTGGAGAGCCCCAGGCCTGCCCACTGTGCAGTGATGAGGAGATTATTTCACACTGGGAAGTGCAGCTCCCAGACAGAAGGCTGCAGTGTTTCAAGAACCTATTGCCATGGCAACTGAGGGCTCTATTCAGACCCTCCCCTTCTTTTCCCACAGATCCCCTCTAATTGATCAGATTAATTATCTGAATAGACAAATGTCACATTTCCAGAGTCATAAAGTGATTACTACTGACAGGCATTGTGTGTGTGTGTGTGTGTGTGTGTGTGTGTGTGTGTGTGTGTGTGTGTGTGTTCACTTGTATGTCTGTGTCAGTATGCATGTACATATGTGTCTCTGTGTGGTAGTACGTGTATCTGTGCATGAGTGTGTCTCTGTGTATACATGTCAGTGTATGTGTCTGTGTCAATATGCATGTGCATGTGCCTGTGTGTAAGTGTAATATGGTGTCTATGTGTGTCTGTCTTGGGTGTGTGTGTGTATTAGAATGCATGTGTATCTGCATCTATGTGCATGTGTCACTCTGTGTGTGTGTGTGTGTGTGTGTGTGTATCTCTGTGTATGTGTCTGTGTAAACATCTTGTGAATCTCTGTGTCTGTTTATGTGTGTCTGTCTGTCTCTCTGTATATATCTGTGCCTATTTATCTCTTCGTTTCTGTTTCTGTCTGTCTGTCTCTCTGTGTGTGAGTGTATGTGTGTGCATGTCTCTGTGTGTGTAGGGGCTGAACGATATTCGATAACTCTTCTTTGGACAGTTCAGGGAAGGAATAATAGCATCAGAGATGCCTGGAGCACCATCTACAGGGTAACACTTACTAAGGTTTAACAAGCCCTAAGTAACTACTTGGTACTTGGTGTGGATTTAAGGTACAAAAGATGATAACATTAATGAAAATAATCTGTATTATGTTAGACATTAGGGTTACAAAATAAAGCCCTAATTTTCAAGGATATCATAGTCTGTTTCAAAAGAAAAAAAAAAAAGAAAATAACATGGTTGCCAGTATTAAAATCACTTGTATAATTAGTTATTCATCATTTTCAGGCAACTGAACTATATAATACAAAAGCACACCCTAACTAGAGAGTCAGAAAAAAAGTAAAATTGTCACATAAATATTTATGTTTGTGATAAGATTAGCACAAAAAATAAGATATAATATTAGATCTATTAATAAACCATAAATTTGAGGTCAAATGTATGGAGTCTTAAAGCAACTAGCAAAATATGATCAGTTATAAAAACCACCATGTTAATAAAATAGTTGTTGCTTGGTGAGGTAATACTTATTAAAAATAATTTTGGTCACAGTTATTGATACCAGTAATCAGTGAGCTTTGAGGTGGAAGGGTCAAAATTTCAAGGCCATTTTTATCTTCAAGGTTCCAGGATACTCTTTGTTACATAAAGAGATTCTGCCCAAAAACAAACAAACAAACAAACAAGGACATAAATAAAAGAGCAAGCAATAGCTCCTGGTGTTTGCTGAAAAGAAAAGGAGAATACAAACAGCAGTGTTCTCCACAGCGTCCTTATAATAGATACGGGCTGGCTCTGCATAGCTGTGTAGATAGTTGACATATTGTCATTATGTGATTTGTCACAAGCCAGCTTTCTGGAGCCAGGTTAGTGGGAGAGGACAGCTATTCCATAGCCTGGATCTATTGGAGAGCAAACGTTACATCTCCCAGAGAGTATTTAAACCAAATGTCCTCTATTAATGTACTCCTGAGCAACAAGCTTCTGATGAAAGGCGAGTGTATGTTTCTTTGACTAAATATAGATGTTCTATGTTATAGGGTAGGAGTAGGTGGCAGATCCAAATACATTGATACAGTGCCAACATATATTAATGTTTCTTGTAATTTAAATGTGGGGGTCAGAGGAAATGTAAGTCAAACTAAATGTGAATTTTGGCACTGTGAATCATATTTAAAAGTTTAAGAGTTGGCATTACCCAAATAGAAAAACTCCATTGAAAAAGGAGGAAGGGAATGATATCCATCATATCCAGATAACATATACTGAACATGCGCAAATAGTTTGGACCAAGCTAAAGTGCTAAGAAGCAGTGTTAGGGGACTCTATACTCTGCATTTGCATGATACACGATTGACTTCAAGACTCCCAGAGAAAATATTCTTGCTTAGATTCTCTCTGTTCAGAAGGAATTCCTTGTCTCATTACCCACTCCTGAGTTACCAATGCAGTAGCATCTACAATTTTCTTTCCCCCTTTCCCTCTGCCTTCAGTTTCCTCTCTTTCCTTCCCCACTCCACCTTTCCCCCATGCTCTTTATCTTCTCCTCTCTTCCCAATAAGAAGAACTCTTGAGTTTCTTTTGGAAAAGTACCAGAGTAACTTGATTTTCTCGTGAAACAAGAATATGTGTACAAATACATGGTGTCCGTGCAGGTAGGGTTGAAAACGCCGTATGAAAGAAAAATTTTCTCATAGGTTCACCACTAACCCATTTTTAACAACCAAAGGTTAAAGAAATTCATATATTATTAATCTATAACTTTTCTCTCATATCAAGTTCAAAATATTGCTGTCAATCTTAAAGATAGATCATTTTTCAAACATATCTCTCAAAGCTATCTTTAAAATATACTCTTTTTTTGAGAGCTAAACTCTAGCCTTTACTCAACCAAACAGAGAGTTATATTTAGTCATATTGATTCACTTTCTTCAACAAAATATGGTTTACAAGAGCCTAAGTTTCCCAAGCTGGTTTAGACTGGTTATGTGTTACAGTAGAATTTCTAAGAATGTGTAGGGATAAGGTGAAGGTTTCTAGAAGAGATTATGTGGATAATACCACCCTTAACTGGATACAAACAATCTAAGAAACAGTCCATTTTCCATGACACGCTTTTATGAGAAAGTAATAAACAATACAAGTGTGTGAGCTATTTGAATCATTTCTTTTGGGCTACCCACACTCACACACAGTTGTCAGGATGGTGTCCAGTTAGGAATGAAGTTGGCGAGTATGAAGGGATGGTAACTATTTCTTGGCATGATGGCTTGCCAATAAGATGATGCCTGAAACTTGTGAATTCATAATAGTTAAGCCTAGCAAGAGGACATTGGAGACAACTTAGAGCCCTCACATGTTAGCAGTTTCTAACAGTGCGCCTCCAAAAGTGGAATGAAGTCTCTTGACAGTAACGAGTTCTCCCATCTGTGGAGCTAGCCACATGAGGTACATGCTATGGAATCCAAGCACTGGAGAGGTAGGAAATGGCTTAGATGCTATACCTAAGGAGTGCCAAGAGGTTTTCCTGTAGATCCTTTCAAGCATTCAATCACTTTTCCTGCTGTTATCAACTTTTCTCTTTATTAAAATGCTATCACTAATATATGAGAAAAGAAAGAGCACAATATTCCCATTGTAACCTCTAATTAATAATCTGTCTCTGTCTCTGTCTCTGTCTCTGTCTCTCTCTCTCTCTGTGTGTGTGTGTGTGTGTGTGTGTGTGTAATTATATTCTCTGGGAATTTAGCACCACATACAACCAAGCATGGTAACAGATGTCTGTAATTCCAGCACTTGGGAGGATTTGAAATTCGGGATCATTCTCTGTTACATAGCAAGTTCAGCATCAATCTGGGTAACATGAGACCTGTCACATACATAAAGAAGTAACATTCTTTAGATACATTTGGCCCATCCTTAATCTTTCTAAATTGCTTCTCATGTTTACTCTCTGAAACATTCCATGATTCTCCATGACTATGCATGTGCACATATCATTATATTGACATATGTTAGGCAAGCAGATAGAGGGTACCAGGGAGGAAGTTGGTGTTTTGATAGGTATTGATAGGCATGGCACTGTGTAGAAATATTCCCACTGTGGCATTTTCTGCTCATTATTTCTCAACTGATTTTAGGCTGGCAGAAATTGCACACTCCCTTCTGAAGTTAGCACCATATGACACCCAGACAATGGAGAGCAGAGGCCTTCGGCGCTACATCATGGAGATGCTACCTATTACCGACTGGTCAGCAGAAGCAGTGAGGCCAGCCCTTATCCTCATTCTAAAGAGACTGGATAGAATGTTCAACAAAATCCATAAGATGCCTACCTTGAGGTGAGGAGGCCTCCTGGCCAGATATTACAAAGCACACAGTTAGAAATTTGCAATTTTAAACATATTAGGTCAATTGGTAGTTAAATAAAAGAGTCAAAAGATAATTGGGGACATAAATTCCCCAGCACCCAGGTTTGTTTTGTGTACATAATATTTCTTTAAGAATGTGTGTGCTTAACTTGAGGAGGTGTTATGAGCAGTTTCCCACCAGCCTGGTCCCAGGGCCACTTCAGCCCCAAATAACACATGGAGACAGTGTATTAATTATAAAGATCTTGGCCAATGGCAGAGCTTCTTAATGGCTAGTTCACTAGCTCTGTCTTAAATATTAACTCATTTCTTTTCATCTAAGTGTTTCCACCAGAGAAAGGATCCAGACCTCTTATCCTATCACGGCCTACATCTTGACTCCTCTCTATTACCTCTCCCAGAATCCTCCTTGTCTCCTAGTTCTGCCTATCTTGTTTTCCCATAGTCCAACAGAGCTTTATTCATTAACCAATAAGAGAAACCTATTTACAGAATGACATCTCCCATTCTCCCATCAAGGAGGTGTCTGCCCATTTCTCAGTTCTTTGTCTGATGCAATGAAGAAATAAATTAGAACTCAACAATCCCTAATCCTTTTTGAAAGTAAGAAGGAGTATGACTTAAAGTAGCTAACAACAGAGAGAAGAAGCATTAATTTGATGCAAGAAGCACTACATTTAATATAAAAATTCCAAGTTCTATAATTACCAGTCAAACTGTAACTAAAAAGAGTCATAGAACCAACACCAAGCCTTAATGTTCACCTTAGTCAATGGATTTTTAAATGAATACAATTATAGCCTGGCAACTTCTTGGTGGCCTTAGAAATATCCATTCATCCCCTTCCAATGAGCAGATGCCTCTGTACTAGCCTTTCTGGAAATGTGAACCAAGTTTGGAAACTATAGTCATGGTAAACAGATGGTATAATTCACAAACCCACTAAACGAAAATTTCAAATTTGGATAAATGAGAGAGATTTTTCTATCCTTTAAAACTAAACTCAAAATCAAAGCAACTTTGCCTCAGACTGTGCTACTTAAGGTTCAGTTTGTCAGAAGTTTTACAGCCATTAGCCAGCACTGTGCATGCTTATGCCCATGAGTACAGAAGAACGAAATTGGGTAATATCAGGCTACTGCCTAAGTACTGCTTCTTATAACCTTTGGTACCATGGTGATGAATGCCAAGACATTACATCCATGCCATTTATCTCAGGAGCATGGAGATGCCTGTACTTAAGCACTGTTTCTTTAGAGGTCCCAGTAGAGCATTCACATCTGCTGGTAAATGGCTGATCAAAGATTTGTAAATGCCTTATGAGTGTGTGTCAAGATAAATTATTTTTCTTAAGTAGTTTGCCATCTAAAGATGTTAAACATAACCATAAAGTGGCTCACTTATCATACAGTTAAGACTATTATAAATGATAACACCTCCCCAAATTTTGGATTCATTCACAGATTTGGTTAACTATGGGAAATTTTCCTGGAATACACGACATACTATAGAGTTGATTTGTCTTTAACCCTTTTGTGTGACCTCAGTTCAGCATACAAAGTATTGTCTGAAGCCAACCTGTGAATTTCCTGGGTACTTCTGGCATCTGGGGTGTCAGTTTTCCTCATTTGTGATACATCTCCATTCTTTCATTGTACAGACTGCAGTCCCATAGGAAATATAGGCTTAGAAATAATTTCCAAATCAGAAAAGCCCAGCCTGCCACTTATTTTGCAATCATGGGGACGGGGACAGTCACACAACAGATTCATTTTTAAGACAGAAAAGTACTGTGTTATTCTGATTGGATTGCGTGGTCTGCCATCCGTACTACCATGGAAAATAATCCAAGACATCATTTCCTAGGAGGCAAGGAGAATTTTTAGACTGTTTCCCTCAAATTTTATCTTTTTGACAAGATTTAAGCCATATAAATTCCACCAGTAGCCTTGTATGAAAGTTGACTGTATCGAGTATAGTCTGATAAATAGATTTCAGAACTGCAGCTGGGGGCATATTTGTTCTGTTGGAAGATTTCTCATATCTCCTGAAATGATAGTATAGGTCCCCTCTCAAAGATGTCATCAGGGACCTTAAAATGTGACCCATTCATCATCTCTGTTTTTTCTTCAATAGATTTTGTCTCATTAGTCGGTTGGGCAAGCGTGTGCCTCTGCTGCGTTTTCAATACCTTCTTCCCCTCCCAGTGTGCTCTGTACTTTTGGAACAACGTGGGTAAACGTCATCCCGTGGGAAGCACTCTGTTGTCTCAGCACAAGTCCTGTCTTAGTTGATGCCAGGATCACTGTCTCGTTCACTAGTTTCAGCCTGTCTCCAGAAGGGAGCCAGGGTGCTAATGGCTCCTATATTGTATTGCAGGCGACAGGTTGAGTGGGAGCCTGCCAGCAGTTTGATTGAAGGGGTTTGTTTGACACTTCAGAGGCAGCCAATCATATCCTTCCTGCCTCACCTTAGGTCACTGATCAATGTCTGTGTCAATCTGGTGAGTAGCCAAGCGGCAATCTTACAAAACTTTGCACAGTTTAACTCTGCTATTGATTTCTCTAAACTGAAGATTTACAGGTCAACCACTTTGTGCCCCTTACTTAACCCATGCAAACAGATGGCTCGGGTGAGACTGAAAACAGTGAGGTACATTTCAAGGTGGTCCATGGGAGATCCAGGGGCCCATCCCTGCCCAGGCGGGATGTCGGAATGCTGCTTCCCATGGACTACTTTGACAATCACCTCCAAGTTGCGTTGAGAGTTGAGGGCCGCCAGTTGGAGAGTGGGGTGCTGGAGTCTGCACAATTAATTGGCTAGAAGTTGAGATAGTCTTGGGAGGGAAACTTAAAATACTAAGAAGCCTTTCTTTTCCTTTTTTTGGGGGGTGTGGGGCAAATAACGCCATGAGTTGGCCAGTCTAGAAAAATTATTTTCACCATTTTCGTAATATCTAGAGTCGGGTCCTGACGAGGTTTTGTACAATGTGTGAAAACCATGTTAGAGCGTATCATCCTGTAGGATCTGCTGCTTAACTAGTTGGGCAACAAGTCTGTCATTGGAATGTCATCATCATTGTTGTCAGTATTTCGCTCCATCAAAGAATGTTGACTGCACCCCTTTGAACCCTCAAGTAAGTGTCCAGTCTCCCAATTAGAATAGTCATTTTAGTTCATCTCTCATTACCTACATAGTTAGCTATGAACAACATTCTACAAAACCTTGGCTGAATCTAGTATAATGATGGATCTGACTCCAGACATTACATGCCTTAGAGGCCATAGAGAAAGAAAAAGACTGAAAATAACATGCCCAACCTTCAATTCGTTAATATTATTATTAGTGAATGAGACTCCTTTACTACAGTTGCATGGAATTGCAATGGTCAAAGGCTGGTCATGTGCTCTGTTTGTATTTCAGGTGATGGGAGTGGTAGGACCTTCCAGTGTTGCTGATGGATTACCCCTTCTTCATCTCAGCCCTTATCTCTCACCACCTCTGCCCTTCAGCACAGCTGTTGTCCGGCTTGTAGCATTGCAGATACAGGTGTGACTGCCTTACCTGTTTGTCACGCTCATTAAGCTGCTGGTGGAGGCAGCACATCATGCTGTTCTCTCTTTCTCTTTCTGCAAAGGCTGGGCAAAATCTGTGAATCAGAAGTGTGAATACCTCCAACCTTTAATAGGTTTGGAGCTTCAGCCCTGAGCATGGCCCTAAGTTGTGCTTCTGTAATTCTTCTTGAGATCTCAAAAATAGCAGAGTCATTTAGTCGTGGCACAACCACAGGAACCACTGTGGTCATTTTTAAGCTGTGTGGAAACCAATGGGTTATAGGTAATCAGCTCACAATTGTTAATCAAAAGAGGCAATAGTATTCAAAGTCTGGTTTAAAATCATTTTCAGAAAGAATTACAGTATAGAATTCTTTCATACGTCATTACCAGACTTTGAATATCTTTATTTTCTTTAGTGATTGTGAGTTGAATATTATTTTAAACATACATATAGGTATCCCACTTTATTAACAATTCCCCTGACTGTTTCTCTGTGTCACCCAGTTATGATCAATGGAAGGAATACACTGGATATAAATGCATAGCTGACTGTACCCATTGTCTAGCAACCAGGCTTCTTACAATGCAGAGAATGGGTAGATGTACATTGCATATGAAGAGTGGTGGGTACTGTGCACAAGGGAAAAGATAACATCCAAAGATCACTCATGTCTCCCTTTCATTGCTTCCTGGCTTGAAGAAGGCCTAGGCAGGGGTTAAAGAACTTTTAAATAACTCCAAATGGAGAAAGTGCCATGTTGTTACTTTCTTCATTTTCCTGGGTAGACACATGGAGAAAATTAGCGGGGGAAATGAGGTGGGCCTTACATTAAACTTCTTCACTCACTGCTTAAGCTATTAATGTCTTTTTAGGAATGTAGCTCTGTTATGTGAAGCCAGTGATAAAGCATCATTGTGGGTCAGACTTCATATGCCACAAAGAAGACACTTGAACTCGTAGTTTACAGGTGCAGCCAGCGGGGAGGCACCTTCGCCAACACACTCTGTAGAAACAAATGCACACAGTGGGTGCAGTGGTCAATTAATCTTTTTTTTTCTATTATTGCTGCACAGGCTTTAAAAGAAGATTTCCCTTTAAGCCATGTGATCTCCCCATTCACCAATCAAGAGAGAAGGGAGGGGATGCTTTTAAATCTGCTCATCCCATTTGTGCTCACAGTAGGATCTGGAAGCAAAGGTCTGATTAACTTAACTAAAGAAAACGTATCATTGTTGTTGTGTTTCTAACTATCAGGGTGTCGTTTCTATTTTTCCTTTCCCCATGAAACTCATCAATTGGAATGGACTTAAATGGTTTAAATGGGGTTTGGGAAATAGGAGTTTAATTTGGTTCAGCTGACCTGGGACAAAAGTTTCTCTGTTCTCCTTTATAGAAGAAATACCTATGTAAAATTCTATACAGCCAAGGGCAGAGTACATTGACTCAGTTAAAAAGCTATTAATTAGTTCAAGTCCAATACTCTGAGAATTGACAGGTGACTGTGGTTAGCAGAAATGCTGCAGCTGCCAACTGTCAATATGTTTTCATTACTCTTCCTTCTTTTTTTTTTTTTTTTCCAAGAAACATTTTAACCTTTTTTAATCCAACATACTTTTAAGGGGACTTTTCTTTTAGGAAAAGCATATCTCAAGTGTTAGGTCAGGGTACATTCTAAATATGTAACAAAAAAAATGGAGAATGAACTGGTAAGCAGGAGATCAGATCGGGAACACAAGCCCCTGGATGCCAGCTATGGCGACCCTCAGGTGCCGATGATGCTGTGCTGTCCGTGGAAGAATCAGTAATTAGGGGAAATACCCACGGTTCTAGGTGTTCTGGTTTGGAACTGGAAGAAGTTGCATTGCTCAGTGTATAACATGGAAGGTCTGCCTTGTGACTGTTATGATTTCCCCTTCCTTTTCCAAAATGCACTTCAGATAGCCCATGGCTGGAGCAGCCCGAGGTACAGCTCCTGCTGCAGACTGTCATTAATGTGCTTCTGCCTCCTCGGATCATCAGCACATCTAGGAGCAAGAACTTCATGCTCGAGAGCTCCCCAGCCCACTGCTCCACCCCTGGGGATGCAGGCAAAGACTTGCGCAAAGAAGGGCTGGCTGAGTCCACCAGCCAGGCAGCGTACTTAGGTGGGTCTCTTTTCCCTGCCTCCTCATTTTTGCTCCCGGTGGATGTACTTACTACGATCTATTTGGGCTTAGAAGGTATTTAAAGAAGCCACTTTGAGCAAGAAACACTCTTGTATGGCTGGTTTACTTCAGTAAATAGATCTCAAAAGACAAAGAGTATTTTCATATATGCAATATCTGAATTATTTGGTTGTTTGCATAAGATGTCTAGAGTATACGAGGAAGGAGTCCATGGGAAAGATTGCCTCTTTCCGATTCACAGCAGCATCACTCGGATTTGGCAGCTGCTGTGAGGCAGTAGGTACTGTGCTTCTCCCTGGTCAGTCATCTATGTAAATACAGCTCTTGGAGGTAGCAGTCAACACCCTGATTGGTAGGACATGGTGGCTTTGCAGGACATTACTTCCTCAGCGAGCTTTCCCTGACAGTATCTTTACATTTCTATCTTGATCTTTAACCATGTGAGGACGGTCCCCTCATCCTACAAGCTTCCAATTCCTGTCCTCATTTACACTCCTACCTCCCTATTACCTCATCCCTGGCTTTATGGGTTGCCCTCCCATAGGGTAATAGAGGTCCACTCAGTGTCCCTGTAAGTAGATGGCCAGGGGGACAGACATAACCACTCGTGGAGTGACATCACCAAGAAGAAGGAGCATGACAACGGGAACTCCGTAAGAGGGCATTCTCAGCTGACATTTTTTTTTTTTTTTTTTCAGTTTACTGAAGTAGATGTTGATGGGAGAGTTTGAGACAAGCACAAACTCACTGAATCAAAGAGGTCCTTGGAGTTTGGAGTATGGGAAAAAGGGGTGTTTAAGTAGAATTCTGGAGGGGTGTGTATGTGAAAGATACCATTTACTAAGGCCTGAAAGGAAAGGAAAGGAAAGGAAAAGAAAGGAAAGGAAAGGAAAGAAAAGAAAAGAAAAGAAAAGAAAAGAAAAGAAAAGAAAGTGTGTAGACAGGGCCCGTCCTGATGGGTACTCAGTTACCCCAGGCATGAGAAATCATACTCAAACAAGATCCAGTTGGGCAGGGAAGCATATGTCAAGCCATGGAACACAGAAGATTGAGGGGGAAAGGAGCTCTTTATGTAAGACCAGGAATAAAAGACTTGAAGAAACTTAGAAACTTTTTCATTCCATTCCACTTTCTGATTTTTTTTTTTGGTTTTTTTTTTTTGTTTGTTTGTTTGTTTGTTTGTTTTGGAGGCTGTTCTGGAAGTAGCTCTTGTAGACCAGGTTAGTCTTGAGCTCACAGAGATCTGCCTGCCTCTGTCTTCTGGAGTGCTGGAACTAAAGGCATTTACCACCACTGCCCGGCTCACTTTCTGCCTTTTTAATGAAGGTGTTTTTATTTTTTTTTTCCTTTGGTCAGGCTATTGTACCTTTTTTTTTTTTTTTCAAATTATGTTTTAGCTGGGGATGTGAGTAATATGTTGATGATTGCATAAAGCCATTGTGACAAAGCCTATGGGCCATAAAGCATTAGTAATATACACACTTATTATTGCCTCTTTAGTTCAGTACACTACCTACCTTACCCCACTGTTGTTTTTCAAAATGTGAATTTTCAATGCACTTAATAAAATTGTGTCCTAATCCACATCAACATACCTTTACATATATATGTCTGGAATGCATGTTGTTTCTAGAACCATAGAGTTTAATGAACTAGAACTTTTCCTGTGTACACAAGTGGTGGATTAGGGCAGGATTCTTCCGAAGCCCAAGCCCTCAAGATCCTTTTCTCTTTTCCTGCCATGAAGCCCTGAAGGTTATTCTGGTCTGCTTCGAGAGACAGCTGGGAAGCCAGTGGTACTGGCTGAGTCTGCAGGTGAAGGAGATGGCTCTACGGAAGGTGGGAGGCCTAGCCCTGTGGGACTTCCTTGACTTCATCGTGCGCACCCGGATACCCATCTTCGTTCTCTTGCGCCCTTTCATCCAATGCAAGGTGTGGAGCCTACGACTCCTGTAACAAAAAGCCAGTAAACTTGCAGTTTCCTCTTAAGGCAGGAGTGCTGGGAGCTGAGGGTGGGAATGGGGGGGGGGGCTGTCGTGAGGGCAGCGCGGCGGTAGACAGGGCGCATACGTGCTGCGGCCAGTTAGCAGAGTGTCAACACCATGTTTGATCAGGGTGGAGCCCCAAGCAAGCATACAGAGAGTATTTCACACTCAAGGCACCTCCTCACCTACTAAAGTATGCCAAACTTACACTCACTCCATTCATCATCCCTGTTCTTTTAAAGAAAGGAGAAAAACTGGCCGTGTGGAATGTTCCAGAGAATGTTCTTCCACTTCAGTAACATCATCTGAAATCTACTATTAAAAACAACACACAAAAGGGAGCAGTTGAGGTTTCTTTTTCCCTCCGTGATTGCCAGTATTTACCTATTCTTTTGTTGTTCTCATGAACCCGGTTTCTTGGGACAGAGACATTAACAGGGACATTGGGTTGGCATCTCTAGTTCCTTCTTTTCTTCCTCTAGGGAGTGGGTCGGTATGACAGTTAGCCCGGTTTAAAGATGGGGAAATCGGGGGTCCTGACCTGAGGATGCAATGTCTTCCTTTTAGCTACTGGCCCAACCAGCCGAGAACCATGAAGAACTTACTGCCCGGCAACATATTGCTGACCAGCTAGAGCGGCGCTTCATCCCTCGCCCTTTATGTAAAAGCTCGCTCATTGCAGAGTTCAATAGTGAACTGAAAATTCTGAAAGAGGCAGTCCACAGTGGGTCAGGTAAGCGTGGAGGGTGTCTCTTGAGTATGATAGATGGGTATTCACAGCCTGTAAGGAATCTGTGACCAGCTCACTTCTACTTAGCTATCTTGACAAACCAGTAGATTTGACCAAGAATCCATGTCCAACAATAAAAACAAAAGTCAAAGTTACATTCTTCTCCTAAATATTTTTAAATATTCTTTTTAATATTTAAGCAAAGGGTACTTACATTCTTACATTCCCTTTTTGACAGAGGGGTTCACTTTATTGAGCATGTGTCATAGCTTCACAGATGTTATTTCCTCTAATCCACTCAAGTATCTGAAAAAAATGTATCACTCAAAGACCAATGTTTAAAGGAAGAAGTTGACACGCAGAGGGTTTGATAGTTTATACACAGAGAAAGTGAAAGCAGTGAGGTTAATTTTACACTAGGTTTCTGTTGTGGATTCCAAACCTTCTTAAAGTTCTACAAATTGGAATGGGGAAGAGCTAAGCAGAGTTAACAAGCAGAGGGTACTTCAAAGTATTTTTAAGATTTTCCTTGGATCTTCCTGGCTGAGTGGGCCATTTTAGAACAGCAGGCTCCTGAAGGAGGAAATTAAATCACTGTCTGCCATTAGAGGGCAGTCATTACCCACATGTAAAAGAGTGGGGTTTGCTTTGCCTTCTCCAATATTTACTGTTGTTTGCAACATTGGTGATAACTGCACATCGCCATTCCACATTCTGCTTAGTCTGATAAAATCATCTGCTACAGAGCTGAGAAGTTTCCAGTGCTTCAGCCTCCAGAAAAGGAGAATGAGAGCTCTTTGGCATTGTATCCTGATTTTCATTTTAGGTTCATATAAAAGATATAAATTTCTTTATTATTCCAATATCCTTATGTGGGCAATGCACATGCTGTAGTAATAAAAAAACCAAGGCTTTGGAAGCAGCAACTGAAGTCAAAATTAGTTGGTATCCTATTAGCCAATAAACACACTAAGAGAAAAACCTGCAAAAACCTATCCTTTGGTAGAGACCTCAGGCCTCCATAAGGAAGCTATTTATGGGGTATACTAGTGGCCATTACTGACCCCTCCCCTGTCAATTTCTTGTGCTACTTCATCTTAAAACTTCTTAGTCTGGGACACATTAGTTATCCAAAATGAAAAAGGGAGAGAGGGGGGGGGGACTTTGAAGCAAACATTTCTGTTTATCATGACCTTACCACCCATTTCCTTTGGTCTCTCAACCCCCAGCCTACCAAGGAAAGACATCCATCAGTACTGTGGGCACGTCCACCTCTGCCTACCGCCTGAGCCTGGCCACCATGTCCCGCTCCAACACAGGCACAGGCACTGTCTGGGAACAGGACAGCGAACCATCCCAACAGGCTTCTCAAGACACCCTGAGTCGGACTGACGAGGAGGATGAGGAGAGTAAGTGAGAAGCTAGGCAATCTACAAGCCTGCCTGGCCATGCTAGCAAGGGCCTGGGAGGACGTTTGCCCTGCCAGCCATTTTTAGGTCTGCCCTCTTTGTCAGTCTTTTTTAAAGGAGGGTTCAAAGTGAAATTGATATCCTTGGACCTTTAGAGCAGGAAATATGTAACTTATCTTTTCTTGGGAATTGCATTTAAACCGTACGCAAATAACTTATTCCCCTTTCTCCTGGGCAACCTGGCTAGAGAAATGGCCAGCACTTACCAGGTCCCATTTGTCAAAGAAAAGTGGGCAGAGTGTGCACATGGTTGTCAGAAAATACCAGCTGTCTGTGGCGGCCAGGAGAAAATTGTCAGGATGATTGAGGAGAAGCAACCTAAAGAGTTTAGAGACTCTCCCATAATGCAGTTATCCCAGAAATCTCTAATGCATGTGAGGAAGATGTACTGTTGCAAAAAGAGAGATAGCAGATCAATAAAGAATGCATGTGTGCTTGAGCAGCATAGGGTTTAAAAGCAAAAGTCTTCTGGGTTTCATTAAATGTCTGTCATGCAAGGGCTTCTTAAATTGCATTGGTTATTTTCCACTCGTGTTTTTAAGATGCTCTTATGCAATGCTTATTGAAAGTTGTACCTTTAAAGATAAGAATAAAATGTAAGAGCCCCTCTATACCAAACAAAACTCACAAAAGGCCCCTCTCTGAACCAAATAAAGTAGAGGAAATGGCAATGGAGCTTAGCATTTTAATTAACTAAGACGAATGAAAGCATTTTAGTATCTCCCTACAGTTAGCTATATAACATGGAAAAGAAATATGTGCTTTCTCAAAATTCTTTTCACCAATATTTCCAGATTTAGTTTGGGGATTATTCATGTAAGGTGATGATTAATTTACACACAACTTATAACCAAACACCTGGCCACTGCTCATAGGCATATCTCCATAGTTGCAGCCTGAATTCTTACAAAATATTAACGAAGAAAGCACAGTGTAATAGAGGATGAGGAGTTTGCTCTAATTATTTTTAAAAAATTATTTTTCATTTTACATATCAATCCCAGTCCCCCCCCATCTCCTTTTCCAGCCCCACCACCACCCTCTTTCAACCCCATCCACTCCTCAGAGCGAGTAAGGCCTTCCTTGTGGAGTCAACAAAGTCTGGCATACCAAGCTGAGGCAGGACCAAGCCCCTCTGTCCTGTATAAAGGCTGAGCAAAGTATCTCACCATAGGGAATGAGCTCCAAAAAGCCAGTTAACGTACCTGGGATAAGTTCTGGTGCTACTGCCAACCCCTGCACCAACAGATCAAGTAACATAACTGTCACCCACATTCAGAGGGTCTAGTTCTGTCCCATGCAGGTTCCCCTGGTGTCATTCCATAGTCTGTGAGCTCCAACTAGCTCTGGTCAGCTATCTCTGTGGCTTCCTCCATCATGGTCTTGACCCCCCCCTTGTTCATATGATCCCTCTTCCCTCTCTTAGCTGAACTCCAGCTTAGAGCAGAGCTTGGCTGTGGGTCACTGCATCTGGTTCCATCAGTTACAAGATAAAGGTTCATATTTATCTTGCTTTTTAAATTTTTCTTTACTTATTTTTATTTGGGACAGAGTCTCGTGTATCCCAGCCTCTCCTTGCATCCCCTACATTGCTGAGGATGACCCTGACATCTGATCTGCTGCCTCCACCATTGAAGGCAGGAATTACAGGCCTGATCATGCACCAGCACACTGAGTCCCTGATATTTTATCAAAAGGGTGCTTCTTGTTTTATTTGGTAGAGCTAGGGATTGATGGTGCTAGGGACTGAACTTGGGGTTTCATACCTACAAGGCACTGGCAAGTGCTCTACTACTGACTATATTCTAATATCAAAAATGAGCAATTTAAAATAAACAGGAAGGCCTGATATTAGTTCAAAACATAAAATAAGTTCTAATTTTCTTTAATGTATGAAATAGTATTCAGCAACATTATTTTTTTGATGGGAAATGATGCCCCCTATGATTCTTGGTGCTAAGTTTATTCTCAGGTAACTCTGTGACTAAGTAGTTTGCCTGGATAGTAGGAAGGACTTATGGAAGAAAAGTAGAGAAGATTTAAAAAGAATCCATCACTCATATAGTTGTGAGGGTGAGCATCAGAAGGAACGTAGTCTTTTGCTAATATCTTTCTCAGGTATCACAATTATCTCAAAGAGATCAAGGCTGCCAATAAATGGTGCATTGTGGCTGTGATGTGGGTGAGCATTAGTTTATATGGAAAAGTGTATGAAAGCAAGATTATTAACTGTTTTAACTGAAACTGTTCTTCCAATAATAGAAGCACATACTAAAATCTATCAGGTGTAAACAAAACATGAGAAAGACATATTGTTCGTCTTCTATGATATTAGAAGTAATCTTGTAGAGAAGATGGCATTTACACATAGAACTTAAAAGGCTTAGTAGAAGAAAGCACGTGACTAATGAGCAAACAAATGCCAAGGAAATGTTGAGAGATATGAGTTCAAATGACAATGTGAATTAGAAAAGGCTTTTGCAGAAATAATTCAATGTGTTCTATCATGCTTCCCATATTTTAACTTCTTTGTAAATGTACTAGGCAATATGTCAAGACTCAGTTCAAATCATTGTATAACAGTTTTCATATTTATAATTTTATTTGGAAATGTATATCAGATATATCACTCAGAATATTCTAAATACAGCACTCAGGAGGCAGAGGCAAGTGGGTCTCTGTGAGTTCGAGGCCAGCCTGGTCTACAGAGCTAGTTCCAGGACAGGTTCCAAAGCAATACAGAGAAACCCTGTCTCGAAAACAAACAAACAAACAAAAAATACTCTAAATAGTATCATATGTATCCATTGTAGCTTACATCTGCACAAACACCATTTGTTTATTGAAGTTTATGTGGTTAGTAACATAGTATTAGGTCATTTAGCATGAGGTTAATTTGATGCTAATACCTCACTAAAGCTAACTTTCATATAGATTTGGGTACATTAATATCTGCTCCTGCAGGGGAAGGGGGCTTCTTTAAGATTTAAAATTTAGATTAAATTAAGCACTTCAGGATGTTACAGCTTTCAAATATTTTTTTTTCCTAATATCTGTAATATCGCTTCCCACAACAAGTTAGAAATCATTAAACGGACAGAATAGATTTTTAATGTCAAGGAAATGGAACTGACTTATTCAAAAAACAACTTCCAATTGAACTACTGCCACAATAGTCTTTAAACATTTATGTACAGTCTAGCTTTTATAAAATCTTAAATTGTGGATACACAATGGTTTATACTTATAAAAGTGAATAAAAATTTATATGTGTTTTTTGTGAAGGCTTCTCTAATGGGGGTGGGAAATATATAGACATGAAGAATTATCATTGGTTCATTTATGGTGTTAGTTCATTATATTACAAAGGTGTGTATGGTTGTTTAGATTTAGAGACAGCCCTGAGGTTGTATCTAAGCCGGGGATGCACTTTTCTGATAGGTATCATGGTTTTGTAACATTAATCTCTTCGCACTTTCAGATGACTCTGTGAGCATGCCCAGTGTGGTAAGTGAACAGGAAGCTTGTCTCCTGAGTGCCCTCGGAAGGAGGCGGTTCTCCAGCCATGTCTCCAGCGTGTCTGCACCTCAGGCTGAGGTGGGCATGTTACCCAGCCAAAGGTAAAGGCCTATGACTGTCTTATAATCTGCACTTGGGGGAAAAAGAAGAAATTTAGAAAATACACTAACATTATCCTTTAAAAACAGAATGAGATGAAGGTGTGCATTGTGTTTCTGGAGAAAATGTTCAAGAAAACACTTTTAAGTATGTTCCTTTGGGTAATAGCTGTAAATTTATGAGCCAGGCTTCAAAATGAAACCCCACCTTCAGGTTCAAGTATTATTTTTTATTGAGTGCCATCCTTATATATCAGATGTATCATCAGGCAAGATGACTATTTGGCAAGAGTAAACCAGTTTACCTGATACTGTGGGAGTTTACCTTCTGCAGTTAGTGTTCAATTGCATGTAGGAATGCTTCATCAAACAGAAAATATACCTCAGTCACTGTGTGGACCATGATCAGGGCACCTAAATACAGTTCACAATTTTCCACCTATGTGCTGAAGGATAAAATGATCTGAAGGGGAACTTCTGTATCAACTCTCTAAGACTCAATGACTGAACAATTTAAAGCATTTCCTTTGGTGTTCTCTGCCATGTAAGAGTGGAATTTTAAAAATACATTTGGGGGTTCTTAGTTTTTAAACTTTTTATACTTGGGAAAAACAAGAATACATAGTTTACATGATTAAAACTTAAATTCATATTTAAGTAAATATTCATATTTGAATTCTATTTTAAATAAGATTACATTACAAAAATGATCTGATGTAAGAGTTAATCTACATTTTAAAACAACTAATATTTTCATTTCAAGAACTCTATTCGTTCAAAGAATTAGCATTGCCTGATTTTTAGTGTTATTTTGTATTTTTACAATACAGCTTTATGCATGCTATGTCACTGAGCTATATGCCTAGCCAGTGCTGTTTTTAATAGCCTTAGACTCACTGTTATACTAGTCACACATAGAAAATGATGTCAAAAGGGATATATGATTGTGTTCAAATTAAACTGGTTTGTTTAGAGGAGTATATTATACCCAAACCACTCAATCAATAGTTCATGTAACCTAACACTTGGTAATTTCCCCTTGAGAAAAAAGATTTTATATATAAAATATGTAACCAAAGAGTCAAGTAATGCATCCCAAAAAAGTAACATAAGCAGTTAATGTTGGTAGCTACTCATTTATTCTTAGTTTTTAACTATGTTTGTATTTAGAGTAACATACATTTTAACTAGAGAGGTTTTTGAGCTATTAAATTCCTTTTCCAGGTGCATAATAATGGATCAACTTATTTGCAGAGAAATTTTATCTAGTATAAACATATCCTAGAAGTTAAAAAGAAGATACTATAATTAATCATTTTGATCTTGGATTATATTTTGGAAAACTGGAGAAAGGACCACTACCAAAAAAAATGATCCTCTTCTTAGGGACAGAGATGAGTTTTGCACTCAGATCTTCAGTAATACCCTTCAGTTTTGTAGATGCCTAATTACATACAATTTAACACATACATATTGAATGCCTTCTGGTTGCCTAGCTCAGTGCTAGACCTAAGGGGAAAGTAGATAAAATAATTATACTCACAAATATCAACTCAGTTGCATCCAAATAAGTGGATAAACTATTACTCATTCACCAAATGACAGGCTTCTGTCACTAGAGAGTGTAGAGAGGCCAATGTGAGTTTTTTGTAATGTTTTGAAGATACCTTCCATTTGTGTGTTGATATTCATTGCAAAATTAGCAGGGGAAGTTGGGCTCTTTCTTTGCTTTTCTTAATGGCATCAGTTTCCAGACTTTGATTGTGGCCATTCATGGTAAGTGGTTTCCATGTGGTAATGTTAGGATGTACAAGAAAATATGGGGTCTAATCATTGAAATTCTGTGTCCATATGACATGTTAAAAAACAACTAGCTAGCCAAATGGCTACCAAAGAATTCATAGATTCATCTTCTATGTATCTACTCTGCAATACATTTCAGAGCTCATGTGTCCATTTGGAGCTCATTTTAACTCTTGACCAATAAACAGACCACTCCTCTGAGAGTCGTACCCATCTGGTCTTCCTTCCCCCATGGCATTGAGTCCTATGGTCCTATGTCTTGACAAACCCAGCACAAGGTGAAATGGTTGACTGTCTCCTTTTCCTTCCTTGTTCTATTAAATTTATTTTCAGTTCTTGGAAACAGAAAATTGCATGCTTTTTCCCCCCTTTCCCTTTTCTTTTTTCCTCTTTTTATTTTTTCTTTCTGCATTTTCTTTCCCTAAATGCTTCATCTCCCTACCCCTCCTGCAGTGAACCTAATGTCCTCGATGACTCCCAGGGCCTGGCCGCTGAGGGCAGCCTCTCTAGGTACAGTGTCAAAGCTACCTGTCTATTGGTGTCTGTGCTGGGAAACTAGCTGTTCCCTGTCACCTCCGTCACTCTGTCTCCTCCGTCTTCTCTTGCCCGTCTTGGTATCTATTTCCATCCCTTGCCCTTTGTTGTTCATGAACACACGAGCCTGGAGTCAAAGGTGTAGCAGACCCTCCTTCTTTACAGACAGCTCCAGAGAGCAAACACAAATAGTCTAAAATATATATATCAATTAAGAAAAAACTTGCAGAATTTGCTATGGGACATGTCTAATGAATGTCTAAAAATGTCTGATATACCAAGGACTAGGGATGTAGTTCAGTGGAAGGAACATACGCTTAATGTGTGCTAGACCCTGGATCCCATACCCAGTACCTTCCCCAAAGTTTGTTATACAAAATGCTAAATTTCTCACGTCTAATCATTCATTTCCACAGTGATATTCTGTGAGAATTACTTTGGGGCAGGTCTTTTTAGTAAAACTCCCTCTCGGGAGCCCAGGTACTCAATCAAGTCATAATACCACAGATGGTAAGCAAATAGTGATGCTGTGAGAATCGCAATGTCACTGAAATTTGTGGGATTGCTTCTCATTGATGCATGCTGTTTGGCATGCCATTATTGTAGTTTATTCAAACACGTATCAAGAATACTGGTTCTAGCAAAAAGATGACTCAAAAGCTTGCCATGAAAAATCCATTGCAAACTTTTCTTGGTAAGTAATAAGAGAAGTCATACAACAGAAACCATAGAATACCTAGAGACTTTAAGCCTTCAGAAATGGGTACTGCACCTTTAACACTCAGATGAATCACGTCAAACATTCCTAATCTTGTGCTGTTGATTTACACCTCTCAACTAATCCTCATTAGGGGCAATGCTTCTTGTTCATCTTTAGAGTGTCTTTGTCCCATCTCAAGAGAAAGTACTCCCAGGGCTGCATTTCATAGTGAGTACAATACCCCAATGTTTATTGCTTTGTTACAAAGATGAGGAAATGTTGAGAGGCCGTTCCTGTGAAAGGCTGTCTTTTGTTCTCTTCTCACCTTGTTCGGATTTCACATTTTCTTCCTCAACTGAAAATGGGAAATTTAGTCCATCATCGGGTCTATTTTTTTTTTTTTACTGGATCCATAATTCATACCATTCATTTGTGTTTGCGAGCCCTTGCTTGGACGGAGTACTCTCTTACTGGTAAATGTGGGAGTGCTGCCTAGGGCAACCATAGTCAACTGGAGCTGTAGGGCAGGAAGGTTGAGAAACACAGTCCTGGAGAAAGTTTCCCCTAGCTGGTCATGGTGTCTGCAGAACTTTTGACAAAGTCTAGCAGGGCTTTTGTACCTTCAAGGATGGAATTGTTTAAAGCTTAAAATTGCATATGGAATGGGGAAACCTTAATTTCAGAAGGTAGGATCAGTGACTGATGGAGGGTAGAAAGTATTAGGCTCCAATTTAGATGACTTTGTGCTGAGAGCTTAGTCCAGACTCTACTGCTAACTGAAGACCCAGCACAATGTGCATGAGAGGAGACAGCGGCAGAGTTTATTTTTATTAAATTTCTGAAGGACTTGGCGAGCTCGGGATTCAAATGACTGGAGTTAGTTGAATTAACTCCTTCTGTGTGGGTCCAGTGCAAAAGGAGGAAACTCAGTGTTTGAGCTAGGTACCAAGAGTCAGACACTTCATCTCCAGGTGAATTGATCCTATTAGCACTTTGATGACCGTCTTAAATCAGCTGCTGTTGATCTGTTGTTGTTGTTGCTGGCACTATTTTCCTTTGGACCTCGGTGTTAGTCACCAGGCCCAGCTGTGGTCATTAAGAAAAGGAAAGATGAACAATTTGCTTTGGATTCTTATTAATGTGAAGGCTTCCCACCAACCACTCGTGCACATCCACCTTTGCCATATGCTGCAAGCTGTATCTCTTGAATGTCATCGTGTCAGCAAGTTCTCTTTGGAGGAGAGGAAGTATGGGCATTTATTAAAAAGGGGATTTATAAAATGGCATGTTTTTATATATTTTGTTTGCAGGCTTTCTTCTTTCCTAGCACAGAATTCTATATGCACATTCTTTAAAATCCCAAAATAGAAAGGCAATAACCATGTGAATTACATTTAATATACACTTGAACTTAGGATCTGAAGTACACTCAAAGTTAACCTGAAGAGAAGCTGACCCAAGCTTACCAAGAAGCATTGTGAAAGGAAACCAGTAAACCCTGACACACACACACACACACACACACACACACACACACACACACACACACACACACACCAATCTTTGCTTAACTTTTATAGAACTTTGCTTCTGCCAGGCCACTTGTTTTAGACAAAAGAAGCAAGTTGGACTGAGTAGGTTGAATGAGGAAGAGATCATGATAAGCAGATAAGGTTGTTGGGTTCTGAAAAAAAAATGTATAATTAGAAATTCCTAAGACCTTTACTAAATTGCACTAATACATTTCTTTTAAAGAATCAGCTCGACTTTCCTATCAGAAACCTTGTTTTTTGTCTGGTTCCATTTCTCAAAACTTCCATCAGAAATTAATAAGCTAAATCAGAATCCCATGGAAGACTTTTCTTCTTTGGAGAGTGCTGCTCTGAGAGGTATAAAAATTCATTGTAGAGATTCCTCAAACACTTGTATATACATATATGGGCATAGTTTCCCGCTGGAATAATAGAGATCGAGAGAAGTTTTTAAGTCCTTAAGGCTAGATGTTTCTATTTGAGAACCAGATTTTGTTTAGACATGCTAGGGTATTAAAAAAAAAAAAAACAGGAGTCCGCAGTGAATTCTTAATTTAAAAAGAAATTATCATGGCATTTTATTCTTGGAAAAGTGAAAATTAAGAATATAGTCCAAGTTTGAACAAGGCTGTAGTCTAGGTTAGATAACAATAACCTGTGTGGTAGTGCCCATCTTTTGCTCTTGCATAGCCTCTAAGCATGAAAATTTGCCATGCACTCTTAAAATACAAGAAAGATCCCACCTGCCTTAAGCACAACTGAGAAGGAATGGCCCAGATGTTGGGTACTACGACACACATTGTGTTCTTTTCCATTGCTACGTTGGCTCTCAGATGATGTCTAAAATTGAGTTATTCCTTACAATCTGATCTGAAACTCTAGTCTTTCTTTAGCACTTAAAATATATTGTCTTGGGTGCTGTGAAGGCTAAATACACTTAAACAATGATGGTTTTGTGAAAGGGAGGAGCAAGCTTTAGTCTTCTGTTTGCTGCTTCCCTGCTGTGTCCATGCTGCTCCTTTAGTGATGACTTCATGAGTTCCCACTGCAAGGCAATCACTGCTGCATGTATTAAATCCCACTTCTAGATTAAAGCTGAAGCCAGAACTATAGAAAGAAGCAATGTCTGCTTAACTTTTTATTTATGTAATATATGATATACTGCAATACATAGTTTATTTTCTACAATTTAAGTGACACAAATTATCCTTACATTACTGAATGGCTCTTCGTTTACATAGTCCTTATTTAAAGAAATACTGTCAGGCATAGAATAGGGAATATACACATACATATATGCTTCAGTTCAGGCCATTATACTGAACAATAAAGGAGGTAATCTTAACAGACTCATTTTCCTAACATTGCCCAAATTCCCCTAGCTTATGAATTGCTTCCTTGTATTATAAATAGGAGATAGTTTTCGAAGACAGTTTGAATCACACCAATTCTGCCGTGCCTGTTTGAATTTTCTTCCCTAAAATCTGGATCTTACTATCATTTGCCAAATGATAGGAATCAGAAACATGAGGGAAGGAGAGACATGCCAACACAGGTCTGTCATAGAGCCCTAGCATATGAGAAGGCTGCAACAGGAGCATGGCACATTCCAGGCCAGCGGGGGTAACACACTGAGACCATGACCCTCTATAGTGAAAGGTTATTTACTTATGTTGCAAGATGTTATTTTAAATTTGGAAAATTTGGAAAGTATTTTTTTCTAGTTTTTATACTTATTGTTTCACCCTGTTCAGTTAACACAATAAAACCACCTGTCCTTCTTAAAATGAATGCTTCCAAGAAACTAGTGTTCCACATAACATCAAGGTTTTAGTATCTGATAAGTTATTTCATAAGTGTTGTACATGAAATAGGTATTTCCGTTATTCAGAAGGATTTACTTGCCAACTGAAGTACACTTTTAAAATTTGAGACTATCTAATAAAATTTAGTAGCTCCTTGATGAGAAAAATATTTTTGATTATTACATTTGTGGTCTATCAAGACTCTTGATGAGACTGCTTCAAAAACTTAAAATAGAAAGCAGAACATAGTACAGATAGGTTCTTAGCACAAAGAACTTGACTTTCTCCCCATTGTGGCTAATTTGAAGCTAAGTTGAAGCTAATTCTTATGTTTAGTACCAGTTTGAGATAAACTCTAAGATATAAAAATTTTGTCTACATTACATTCATTGTTAGCTTAATTCATTGATGAGGCAAATAGAAATTTCAACATCATATTTCTAGGGCAAGTGTAATTTATTGCCTGGGATGTGTTCCCAGAAGATGTTCTATAATTTCATTTTTGGTGCATGCATCCCTATATTTATTTACATAAAACAGCTGATTACTAAAGACACATGATAGATTTTTTTCCAGCTATAAGCCTCTCTGTCCATAGAGAAATGTTGATATTCATGATCTTCCCCTACAGTAACCATCATGAAATTACTGTTATGTTGTGACATTTAACTCTCCAAGTAATGTATATTTTTATTTTCTTGCACCATTTTTTTTCTCACGATCTCAGATTACTAAGTAAAAATGAGAGGACTGCCTCGTATTCATTTTCTCTGTCCCATTATTTTCAAAATGTCTTACCTACTTCCTTTTAGTATCCTAGAAGCAATGTCGTTGCAGACAACAAATGTAAAACAAGAAAGCATGCTATATATTTGTCATTTTTCATACACAAACCATTTCATATCAACTAACTTCTTTTCTCTACCTTAATGGGAGGTAGTTGGTAAGTATCGACCTCCCTTTATGGCCAAGGGAACTGAGGTGACATCTAGATGTCAATGAAGAATCCATTCCAATGGTAGCTTTGCTTGGTATTGGGAGAGATGTGTTACTACTTGTGTGCATATATATGCTTTCCAGCTTAACAGACACATGTTAAAATTGATAAGGAGATGTCATTTCAGACATGCCAGCAATATAGTCTGGATTGGTGATCAAAGTGTGCTGTGCTATTCCTTTAGCATAGAGTCTTTCACACACACTACAAAGTCATATAAAGAGAACATACATCAATCTGGTGATCTTGATGTGGGGAAGAAAAGAAGTGTTCAACACCTCTTTTTTTTTTTTGGTATTCTTTGTAGAATTTTCATTGCAAACATCAGATGATGGAACATATCCCTATTTCATAGAAAATTTGACATCTTAGTGAGTCATTGCTTTTTTTCTTCTTGTAAGAATATGAGTTGGACTTTAACTGACAGTTTTGACTGTACCAACTGTGATTATTAGCCTGTTATTAGTACATGGGAAGCATCGGAATGTTCATCTTGCCACTAATTTCTTTGACCAAAAGTGCAGTGAGGTGTTTATGTAGCACACTAAAAACACACACAAACAGACAGGAATGTGTAGATATAATCATCCTCTATTTTTTTCCTGGACAATTGCTGACTGGGTTGCTCTGTGGGATGTTTTACCCTAACGATATCTGTAGATGACTCTCCTTTTTGCAAAGGCAAAGACCTCATTTAACCATAAACCAATTAATCATATTGACATCAATCACAGAATTAAAATACCATATGGGGCACAGTGTGTTTCTCTTTTCATTCTCTCTCCCATTGTAGATAGCTATGATCCATGCATGGAGAATGAAAAAGAACCATTTCAGTATGTTCAGCTTCACCAACACTGAAGGAGCAGACCCTGTCAGTAGTCATTTTTGCTTATGAGACACACATACACAGTAATTTGGGGGGAGAAGACTGTCCCTTTTATCAACTGCATGGTCCGCTTGAGTGCAGCTAATTGAGCTGTACTGTCAGTTCACTTTGACAGCCTTTTAAATCTAAGTTTCCAAATATATTTAAATTTTCTACCCATGTGATGATTTGCTCAGCTGTCATAGATGTCAGGCTGCAAACATGTGTTGAATGTGTCCCTTCACCCAAATGGATTCTGTGTCTGATGTGTTCAATATTTGTCCATCTTCTTTTCATTTAAATTGGAAGTTTTAAAACAGGTGTTCCCATCCATGTGACAGAGTTGTTTGTGTGTATTTGTTGCCAGCGTTTCCATTCCCCTTGGAAAAAATTGAGATTAGAATATGTTAAGCCTTTTGATGGCTTCCAAACCAGGGTTGTGATCGAACCAACACCGTCCTGCTGAATGATAGATACAGCATCAGTGACTGAAATCAGAATCTCAATTTTGACAGCTTGGGGCTACAAGGCCTTGTCCTTCTTTCCAAGCCTTTGAAAACCCCATGCCCCAGAGACTCTTTCCCAATTATCCTTCAAAGATAATGGTATCTTTGAAGTGACTGTTCCATATAAGTGATTTTGGCTAACACCCACCAGAGAATGGTCTTCTGCACCGTCCTCACGGTAGACTAATGCTGTTGATGCTCAGCAGGGTGGCAAGTGTACAGAGTGAACCTGGCCAGCAGAACCTCCTCCTGCAGCAGCCACTGGGGAGGAAAAGGGGCCTGAGGCAGGTAAGTAGACTCTGAGATGCTAAGAGTCACCCTGTAAGAGAGAAGATCCACTTGCTTGCTAATGCCTGTGGTTAAGATCACACCCAGCCTTCTTGCCTGAAATAAGCTCTGCACAGCAACCTTAAAGTCTGGGTAAATGCTTGGGCAAGCTGAGCACAAGAGGCTTCTATTTCATATATGAATCTTTTGTTGTGCAAAGCTGATTCCTTGATAAAGGAAGTCGGCCTATAGATCTAATTGTTCTCCTTTTGGAAGTTTCTTTCCTAGCCAACCTCACTGATAGTGCTTGCACTGACTGTTAAAGTGTTAACCAAATACCTGCTTTTGCGGAGTCAGAGACCCGTCCTTTCTCACTGTGATGTTAGAGATTTAATTTAATATTGAATTAGAAGATCATATTTTCAGTTGTGTGTTGTGGTGCGTACCTGCATTTCCAGAACTTAGGAGGTTGAGAGAGGAGGGCTGTGAGTTCAATGCCAGCCTGAGTTACACAGAGTTGGAAGCCAGCCTGGGAGTGGTGGAGGTGTACAAATTTCAGTGGGTGAGATTACCCCCCCCAACCTTTTCACCTCTGCCTCCGCCCCCTTCTTCCATCTCTCCCTCACTTCCATCTCCTCTCATTTCTCAATCTTCATACACGGTTTCACTATATAGTCCAAGTTGGTGTCACATCCAAACCTCTTGCCTCAGCCTCCTGGTACACGCCACTACTCCTGGCTCAGACATTGTTTTCTAAATAAAAGTCTGAGTAAGGCTCTGATGTTTGGCTAGAGGCTTGGTTTCTTAATAAATGTCTCTGAGAGTTGAGAGATGTTTAACTATAGTTTTAGATGAGCAAAAGTCAGGTATTAAGTATTATTTCTGGTTTTCTATACTGAAATTCTCAAATTTGGCATTTCAAGACCATTAATGTTCAAGGCTATAGGAAGGAACAAGTAGGAAAGTCAAGGTCAGGGTCACGTGAGTACAGGATCTGCTCCCAGACAGTTGGCCTTTATTTCCGGTTATTTTATGTTTTCTTCAGCTAAGACGCCCACTCCTGTCAAGGCAGAAGACTCAAACTGAACCCAGAAACCGCCACGGGGCTCGACTGTCTACCACTCGCAGGAGCATTCAACCTAAAACAAAGCCATCTGGTGAGTGAGGCCCCATGTGTCCCTTCTGATCGCACCACTGTGTGATGGTAGGCAGCTTGGCCTGGAAGGCCTGCTGAATGTGGGATGATACAAATAACCTCACTTTGGGAGAGGTCTTATGATAAGTTTCCCAGAAAACTTCACTACTATTTTTTCTCTTTTCATCTTCTCCAACCTTTCCCCAACCCAGTGAACCTAGATAAGTGAAATGATCCAAGGTAAATTGTTAATATTCTGAAACTTGAATGGAAAAGGTTGTATTTTCTTTACTCAATCCAGGAACTAGACCATTCTGCTTCTTACTACAGGCAAAGATGCAGTGAATAACTCTTGGGCTTTTGGGTTCTAGAATTCATCACTAGAAGGTTTATTATAAGTTAATCTTTGCAAATCTTATTTCAAGCCATTTATATAAAAATTATTTTCTTTCCCTTTCCTGCTATTCCCTTGGGACAAACCAGACTTTCCTTGTCTCCCTCTTCTCTTCTGTGCTCTCTGTGTGTTTCTACCTGTTTTCTCTTTCCTTCCCCTCCCCCTTCCTTTTCTAATAAAACTTCTCACAAAAAAAAAAAATGATTTTCTCTCTTCAATTCTATTGTACGTAAAAAATCAAAATACATAAAATGGCCATATAGGATCTCATTTCTTACAAAGCAGCAATGCCTTTATGAAGAACCACTGGTTAATGCCAATTATTAAGCATCAGCAGTCAATTTCTCACCTACTTATTGGTTCACCTCTAACTTACAGTTGACCAGAAGCGATCTGTGACCTTCATTGAGGCTCAGCCAGAGTCAACAGCTGCCCCAACAGACATACTTCCTGGCACAGGCCAACCACAGGGCTGCAGCCCAGGCTCATCTAGGAAGCCAGAAGGAATTGACAAACCAGTGCTCACATCCTCTCCTGCCATTGTTGTTGCAGATCTTCATAGCGTGTCTCCCAAGCAGGTGAGGGCACTACAGAGACAGGCAAGGCCTGGTCCCAGCATATTTATTTGCAGGAACAAGTTAGATATGCACACTTCTTGTGGATAGTTAAGTATGGCTCTGTGACATATTATTGCCCAAGAGATACTATTTTTTTTTTTACCATTGTGAAAAAGAAAATCTATACAAAGTGTTTGGCCAATAATGTATTTATAAATAAGAAGGGCCAAGACATGTCTTAGTGGAAAATATAAAAGAAAATATTTTTCAGTGGGAATAATCACTGACAACGGAATGTGAGGCACAGTTAAATATTTTTCAGTTAAAATATATGAAGGTACTAGCTTAGATGAAGCCATCATATAGTTTTCTGTGTCCTATAAGATAAGATCAACTTAAAACTTTGTCCCTATTGTTTTAGTATTCTTTGATTTTGCTTTTGTGAATATATTTCTATAAGTACCATTCTGATGTGATAGCTAAAGAAAACTAAAGGGTAATATTCATATACATGTTTGCATGGGTTTTAATAGTTAAAAGGCACTATAGAAGATCATTTATATCACTTTATTTTTACAGCCTATAAGATAAGCATGGCCCCTTCCCCCTTAAAAAAATTATATGCCAAAGGATAGAAAAACCAATGCTTTGAAAGCTGGAAGGGTCCTTGTAGATCCTCCCTGTGACAGGGGCTAGAGCTTGGATTCACCTTTGAGTTCTTGCCCAGTTAGAACTGCTATAGGGCGGTTTTTATGTTCTTCTCTGGTACCCATCCTGCTTACCCATGATGTTATCATCCTTTTGGTCACAGAGTGAACCCCTTCTTGCTGAGGAAGGAGAAAAAAAGGAGGACCCAGAAGTCCAAGGTGCTGCAGCACACAGCCCCCTCTCCACTCAACTCTCAGACCCTGATGACTTCACTGGCCTCGAGACATCCAGCCTCCTGCAGCATGGAGACACTGTCCTTCACATCAGTGAGGAAAATGGCATGGAGAACCCCCTGCTGTCCACTCAGTTCACTTTCACACCCCCTGAGCCAGGGCAGAAAGACGCGGCACTAGATGAGTCTCATGTTTAGCTCTGTGTCAGAGGAGCAGGGCACAGAAGACTGCTAACAGAAGGCTTTTGATGACAAGGATTAATCCCAAAACAGCACTTTACGGCCAGTGGGTGGCGTTAAGTCTGAGTAGATTTTGCTGCCTAAACTCCTAATGTGTCATAACGATCTTACAAATCAATAGTTAAAAGTCTTTAGTCACGTGCAAACCATAAAAGCAGGGACGAATCAGGGGAAAGAGCCATTTCTCTGCACATTGTGTATAGCTTGCTTTCCGCAGCTCAGAGTATACATACATACTGTTACAGTCAATCGAGATATATATTATTGCTCCCCTCCTAAGAATGCTAATAATATGTTCTAAAAGCAATGCAGTCTTTTAAGATACTCACATTATACATCTCATGAAAATGTTTATTTTTATAGTTTAAAAAATTTTACATTATGTGGCTATATATGCATAGCAATTCCCATAAGAACCAATAAGAAAAATAATTAGATTGGAGAAACTAAACTACAAACCCTGATGTTATTTTTGTTTTGGTCAATAATGTAGTCAGTAATGAAAAGAACAAAACGCTATTTTTTAGAGCCGTGAACTTTTAGAAATTTATTTTTTAACTTTCATTTTCACTGCATGCTAAAAATCAAAATTCTAATATCACAGACCATTTCATACCAATCACATTAGACAGAATACTCTAGAAATTCTCAGATGATTCTGAATAACATAGACAGCTATATAACTATAAAAAGCTAAATGTAAATAGCATTGCTTGAAAGAGATGGCATTCCTATTTCTAGCCCTGACTACATCCATGTCTAGATTGGATCTATTGGGATAGGGAATTTCTTTCCCTCACAGTCCTTGTGCCTGCCCCTGAGGGCATATTTTCATACATTAAAGTTAAGTTGTTAGAACTAGATTGGAAAAGAACTTTATCTTAGTAGTCAAATATTCTATGATCCTTAGGAGATCTCCGTTAATGAGGAAACATACAGAGTAATCAATTTCTTCATAGACTCAGACAGCTTGTATATATCACAAAAAATAGGGCTTTAACTTGAAGTGCAGTTACTTCAAAATAAAAAAATAAATAAATAAAATAAAACGTGGAAGGCTTGTGAGGCCAGTACTTAGTGGGTTATTAAAGGGCTGGGCATCATACAGTTCATAAATGGGGTTTCAAAAGTTTAGCAGTTTACATTAGAGAACTGTTACATAACTACTAAGCATTGAAAGATATATACATACCTACATTGGTATGGTTTTGTGTGTGTGTGTGTGTGTGTGTGTGTGTGTGTGTGTGTGTGTGTGTGTCTGTTTTAGTCTTCAAGAAGAAGGTAAACAGAGAGTTTGATTATGTTGAGATGAGTTTAAATATATTCTATATGCTCAAATGTTGACTAGGTTGGCCATGAAATGTAGGTATATATAAAGAGGAGACCTATAAACCAAACAAATCATAAGAAAAATGATATTTATGTTAGAAATTTTTATTAAATAAGCACTGTTTATATTGTGACTTACAAAGTTATATATTTTGGGGCTACAGCCCCATTCACCAAGAGAATGAAATTATCTATAAATTAATTAGAGTAAAATTTAAAATCCCCCAGTTGAAAAAAATCAAGGTGGTATCACCCCCCTCCCCCGGGCCTTTTGGCTAAGAACAAGTATTGGAAATCAAGGAGATAACAGACCTCTTTTATGTGCTATGACATCTTCACATCACTCATACTTAATGCTGAGTTCATTCCTAAGTGCAGAAGCCAACATACAAGTGGGTTTCTGGTTCTAAGCTGATGTATTTTGCCTATTACAAACTATGCTGCTCAATTAGCATTAGAGGCCTTATGTCTGGTAATTACAAGTGTCTGAGTTATGTGCGTCCATGTGCTTTGTTCCAGTGTTGGAATTCTTGATGCAAAATCTCTATAACTGTGTCAGATAGTTAAGAAGCACAGAAGTCAATGAATTGTTAAATACTCAACAATAACTCTAAATACCTTTATATATTTTAAATGTGTTGGGCTGTTTGAGCAATGATTTACTGGTCTGTCTGCCTTTTAACCTGACTCCTTCACTGTCATATATGGAAGTTTATTAGAAATTTTTTCAATAAGCTAAGTAATGTTTTACCTTTAAAAAAAAATAAGAGACTTGTCCACTCTGAGAAATAGGGACTAACAGAGTGGAAATGCTCTCTCTCGTGTTTGAACTTCTGAAATTTTGCAGATGTGTGCATCTGTTCCATTTAAGGTGTCCTTAAACGTGTTGAATGTAATGTGTTGAATGTTTATGTGTGGTGACTAAAGTATCTATATGTATGTGCATAAGACTGTCATAAGATGTATTCTCAGGAATACTGTTACCTAGACTTTGAAGGAATAACTTAAAGAAAAACAGTTAGGGAAGATAAGAAAAAAAAAGTTTGAGTTAATTGACAATCTTTTGTAATATTCAAAATGTGACTAAGAATTTACTATCATTTATGATCATTATAATATTGGTAAAAATAGATTTATTTCTTAATATATGATGCTTCTTCATACTTATCTCATTCAGAGAAAGGATAAAGCAGGCACCCACTTTCACTAGGTATTAAAAAAATTATATTCAATTAAGATTGGTCCTCTGGAAAGTAATTTTATAGAGACCTTGAAATAAAAATATATCATCCATGATAGTGGGTACAGATTTATACTATTCAGATTAAAGCAGCTTAAATCCTGGATGCAGAATTTTATAGAACAATTATTTTATTTTCATTTTCAGCATTCGCTGCTTTCTGTAATTCTATTAAATTACTTGATTCTTCTGACAAGGACAGTGAGTTACTGAGTGCCTTGGAATAAGCCACTAAGAACTACAGTGTGAAAGGGCACAACTGGGCACACAGCAGTGATGGGGACAACCATTGGTTTGTTATGTTGAGCCCCCAAGAGTAAGGAGACAAGATGGCATTTCTCTTTTAGCATCTGTTCTTTTAGTCAGTGAAGAACTTTCTTCACTTTGCTGCCCACATCCTAGAGTTTCCAAGGAAATAATCATGTATGTGTAGAGATCTGTAGGGAAGAAAGGGTTATAGAATTATAGTCCAAAACATGAATTAAATACCTTCCTTGGGTTACACGAGACACTTTGCCAGAGAACTCTCCAGAATTTGCTGCTGTCACACTGAGTCCTACTGTTGCTCGGTGACCTCACAGTTCCAATCCATGGCCTTGTGTCTTGGCAGTGAGTAAAATACCCCGCCTCCTCCTTTGCTTTCATGGGTCTCAACTGCAGCATCTCAGAAGCAGACTTTGACCTGACACTCAGGAGAATAAACACAAGTAGAGGGCAGAATGTATTTGGAAAAATTTATGATAAATTTACTCATATTATTTAAGGATCATTTAGGATCATAAATCTACGTACCTCCATGATATTTTTAATAGTCACTGTGATCATGGGATTAAAGTCCTTTATTAGCCATTTTGTAGGTAAAAAACAAAGGATTGACTACACAGCCAGCTTCCCTTAGATGACTATAAAGTCTGTTATGAATACTGAATGACCAAAGAGCATGGAAAAATGCATATGAATAAATACTGAGATGTTTATGAAAGATATTTATGAAAGCTATTGACTTCTGTGTTTGAATATGCACATATAATAAAATTAATCTAAAAGTATTTAATGTGCTCCAATTTCATTTCTCTCCTTTGGGAATGGGTTAACTCATTCAGGTTCATTTTTGAAGACTTGGAGTGTGGCTTCTTTGTTCATCTCTTGTTCTCCATACCTGCACTCTACGCCTGGCCTAAAGTCACCCATCAGTCCCTCCACTTCTGTATACCATTGATATCCACCTACAAACACTTCCAATCCCCCATCTTTCCAAATAAAGCAGAATGCAGATATGGAAGACAGGTAGCCAATTTGACTTCACTGCCCAGATTATGACTGGTAGTCCAAGTCAAAACATTAAAGACTTCATTGTCCTCTGCCACAGAAACCATGGCATCAAAATTACCACCAGCTACATTTTGAAAAAAATTATGAGGTGCCCTATCCTTTTCCTTTAGGAAATTCTCTTGTTTAATTCATGTTTGTCTTCACATAGCTTTGCATTTTCTTCCTGACCCAGATTCTGGACTAATTTGACATTAGGATACCTACCCATTTCAAGATTTATGGCTGAACAATAAACAACTGTATCAAATCCATCTACTGCAGAGGAAAGAGGACCAAAGAAGATCAAGACACTCCTATACTGAGTACTCAGCAGTCACCTACTCTCAGAACCTTGACTAGGGAGCAACACAGAAGAGAGGACCAAAAGACTGTAAGAACTGGAGGGTGGCGGGAAGCGCTATGGAATGCTGTCCAGTGGGTATAACAGGGCTGTTGCAATTAGTAGTGCAAAGCACCTGTGGCTATCTGCACAAAACCTACAGACACACAGAGATATTTAAGTAGGAGAGGGTTTAATCCGGAAGAAGAAAAGGGTCAGCAGGAAGTGAAGGGGAGTAAGTGCGTGTGGCGGGGACTATAATCACAGTATAAAGTATACACATATGAAATAGTAAAGAAAAAAAATACATGTTCAAAACAAATTCCTGCATTGTAGGAGGTAGTCTAGCTGGTCGGCCCGTTGCCTCCTTGCACCATGCTCACTAAACTATTTTTCCTTACAAAGGGAAGAGAGGCTATTCTGCTGAGATGACAGAGGTGCAGGCAAAACCCAAGGCAGCAGGCAGGAGGTCAGCTTCTGGATGGGCTCCTAGCGAGCCAGCTGACAGCCCCGCCCCCAGGAGGAGGCGGGACTTCCTCGCCGCAGGGCAGATGCTTCCGGCAGAGTCCGGAAGAGAGTGCGGAGCGGAGGGGGGCGGAGCCAGCGCGGCGCGCCCAATCGGAACGAAGTCTTGGCTGGCCCGGGCTCTCGTGGGCTCACTCGCTCTAGGGAACCGGCACCATGGCGTCGGGCTGCAAGATCGGCCCGTCCATCCTCAACAGCGACCTGGCCAACCTGGGGGCCGAGTGCCTGCGCATGCTGGACTCGGGGGCCGACTACCTGCACCTGGATGTAATGGACGGGTAACTCCGCGGGGCTCGGGGCGGGCTGGCCGCGCGGGTCGCGTCGCTGCACCTCAGCGAGCGCCTGTTGGGTGCACGGCGCCCCTTTGCGACGGGCGGCCTCGCTGGGCGCGCTGCTCAGGGCACCGAGCCGGTCCTGGCTGCCTTCGGGGCCCGGTCCCCAGTCCTTCCCCGCCCCCGGGAACCCGTGGTACTAGGACCCGGAAGCCACCTTCAGTCGTCAGGGCATTTCTTTCCTGAACGCGTAGAGAAACTGAGGCCCAACGGGGACAGGCACGGCTTGTCCAAACTCAGATGACTACTAGTCCGCGACAAAGCTAGGAGACAGACTCGCCCACGGTTACGAGCTTGACACCTTGCTGTGATTACTGAGTTTGACCTCTCTTGCTGCCTTGTTTTAGACAAGCCGCTTCGGCCCTCACGGAGGTTCGGTTTCAGGGTTTGGAAAATGGAAGTGTTATTGATAATAGAACGCTTCCGCGTCTTTGGAGAAAAGAAACGAGCAAGCCCCCCGCCCAGTGCCAGACATGTAACAGATTCTCTACGGTTGTTGGTTGTGTCGAATAACTATCCGAATTCAGATTTCTCTTTCTATTTTTTCTTCAGGCACCCTGCTCTACGGGGAGGTCAGTTTTTTTTTTGTTTGTTTGTTTTTTTGTTTTTGTTGTTGTTGTTTTTTGTAAGTACTTTTTAAGCACTGTAGTTGTAGTTTGTAATACTCATCATCAGGGTACAGGTTTCCTAAGTCGGTTATAAATTGAGTAAATAAACGTGGACCCAAAGGAGGCCATTAAGACTTGCTTGCTCAAGATTACAGAAGATTGTGACAGACTTGGACCTTGAATCTTCTTGGCTTTGACTAGCATTTCCTACTGGAAGTTCCGCATAGAATTGGTAAAATCCTTAGGTTGAGCTAGAAAAATACATTTATTTTAAATAAGCAAAATCTGTTGCCCTCAGTCACATTGGCAAATATGTGTTATTTCCGAGAGTTTGGTTTGTTTCTTTCTTGGGGCGGGTGGAACTGGGGGGCTGCAGTTCGTTTTATTTTTTGAGACAATGTCTATGTAAATCAAATTGGCTTCAAACTCAGAATCTTGCCTCAGTTTCACAAATTACAGGGATGGGCCATCACCCCCCAGGGGCACCTTTTCTTTTACTGTCTGGCCACTGGCCATTCTGTAGCAACTTTTTCCCCTTTGCACAGTGTGGTTAAATCTCTTGCTTCTTTTAACACTTACTGAAAGCCCTTGACTGAACAAAGTGTGTACTATAAAGATGGCAGCTATATTATTGGTGCCTGAGAAAACAGGTGTCTCAGGGTGGAACAGGCTATACCTGAAACTGTGAGTCGGTTTATAGAGAATGAATGATTGGAGACCTTTTCTTTCAGTTTGTTCATAGGAATATTGGTGATGGCAGTACTTAGAAGCACTTTGCTTTCTGTTCTGGTAATTTTTTTTAAACCTCATTTTAAAAATTCTCTTTATGTTTGGAGTTTATAATATAATTACATCATTTCCTCCTTCCTTTTCCTCCCACTGACCCCTCCTATATACCATGTCCCTCCTTGCTCTCTTTCAAACCCATGCCCTTTTTAAATTATGTGTATATATTATGTTCCTAAATGCATAAATTTGACCTGTTCAGTCTGTATAATGTTAATTGTGTGTATATTTTTTAGAGCTGGCCATTTGGTATTGGGTAAGACTGTTCTCAGCATTCCTTAGTTATCTAGTTCTTTGTGTGGAGCTAGGACCCTGTGGGCTGATCAGATACTTTTTGAGGTTAATGTTTTGTCAATGAAGAGTAAGATGCAGTGCCATGTCTCAGAGGGGGAAAAAAAAAAAAAAAATCAGTGGGCTGGGCTAAGGTAGAAGCAATGATGTAACTATGTCTCCAAATGCCTTCTGGTTGCTGGGTGTCTATAGGACTCTTAGGACATCTGCCCTCAGACATCAAGTAGTAAGCGTGTCATAGGAAGCATCTCTAAGAATTACCTTTGCCCCTCCCAACAGACCCCCTGCCCCTATGACAGACTTCAATAAATAAGACAGACTTTTTTTTTTTTTTTTAATTGTTCTACTTTTGCTGGGAAGCACTGGCTTGAAAAAAATCTAAATTTTTCATGTACAATTTTTTATAACTTTTAATCTTTACCTACCTACCTTTTTGTTTATTTGTTTTTGAAGTAAAAGATGTTTGTATTCATCATTTGCAAAAGAGGAAACCAGTTTAGGGAAGTATAGCTTCTTTCCCATCATCCCGTCTGAGTAGACAAAACTTGATGGAGCTGGTGTCACCTCTGTAGCCATGTGGTGCAGTGTTTCCAGGGCAACTGTACAAAAGTGAGCTGTGGGATCCCTTTACAAAGGTGGCAGGCCTCAAAATATTTCCTTCCCTTTTCCACTTCGTCACCCCAGTTTTCTGGCCTGCTTAAAACTGAATTTATGTAGAAAGTAAAAAACTGGGTTGGAAAACACTCGGTGGCCCAGGACATAAGTTTGGTTAAATATCTAAAATGAAGGGCAAATTTATTTTCTGCAAAAACACAAAATATATTATGACAGGATGGTGGCTTGAGCGGATTGATCCCAATCATGGGAGCAGAACAAATATCTATTTCGAAGTTAATCATCAGGATTTTAAATTGGGGAGATTTCACCTGAATACTGAGTTTCTGCTTTTTGGAGGTGTGGGGCTTGGTGGGGGATGTCAAAGCTTTGGCACCCACGTTCTGATTTCTGATAAGGCCATAACAGGCTGCAGCTGAGTGAGCAAACACCTTTAACACATTTTTGTGTCCTGTGCCTTACCCCATCTCTTCTGCTCAGTTTTGCTTCTTTGCCAGTGACTTTGAAACCTGCCAGTGACTCTATAGACAGGCAGGTTGTTTTCAGGTTCCAGTCTTAGAACATTTTGTACTGACCTTAATCCTCTTAAGAGTTTTGTTTGCTGGTTTGTCTGCAGTAGACTGCATTCCAGCTATAACTAAAGTATGGCACTGGTGATGGAACTCAATGAGAGAGAAAACTGATATTCCCGCATCACAACAGTTAGAGCTCAATAGCAGCAAGTGCTGGGTTTCTGGAAGCAGGACTCCTTTGTTGAAATTTCTTTCAGACTTTACTCCAGAGGATGGCATTCAAGCAGGGAAATGCCAGAATAAAATAATGATAAAGCTGACTTAGACATCTTTGAGGCATTTGGTAAAAATCCATGTTCTTGCGTGTTCAGAACCTCGGTAGCCCTCATTAAAGAGGCTGCAGATCTCTTGATAGTTGGTGCTGTCAGGCAATTTCAAGACACCTGTGTTTTTTGTCCTTTTGGTTATGACTTAGTGACAAGCCTTTAGTTTTTTATGAGACTATTGATGCATTTTGTGCTCTTGGTGAATTTAGTGAACCCAGTTCATCACCAGGAACATAAGCAAAAATTGCTCACATGAATTGAGGGTCAGTAGTTTTTATATGTTATACTTGTATTTCTCAAGTAAATTTGTTTTTCATCTCCTCAGCCTGTCTTTTGTCATTATGTTTGTTTTCATAATAAATGAGACCTACATTTGAACAAACTGATTTTCAAGGCCACACAGCAAATTAAAAGAATAGTATATGCAGTTTAAAGACTTTTGAAAGTTGTAGAATAGTCAGTTGGGACTGATGCCTCTGACCTTATCCTTATTTCTGGTGTAAGTAACTGAAGTGTGTCATTGAATTCTGATAGTGATTGCCCTTAGGCAGGCAGTAGAATAATCTTCTAAATAGTAGAAATGGAACCTCCAAGGAAGTGTTAGTCAGAGAACTTATTCACACTGATTATTAACTGACTGAGTGAAGGATGGTAATTAGCATGTTCTTCAAACAGAATACAAATAGTATCTGTTTTATTAGTCTGAGGTATCTGGGGTGAACTAAGCTCTCAATATACTACTAGCTATTTTTTTTCCAACACTTATAAAATTGCTTTTATAAGTTTTGCCTTTGCAAGAAGTTTTTTATTAACTAAATTTATTTATTTTACATCCCAACCACAGTTTCCTTACCCTCCCCTCCTATCCCCCCCATCCCTTCCCTCATCTCCTCTCCACCCCTGCTGCTGCACTGCTCCCTCCCCCCTTCCCCCACCCCTGTTTTCAACAAAGCTTGACATATCAAGTTTCTACAGGACTAAGTTCCTAAGGAATAGGTTCCTAAAAGCCAGCTGACTTATTAGGGACAATACCTGTTCCCACTGCTAAGAGTTCCACAAGTAAACCAGGCTGTACAACTGTCACACATATACAGAGGGCCTAGGTCAGTCCATGCAGGCTCCCTGGCTGTCAGTCCAGATTCTGTGAGCTTCTATGAGCCCAGTTAGTTGTTTCTGTGTGTTCCCTTGTGGTGTCCTTGATTGTTCTGGCTCATACAGTCCTTTTTCCCTCTCTTCAAAAGGATTTCCCAAGCTCAGCCCAATGTTTGGCTGTGGGTCTCTGCACCTGTTTCCATTAGTTACTGGATGAAGGTTCTCTGATAACAATTGGGGTAGTCACCAATCTATGAGTACAGCAGAATACCAATATCTTTATGTTGACTTGTTTTTCCCTTCAGTTGTGTTTGGTTCTATCCTAGGTTTCTGGGTCCAGGCAGGGTCAGAGGTGGGTTCACTCTCCTGGTAAAGGTGTGAGGCTGAACCAGTCATTGGTTGGCCACCCCCACAATCTCCACCATTCTTACCCCACCCCCACCCCCACCCCCACACAATTGTCAGGACAGACTATAGGTCAAAGGTTGTGTGACTGGTTGTGTGACAGATCTAGCGTCCAATCTCTCCTCGGGAAATCCTACCAGGTCACAGGAGATGGCCAGTTTAGGTTACTCATCCATCATTAGGAGCCTTAGCTGGTAGTCATCCTTGTAGATTTCCCTTGTACTAGGTCTCTACTTGACCTTGAAATGACCACCCTTTGTAGTCATCTCTTTTAGTACTTTCCCTCTCCATTGACCCACCAACTCTATTCCTCATGTTCCCATAGCAACCTGCCCCCAGTCCACCCAGAAGATCTCTCTTTTTTCCCATTTCCTGAGAGACCCATGTGTCCATTTTTGGGCCCTCTCTGGATTGTAGCCTGGTTGTCCTTTATTTTATATGTACTATCCACTTAGGAGTGAGTGCATACTGTTTTTGTCTTTCTGGGTCTGGGTTACCTCACTCAGGATGATTTTTTTCTAGTTCCATCCATTTGCCTTCAACTCTTCTGATAGCATTGTTTTTAACAGCTGAGTAATACTCCACTATGTAAATGTACCACATTTGCTTATCTGTTCTTTGTGTGAGGGGCATCTTTGTGTGTTTCCAGGTTCTGGCTATGAACTGCTGTGTTCATAGCAGCCTTATTTGTAATACCAAATTATTATTTTTAATGGATGTTTAAAGGGTTTAAATAAACTGTCATTAATCACAGTGCTCTGTGATTAAAGTGGATTAGAGGCTGATTCAAGACACCTGTGTTAGAGTCCTTTATTAACTAGTATGTTACTTGAGCAAGTCAGAAATTGTCTTTTGTTATCTTTCCATTTCTGCTTGCCGTGGGTCATTATGAATTAGACTTGTCATTATGAAGATATATATGTGACAGCACACAATTATATACTTGCGCTTACCTGGTTATTTTTGCTTAATTTTGTGTAATATTAAAAATGTTAAGGACCATATGGGAAAAAAATTACAATACCAAATGTTCCCTTCTTCCCTTGTCAGAATTCATATTGATAAAACAGATATGAAGTTGAAAATAATTTCAGAGTAAGATTTTATTTATTTTTTGTCTTGTAGGCATTTTGTTCCTAACATCACTTTTGGCCACCCTGTGGTTGAAAGCCTCCGAAAGCAGCTAGGCCAGGATCCTTTCTTTGGTAAGTAGGTTGCTAACCATTTAAAGCAGCTGATTATGTTGCTTAAATAAAGGAAAAGAGGTTGATTGATCAAGTTCATCTTGCCCTCTTCTCCTGTTTCTTCTTGTACAGTGTCTTCATTAGCATGATTTTAGCAATCCAACACCCATCTCCATCCCCAGGGCCATGAACCTGATTCTGCCTGGAAAAACTCTTTTGCTGAGGGCCTCACTGTCAACCCTCAGATCATTTGTCAACTCCTCAGAGACACCTTTCTAAGCACCTGGTCCAAACTAACTTTATCCACTTTTCAGTCTTTTCTTAGAAGTGACTATAAGATCCATGAAGGTACACACCTAGAACTCAACTCATGATTTTTTTATAATGTATTTATAAATACATATTTGTTGTTTATATATTACTTATATCATTTATTTATTTGGATGTTTTGCCTGTGTGTGTGTATGCGCAGTGTCTTCAGAGGCCAGAGGAGAGTGTCAGAGTCCCTGGAATTGGAGTTACAGAAGGTTGTGAGCTGCTATGTGGGTGCTGGGAACTGAACCAGCATCCTGGAAGAACAGCTCATGTTCTTAAATGATGAGTCTTCTCTCCATCCCCAACTTTTGCTTTTCTTAAGGCTAAACCGACATAATTATGTTTAGTATTAACTAGTAATTGCATTTATGATTCAACTAAGTGGTCCAACAGCCAATTTATTTCTTTCAAATGTGGGCTTTCTGAAGTTATGCTTCATTTCATGAAATAAAGGGTTTTTTGTTTCTTTTGGAGGGGGTTGTATTTTGTTTTTATTGTTTTGTTTTTGTTTTTAGATCACTCCAATGAGAAGTTATTTGAACCTAAACAGATTTAAGTTCATAATACTTTATATAACAATATAACATAATTACATAAAACTTAATGTTTTTTTTGTTTTTTTTTTTTTCTTAACCAATAGAGCAATTTTATGAGGAACTCTAGCTGAAATGTTCAGTGTGATAGCTCTAAAACCAATATTTAACTCTTTATATTAAAATAAAAATTTAGTTTCTCATTCCCAATAGGCACATTAGAAGTCCTTAATAGCCGTATGTGTCTTTGACTACTGTCAGCAGTGCAACCATGGCCATTCCTTCTAATGCAGGCCTACTTGTACAGCCTCTAGCAAAAGTGTGTCCAACCTTTTGACATGCAACATGTTATTGTCGTCTACAAAGTTCTCACCTGAGAACCACACAGTTGAGTTACAAAAACTAAACAAAAGCAAATATCTCATACAGTTTACAATTTTGTTTTGGTCTCATTGCTAGCTAGCCTCATCTTATTCAGGCTGTGCCTAGACATACTTACGAATGGATTCATCCATTTTGAGAGGATTAAAAAAAAAACAAATGTCCATTTACTTCATGTCTACCAACTCGTTCATCTTTTTCAGTTTCATGTAATTGAATATAATCTTACGTTAAAAAATGTTTTTTGGAAAGGCGTTTTCAAAGTAAGTTTCTCTTTGAATCTACTCGTATTGTGTACTATGACTTTTTAAAATTAAATTGTCATCCTGGTGTGAGAAATAAATCATACTGCTCCCACATACAGTAGCCACACTTTCTGCTGCTCTTTCTCATTCTTTTCACTGGTTTTCCTTTCACTCTTCTTTTGACTTGTGTTCTCACTGTTTCCTGTGCCTTCTAGTATCATTCTTTCCTTTGTAACACCACTGCCGCCACCATATACAATCCACCTCTTCTTCTGCAACTTGGAAGATATGTATGATGTATATTTATATAAATTTGATAATTAGTGTTTTAGGAAGCTTGTTCAAAATAAGGATGAATATACTATGTTAATACCTGAGGTTTGAGGCCTTTGTTTTCAATTGTTTGTTAAACAATTTTGTTGTTAAATCTTGGTTGTTTGATAATTGATGCATGACAGCATTTTAAGAAGTACACAAGGGCTAGAGAGATGTTCAGCATTTAAGAGCATTATTTGCTCTTACAGAGGACCAGGGTTCAGTTCCTAACACGCACATCATGTGGCTCACAACCACCTGTAACTCCCTCTTCTGGCTTCTGTGGAACTGGAGATCAGAACTTGGGCCTTGCACGTACTAATTCCAACCACAACCTTTTACTATTTTCAAAATCTTTAAAATTTTTATATGCATTTGTGCATGTGTATGTGCACTTGTGTGCCATGCATATGTATAGGAGTGGATGTCTTACAGTAACACAATGCACTTGTGGAGGGGAGGGCAAAGGACAGCTTTTGGAAGTCATCTTCCACCTTCCACCCTACTGAGGCAGGGTCTGTCTTACTGCGTACTCCACTTAGCTGGCCTGAGAGCTTCTTGGCTATTCTCCTCTCTACCTCCCCCATCTCAATTTAGTAGTACTGGGTCTATAGCCTTTCATATGAGTTCCAGGGAACAAACTCAGGTTGTGAGGGTTACATGGCTAGTACTTATCCACTGTTCAATCTCCCTAGCTCTACTTTTAGTTTTGAGGCAGGGTCTCCCTGAGTTCCATTTGTATCTGATGCTGGTCTTGAACTTGGAATCTTCCTATCTTAGTCACAAGAGATGCTTATCTTACAGGTATGTACCAGCCAGCCCTGCTGCTTCAAAAGCTCTGAAGCAGTCTTAGTTGAGTACAAAAAAAAAAAAAAAAAAAAAAAAATCTAAGAAATAAACAAGAAAAGCCTTTATTATCTAAGGCAATAGTCTGTACTGTAGGGAATCATGGAAATCCTTATAGCTCATTTTTGAGGTCAAAGCTATTTTCATAATACTAAGGCATTATTTGTCATTGTCTATACTGGTGCTACAAATCACTGGTGAGTTAGTTTTTTGCTGTCAAACCAAGTCAGTGGTGCAGTGGCATGGATTCCTCTGGTGATGACTGCAGTTATGTATGCAGTATATATCTTTGGCGAAGCAATTTAGAATATTTGCTTTAATAAGTTTGTCTTTGAGTAATGTCTTGTTGATTGTCGTGTGACAAAATAGGAATAACAAAGCACTTCTGCTGCGCTTATGGTCGTGCTTTTCACTTGAGCTCACACTTTTCTCTGGCCAGGCAGCTTGTACTACTGCATGAGATGAACTGGCTGCTTTTTCCAAACACTAGTTTTCTCTTGGGGGAAAAAAATGACAGCTAAACTATTTGGGTTAGAAAATTACTGTTTTACTGTTTTATTCTAACTAACAAAGAAGACTTGTGACTTCAAAAAAAAACACCTTGTGTTTGTTGCTTAAGAGCTTGTAAGAAGAAACATAGTATTAGAAAGCTGCTGTTCTGTGCTCAGCCACACCTAGAGATAGATGCTCCTTACCTTATCACAGGCTGTGTTCCCATAAATGCATTGTAAGCCAACACATAAGTCAAAAGTGCATTAATATGACTAACCGCTATAACATCATAGTTGAGCCTTACCTACTTTTAATGTTCTCACAGTACCTAGTTGGCCTACAGTTGGGCAAAAATCATCTATGATGTTATAACATGTTGATTGCCTATTGTGATTTATCACCTGCATCTAGAAGACACTTCCCATACACTGTACAACTACATAGAACAGGGTGTTTGGGTTTTTTTTTAGGAGGAGGGGAAATATGGGAACAGGATCTTATGTAGCTCAGGCTGGCCTTGAACTCTTGATCTTCCAAGGTACTATAGGACCATGTACAAGACTGATATAGAACAAGGCTTCTTAAACTTTCTCTAGTCTTGACTCCTTTTTCCCTGAGAAATTTTTACACAGCCCTGGGTATGAAGATAAATAAAATAAGCATATAAACCATAGCTTTATTGGTAATAAGTCATAAAGTAAGTGATTTTAAAACAACTTTTTCGTATACATATGGTTTTACCATTTATTAAAGATGAATGCAAATTTGCAACAAGATGGTGTGCTTATTTTTAAGTAAGGAATATCTTGTCTGCATATTTGCTACTGCAGGATATATCATTAATGATTTTCATACACATATCTGTATTAAAGGCATAACATATAATTAAGCACAGTGATTAGCAAGCAACAATTCATAATAAAATAGAACAGTGTACTGTAATTATGTGAATGCAGTCTCTGAAATTTTCCTACTTATCCTTACAATAATGTGAGATGATACTTAAAGGAAGCATTTATGACTTGTCCACTTATCATCATTCCATTTGTGCTGTGTTAACTGATAGCAAGTAAAAAAAAAAAAAAAAAAATAGGGGTCATTAAGGTAACCCAGAGGGTAAATATGTTTGTTATATAGAACAAGAAAATCAGACTCCAAAGATTTGTCCTTTGACCTCCAGATGGGTACCATGGAATATATACACCTGTGTTTACACATGTCATACACAAACACACACACACAATAATGATTTTATAGAAATAGGATAACTCATTCCTAAGCATTGTGATACCAGGACTTTGGATGTGATTACTTCAGCCAGCTGCCAAGCTGTAAATGGGCAGTCGTGGATCATATATGTACACCAGTCAGAGGAATGACTCAAAGATCAAGCTGGTATGGTGCCTGATATTCTCTTTCCACAATGGGAAAAGAGGTTAGAACTTGGGTTGTCAACTTAAAACTTATCCAGTGTTTATTTCTGGAACTTTCTGTTTAATATTTTTAAAACACATTTGACACCAGAAAACCTCCAAAATGAAGCAGCACAAAGTAAACTATGCAAAAAGGAGGTCTTCTATAATCTATCAGTATTTCATTTGTTAATTTTTACCTGGAAATGTCTTAATTCAAATATCTAATGCATATAACACCTGTACATCTAGCCAGTATCAACCAGAGAGTGTTAGATTCTGTCTGAAGAATCTATTAACCTATTAACATGCTTTTATTTATTTATTTTTTTGTTAGCTTAGAAAATATACTGTAATGTAGCATGAATAATAAAAACCTAGAGACTGATATTAGCTGAAGATCAGAAATGAAAGCAGCCAAGCCACCAGAGAGCTCTGGCCTCTACCAAGGCTGGGATGATCCAGTCCTCAACGTGGCTGAAGACTAATTGCCTAAGACTGAATGCCAGTCTGAGACCCTGTCTTAGATACCTCTCTAGTGCTGGGATTAAATGTGTGTACCACTACCACCTGGCTTCTATGGCTAACTAGTATAGCTTTTGGAGTTAAAGGTATATACTACCACTGCCTGGCTTCTATGACTGTAGCTAGCTTTGCATTCTGATCTCCAGGCAAGCTTTATTAGATCATAAGCAATAAATATGTCACCACCACACTGTAATGATGGTGTTACTGTCTAACTCCTTTCTAAAGCTCTTGACTTTTATAATCTTAGTTAAGTTCTGAAGTATTAGAATTTATTTTTAAAATGTAGCGTAGCAAGGCCAGAAATATACTTCCTCTGACAAAAAACAAACAAACAAAAAAACATTACTCTCCACACTGCACCACACAGAATTGGTCACGGGTTATCTTGTAGTCTCGCCTCTTGGGCCTTTTCTCATGAAACACATTCAGTTTTAAGAAGACCATGCCTGTGTTCTGCCTACTGTGATTATGTACATGAAGCTTTAGGCTTCTAACCTCCCTCACCGGCCTGCCTTCTCGCCCCTGACACTCAGTAAACTGCAGCTCTGCTCTTCTACTTGCTTAAGCCAAATCTTTGGAACCATTTGTTTTCCTTTGACCTTCTAGGTGGCTATGCCTTCTGCATGTAATTTTCCTGGGTCACTGTAGCCCCCTTTGTTGGACCTTTTCACTTCACTAGAACCTGTGATTTTCCATCTCATTAGTTCTAGCAGTCTGCAGAGCTCTACCATCCTCCTTACTGCCTGTTTCTCTGACTTCATGTCTTTCTATTGCTGGTATTAGCTGCTAAACCTAGTTTGTATTTTATCTTATTTTTCTTATTGTCTCGTCCATTGTGGTACTGCCATAAAAGTTCAGTAAAGGTTAGCCTTCTGAAAGAAAACGAGGTTGCATAAGGAGGTAGTGTGACCTCTTTAAACCTTTGAAAGGGGCATTTCCTGAACCTACACCTCAGTTTCCTGATTTCTTGTATTTTCATATATAGCAGCACGTGCTCTTTGTGGAAGAACTATTTCACAAGTGAATATAGCCAAACTGTATCTTTAGGATGAGACTATCTATACCAAATATAACTGAAACAAAACAAAACAAAACAAAAAACTCTATAGGCTGACTTCATCCTGTGAGCCAGGTATTCCTCTGAGTATGAATAGGAGATGTCTTTTCTTCCTAGATATGCACATGATGGTGTCTAGGCCAGAACAGTGGGTAAAGCCAATGGCCGTGGCAGGTGCCAATCAATATACCTTTCATCTTGAGGCAACTGAGAATCCAGGGGCTTTGATTAAAGACATCCGGGAGAATGGGATGAAGGTAAGTCGATGATAGGATAGGAGTTGTATTTTAGACCAGTTCTTGTCAAAATTCGAAAGATAGATGGGGGGGTGGGGGGTGGAAACATGGTAAAGGACTGGATGTGGGCAGCTGGGAGTCCATAGTTCAAGTATAAAAGTTTGTAAGATATATTCCACTATGTTTCTGAAGGTCATTGCCTTTGGAAACATTTACACTTAATGGCCATGTTATCTTAAAACAAATAAACCAACGACAGTATTAGGACCTGTCTGGCCTGAATGTGGCCCTGAGAGGGGGAAGTGGATACACAGGGTCCAACCCCTGCAAAAGAAGCTATTTGTAATTGATACCCACTGGCAAGGAGAAAATCAGTTTTCTGCAGTGGTGCTTAATTGGTCTATCAGCCATACTCTAGGGCAGGTCCAATCCCCAGGAATAGTTGACCAATGCAAAAAGAACTCCATGTCTTTTGTTTGGGGTGGGGATGGGAGGGCTTCTGGTTTTTTGTTTGTTTGTTTGTTTGTTTGTTTTTTGGTCTTTTTGTTTGTTTGTTTGATTTTTGTTTGGTTTGGTTTTTCTAAATAGTTTCTTTGTATAGTCCTAGCTGTCCTGGAACTCACACTGTAAACCAGGCTTGCCTCACACCCAGAGATCCGCCTGCTTCCGCCTCCCACATGCTGTGATTAAATGTGTGTGCCACCACTGTCAGGTCTGTGTGTATTTTTTTAGAGAGAGCAGGATAGAGTTTAAAGTTGGGTGAGTAGGGAAGATCTAAGAGGCACTGAGGACATGATAAAAATAGATTGTAAGAATATATATATATATATACATATATATATATATGTATATATATATATTTAGTAAAAAAACAAAAAATAAGGTAGCAAAAATAATCGAACAAACAAACAAAAACCTAATCTTGTACTCTGGATAATTTGTAATATATTTTGTAAGTTGATTTTTTTTTTTAAACTGGGCCACAATAATACAATAGGGAAAAAGATGTGATTTAGGATTTGTCTGTTGCAGGTTGGCCTTGCCATCAAACCAGGAACGACAGTTGAATATTTGGCCCCATGGGCTAATCAAATAGATATGGCCTTGGTAATGACTGTAGAACCTGGGTTTGGAGGGCAAAAATTCATGGAAGATATGATGCCCAAGGTAAAAGAAATATTCTCTTCTGGGGTAAGGTTTTTACCATAGATATGTATTCGGTAACCATGACTTTGAGTCATGTCCTCTTTGGAGGTGAGGGGACAAAGATGCCTTCAGATACTGTCATACAAATAAGAGCTAATATTTTAACCATATTTCAAAATTCTTAAACTGTTATTTTTGTGACCATGTGTCACTTGAGAGTCATTACAGTTTTTGCAAAGCCATAACAAATTGAATATTATTAGCTAAGCTACTTTTGTAAACATAATATGCTTCAGTCTATTGAAATTGATTCCCCAATAACGTTGTGTATAGAGCTAAGTGCCTGTCAGCTGTGATGTTTGTGTGCTTGGTTGCTTTCCCCTGCATGTCCACTGTAGGAGTCACTGTTTCTTCATGTATGTCTAGGTTCACTGGTTGAGGACCCAGTTCCCAACTTTGGATATAGAGGTCGATGGTGGAGTAGGTCCTGACACAGTTCAGAAATGCGCGGAGGTGAGACTGCTCCTCAACTGTAACTAGGGCAGTTCCTGGAGATGCAATCTGCAGGACAGTCCTATCACCAAAGAATTGCTCAAGTTGATTTTTCCTCCCTTGGAAAAATATTTTTTGTTCAAATGTAGAAAAGTAAAGACCAAGTGAGTTTCTAAATACGTAAATACATAAATAGTTCAGTAGTAAACTCTGGTCTCCAGAAAGAATGTGTTGAATGTTAATCCTTAAGAAACCCATTAAGTTCTTTAAAAAGATACTTCTCAACTGAAGAAAACTAGAGAAATTTAACTGGCCTAATCTTGTTGTTCTTAGTATTTAAAAGTATTATCTATCTGTGTCTCATAAGAAATGACTATCTATTTCTGTTGAGAAAGTCAAGGCATAGTTCCCATTGGCCAAGCTAAGTGTTTTGTCTGGGGAGCCACCCTAGATTAGTTCTGCTCCTGGGTGTCACAAGGTGGCAGCACTGAGAACTGCATGTCATTAGATGGCAGCCCCTGCTGAGAACTGCAGGTAACCTAAGTTACATGGTCATTAGATGCCATTTCTTCCTGAGAACTCTAGTCACATGGTTGTTAGATGATAGCCCTTCCTGGAGGACTGCAAGTGATTATAAATCACATGGCTCATTTTTATTCAGATTCATCTATAATGGCCATGCTTTTCTGCTGGATACAAACCATCAAAAGCTTGGCAGTTACTGAGAATGCAGAGATAGGAGGGACAGGAATGTGAGTTGTAAGTTCCAGGCCAGCCTGGGCTGCATGGCTTGGTAGTGAAAGCAGCTAGACAGATGATCACTGAGCACATGGCCTGTTAGATCCTATTAAGTTGCTTTGTTTTGAATTCTTCTTTTCTGTGGTGCTGTTCCTGCTCAAATTAGAGACATGTTAATCAATAGTCCTATAGATTCCAACTCATGGAAAGATTGTTATTGGAGATGTAACACTCTGCTGTCCCGTGACTGGGTCTCATTGGAGAAATTTCCTCAATGAGTAGTTTCCCAGCTTCTAACATGGGTTGCACAACAGAGCCCTCAGCTTAGAGCCCAGACTCAGAGCTTATGTTTGGAGCTATCTTATTTGAACTTTGTAGGGTGTTTCCCCTACCCCTATCTCTGCTTCCACATTTAAAAATGTCATCCAGAGAGAATTTTCTAAGGCACTATAAGCCATGGTGGATTCTAAGAAAGCATAAAGATACATTCTTACATTGTTTCTGAGACAAAAATGACAAGGCAGCAATGTTCCTAGTGTTTTATGGATAGCTTTTCATTCTCCCTTCAGACTTTCTGGAAACAAATAGCTACAGTGTTTCCTCAGTGACCTGGGGGTCATCTGTATGCCTTAGGAATGGCCTGGATGGAATTGAGGACCTAAGACTTCAAAGCTTTATCTACATATGTATTGGCAGAGGTACTTGTGCACTTAGGACTAGTTAACCAGCAGTTTAGTGACTTGGTAGACACATTTACAAATAATTGTGTGGCCTCATTATAAACTTTGTCCCTTCTAAACTTGGTGAGCTAGAGTGCTGCAGTCAGCTTTTGGAAAAGCCTTGCAGAGGCAAGGGTGGAAAGTCTGCTCTGGGGCTTCTGTGTTGGTTTCTTCCATGCTAACGCATAGCCGTGTACTTCTTGCAGGCAGGAGCTAACATGATTGTGTCTGGCAGTGCCATCATGAGGAGTGACGACCCCAGATCTGTTATCAACTTACTAAGGAATGTCTGTTCAGAAGCTGCTCAGAAACGCTCTCTTGATCGATGAAGCCACAAGAAACCCAGTTTGTGCTCATGAAATTTTTTTTACTGGGAAAAGAAACTACCAGATCACATTGAATCGAAGCAGTGCTGCATTCCAGTGATTAAATTCAATTGTGCAGGATGTTCAAGAGGTTAGAAATAACTACCTTTTTAGTGATGCCATTTAGAGATTATAGCACGATGAAATGTTTATATTGGGAAAATGATTTTTTGTAAAGAGTGAACACATGGTTTTAAGATTACTGACAGAAATGTATCCTAATGCCTAAAGAGGAAAATTAGCTACTATGAAAACCATTTTTTCTGTATTTTTAAAAAGAATGTTCTGTTGTTTCTCTAGTTTATCCCTAAAGCAAATGACATCCATATTTTCTGTTTCATGTCATTTGTGGTTTGTTTATATGCCTGAGAATATGAAAGGAAGGGACTAAAAGTGGCATGTCATGGTCTGACATCTGAAACATTTTTATTTTTTACCTTACATTTACTAAAGAATATAAAAATAATGTATGAAGTTTCTGAAATGCAAGAACAGACTTTATCAAGGTATTTTCTTTGTCACAGCAGGCTATTCAGTAATTCCTTCCTGCTCCTGGTTCTCACACAACCACCCTTCTTGGTGCTGTGAAATAATACTGTTGTGTGACAGCTGTGAGCAGAAAGGAGCCATACAGTCCCTCTTGGACGCTCCACTGGGTAGAATTCAGGTTGGCCCTATTGTAGCTCTTTGATCTTAATAAAAATTACCTAACCTTTTTTTCATTATCAACTCTTATATGTGTTGAATGGAACTATAACTACCATGTGTTGAGAATTAAAAACATAACATGATCCTGAAGAACCTATAGTCCTCTGTAGGGCATGCTCAACACAAAATGGCAAGCAAGCATTGTGTATGTTGTGTGAGTTATTAGGTACTTTGGTATAATTCGATTAACGCCTAGATTGTCATATAATTGTTAAAACAAGTATTTTTTGGGCTGGTACTTAGAAAGGGTCCAGTAAGCATGTTTTCTGGTGTGTCCTACTGCTCTGATTACAACCAGCTCTTGAGAGGTGGATTAGGAAGAAAGTTGTTAACTTTTTGTATTTCAGTACCTATAGCTTCTAGCAGAATCAGAGTAAGTCAAGAATACCCTGGAAAGACAGATTTGACCCCAAGGATGTCTATATAATTTCTATGAAATAAGTAGGCTAAGAGAAGACAGGATACAGACTTAATTCATGAACTAAGTATTAGTAACAGTGTTTCCAGTTATGGAGACAATGGGAATATGTATGGGCAACTTCATTCCCACTCTTGAATATGACAAGAGTACAACCAGTATCATGAAATTTCTTCAGGCTACTATGAATTTTGATAAATAGGTTTTAAATTACAGAAACACTGATAAATGTAGGCATGAAACAGAGCTTGCTGGGGCTTTTTCTTGCCCTGTAAGGTAAAGTTTATTAATACTTATTATTTTGGCTTAGGAAAAGTTTGTGCATTTAATCAAATCACACAATACAAGGCATATAGAAATAACTTTAATTAAAAAAACTATGTAGAAGATTATAATATCAGTCATGACAAAGATTTGAATTTATTTGCTGGGACAACTTGTATTTTTCTGGCTTTTGTTATCTTTTTCTTTAAAAATAAATGTACAGTAAAACTATAAGCAAAAGTTTGTAAGTATTGAATTTGAATGGTTCCCCCACCCCCCTTTTGCAGGGACCAATTTAATTTATAATCCTCAACAAAACCTTAAGTATGTAATCCCACAGACACTAAGCCAGGATTTTCAGGACTATGGGAACTATAATAAATTGAGTAACCTTTCTTTGCATAACAAAAAGTGGCTGATACAAATTGTCCTTAACTTTTATCTAGAAAAAATGGTATTATAGCTCCAAAAAGAATTTTCTTTAATGTACACTCCTCTGCATTCTACAGTAAAGTCTTAGTCTTTGAAAGAGTTGAATTCTTGATCTAGGAGCCTATTAAGAGTAGGTATTTGAGTACGCAATGGCAAAAAGAACCCAAAATAGAAGCTTCTAGCTGTACATTAGCTAGACTTACAACTATATTATGATTTGTATGTTGTTTTACATTTTAAATTGCTGTGTTGAAGAAGTACATAAAGCATGTAAAACTCGGTGAATTTTCAAAGACAGTAGTAATGTATCAATATATTAAACTATTAAGTTGCTTCTCTTAATTCTGTTAGGAGTAAGCAGAAAGTCTGTGGTTAGTCCAAGAAAGAACAATGATTTCAAATAAATGCATATTGTATTATTTGATATAAGAATTTCCATAAATAACTTATATTGGTTAAACAATTTTTAGAATAAAAGAAAAAAACAACTCCCTGTCCATAGTCAAAACTTTCAGATATCTGTTTTCAGTCCACACCTGTGTTATATATTCATGTCAACTTATTACATTGCATAGAGTAAGTAGTTCATACATGCAGTTTTAAGACTATGTGTGTGCAAGTGTGTATATATATATGTTCTGTATATACACTAGTATATTCTCATATATTATTGAGGCAATTTTAGTGAACTGCCATGAGAATAGAAATAAAGAATAGTTGTCATTTGATGCAAACCAACTGTATTGTCAGGGAGGGGCTCTTACCTTAACAGTTACCCCGTATTGTGATTTGGCGCATCATATTGCAGCAGTTAATATCTTAGTGCTTGTGATCTGTATGATCAACAAACACAAATTACTAGCATTTGTGTAGGTGAAAAGCTAGCTACTTCTGTGATTCAGGAAGGAAAAAAAAGCTTCTCTGGCCTGTTTCGTGAACAGTGAAAGATGAACACATGCAGCACATCCTCCTTTTCTGGAACTGTGATCAGAGAAAGTGGAAGATCCAGAAGAGGGCTTAGGTTTTGTTTCCTCTTTTCCTTTCAGTTACATAGTTTTCTTAATATGTTCCCTGTCACCTATTTCTTTTAACATTAGTAACTCCTATAGCAAAGGTTTTATACTCTTCCATTCCATCTAACTGCATTTTTGGAGGGTGGTCATCCTCTGGTGTAGCGCTACAGAAGACTCCATCGCGGAGGGCTGTGCTTGCCCCCTCAGTCTGATCCTTTCTTTCATCTTGGCATAATAAGGCTGCTGTATCCTCGTCCTTCAGCGGAAAAGCTCGTCGCTCCCACCACAAAGACTGAAAGGGGAAACATTTTCACAGTTAAGTTTCACCTAATTTGATTATTTGTTAAAGAATTTGTAATATCAGTTTTTATGATTATTCTCTGAGCATCTAAGTTCAGGTTTTATTTCCTCTCATGTCAAAATGCAATATACTTAGAATTTCTTGATTTTAAGGAATTATTTCTTTGCTAGGAAGAACAAATACTGCCATAGAACCCTTTCAGGGTTTCTTCCATTTATTGTACTTCATTTCTGTCTCATTATTACACATACACATTTGACTTTTTCTTCCTAATGTTCTGCAACTTGCATATTTCTATAGTCCTTCCATTCTTGATCTAGTTATTGTTCAACACCTTTTATGGGAATAGATGCATGAGTTTTGTGTGGTTCTAGGATATACTCTCCTACAGTAGGAGCTGGATTAGTGTGGAGACGAGTAAAACCCATGGTTAGAAGCAGGGAAACAGAAGCTGTGCTTACTGTCCACCATGTGCCAGTCTCCAGTGCTCAGGTCTGTTCTAAAAACGTGCAGTAGAAGCCCCATTCCCTAACAGGTAAGTAGGTAGATAGGTGGAAGTTTTTACCTATATGCTGTGCTCCCCAAATAAAAAATACAAATTGCTAATAAAATGGAACTAGAATGCTTCGCTATAGACTCACGGACATGGTAGACTGAACATCTCACTGAGTTTGACATGTAATAAACCAATTTTCAAAATCTACACAAGTGAGATGAAGTTAAAAGGCAATTAAAAGAAAATACAATCATGTCCCCTAGGCTTACCTTGATTTCTTGACTGTCAATTAAAGAAAGTGAGTCCTGAGGATACAGACTGGGGCTCTCTGCTGGGAGCTCGAGCGGGCTCTGGGCAGCACAGTGCTGGGCACTGCTAAGTTCACTTGAGTTTTCCTTCAGAACCTGGTCCTGCCCTTCTGCGTTCTTACTGTAAGCTCTAGCAAGGACATAGATGAAAAGATGTCACTATGGCACTACTGTTTGTTTTTCTCACAATTTCTACTCAAGGCCATCTGATGGTCTTCCCAGTGTTATTTTTATGAAAGTTTTTTATCCAAGTTAAGTATTCATAGTTGTCAGTTATTTAATTTTTACAAGACAGAAAGGGCCATGTACTTGCTCTTTATAGTCTGAATTCTTGGGTTATTTTATAGTTTTAATATACATGAAGGCCTTAATTCACATGTTTCCAGTATATTTCTGGAAAGTTACCTAGGATGTGGAAAAGAACTGGAATCCTAGAGTTTCACTTATATTAGGAGAACTCTTTACAGAACAGCTGAGCAGCTACGCAGAAAAAGGACTTTAATATTATTTAACTAATTGAGAGATGTACCTTAAGTGAAGAGGCAGCTGGATTTTACATAAACTGTTTTTTAGTTGTGGCTATATTAAAAATAATGAAATGTAACTATAAAAATAATAGAGGTATTTTCAAATAGATGCAAATTATGTCATATTTATTCTCCCCCAAAGTGTGTTTATGGGCATGTTTCTGGTTTTTGAAACAGAGTTTGACACTACAGCACATGTTATATAACTCATGGTCATCCTGCTATAGCCCCTGAATACAGGAACTCTGAGCATGTGCCAATATCCAATGTTTATTTTTTTAAAAATCCCATGAATTATTTGCCTTTTATACTAAAATAAAATTTCTCAAAGAATTTGTGTTAAGTATTTTTGAGGTGTTTGTTAAAATAGATTACCTAAACTCAAGTACCTAATGCTGGGTTCACTGTTGAAAGTACATTGAAATAAGTTGCTTTTAGATTTTGGAGACGAGGTCCTCACTGTGCAATCTGTACTGCTCTTAAACTGGAGATCTCCCGGCATATGCCACTGTGCTTGAATGAAATGACATGCTTTATATAGGATGTTCCTAATATTTTCCAGGTAAGCTAGCAGCACATATTAAAGTATTAGAAACTCATTGTATCAGATACAATTTCCCAGCTATATTTTAAATGTAAGTTTGTATATGTAGGTGCCACTTTACACAACAGCTGACATTTGCATCCTGTTATTTCCTTGTCAGTGGTCTTTCTGAATTTTATGGCTAGTTTCTGTTCATTCCTCATTTATTATGACTTTAATGTTTTGAACTTGGAATACTTGCCTGTTATTTCTTCTGTGCCACTTGCTTTGCTCCCAGAGTGACCACCTAGCTTGCTCTCTCTCTTCATATTTTTTGTGTCTTAGGGAGAAGACTTCATCAGAAAGATCTTCTGTCTGGTAAGATTTTTGAAACATGAACACAGGTTTCAAATAGTCTTTGAACATAAAGTTTGTTTTAAAACATCCTACTCGTGGCCCATGTTCTAATATATACCTAGATTATAAATGGGTTCACAATGCTCTTCATTTGCCATAGCTCATGGATTGTTTTGTTAATGTTTGGGGATAGCTTCTTGCTGTATTAAGGCAAGCTTGAATATGCACCCCTCTTACTTTAGCCTCTGGAGTGCAAGGGTGACAGGTAAGTGCTACCTTACCCTTTTATTACAAACTTTATTTATTCCACAGAGTGATTATGGATTATCCATTATAAAAGCACAGTGTTCTAAGAAACTGACATTGTCAAAAATAAAAAATAAAAAAAAGCAAAACCAATTGAGGTAAATCAGAATTTAGTTAACTGACTTAGTTAACTGGGTAACTCTGGGGAATTTGGCTTTCTTGCCAATGATCATTCTGAATTAGTAAGAGTGCAACATAAAAGCAAAGTGATTTAAAAGTAAGATACTGGTACTGAAAAGAAAGACCAATGGGGCACTGCTAATTGGTAGAAACTATGTATGTGCCCTCCACATAATTTTAATTTTCATCTGAAAAGGCCATCACCCTGGAACACTGACTGATTCCCGTCAGTGTTCTTAATGTAATTTTATCTATACAGGTTTAGAGTCCTTTACCAATAATTTCAGTACCCAAAAGTTGGCCGGGGCGGGGAGGGACTCAGAAATGCTGTGACAATATTTATTGTTACTGCTTTATCCCATTTATTACTGTGTATATTTTACTAAAAAATTTTACAAAAGCATTGATATTTAATTATTTCTAGGACTGTCCTTGACTCTTGGTATTAACACTACATATATACCACACTGGCTTTTATTTTGATTTGGCTTGGGAGATACACTATGTTATATATTATTATTTTTGCAGTCAGATTTGCAAAGGAACATTTTTTTCTAAAAATATCCTTTTGGAAAAATTATTTTTATAAATAAAAAAAATCATGGTTTATATTTCCTTTTAGACATCTAAATATGAAATTATTTAGGCTTTATAATATTTAGGTACAATTATCATATTAAACATAGGCAGCTTACCTCTTCTTTGCTTAAGTTATGTTCATCGAGAGGCTGAAGAACCACCATCCTCCAGCTGTTGAAAATACAAAAGAATTTTAAACAGCTTTTATCCAAATATAGCAGGTTTGTTTTCTAAACACAGTTAAATACATTTGAGTGTTATTTCCTCAAGACTTCCATAATTCAAATGGTTGCATTTTAAGAGTTTGTCATTTTAAAGAGATAAAAAATACTTTTATAAGAAAAAATAGAAGATGAATCTTTATACCTTACAGTGAATAGTCTTATCCTCATAGTTGGATTTTCTAATTATATGCTGTCTTTTAATTAACTCATTGGTAAGCTGATAACTGGCTTGGGCAAAAACGAGGAGAAATCTAACCTGCTTCAGTGCTGTCCTGTTTTCTTCAGTATGGAGATGTATACCGTGCCCCCTTTTAAATTAGTAACTTAACTGGCTCACAGAATTCTCCACTGTGAGTTGAAAACATTGTTGCTATGAAACACTATTACCCACAACAATATTCCTTATTTTAGAAAATGCCAATCCTGTAGCTATGTTGACTAGTGCGTACTAGTAGAGTACCAGACTAATTCCTCAAATTAACTGTGAAGTAGTAAATGAACTTCAGGAATTAAAATGGAAATGGATGGGAATTAATATAGCTGTTACCTGGCCCATGTGCTCATCTCCAACTTTTTCTATTTCCTGTGCCACATTCATATCTAAAAGACTGCTTTCATTGTGGCTATAAAACACCAGTGAATGCATTCCCAGTGAATGCAGATCTATGCATGGATTCCAGGATTGCCGTAGTCTGGTTCTTTTCTAACTCAACCTTCTTGTATAAACTATTCCAAACCTCTGTGTCTGGCTGGACCTTGAACACGTGTGTCTATATAAATAACCATTCTTACTTTAATGGAATATTTTCCTAAATACTCCCTTTTATTTTTCTATTCGACCTTTTTATTGCTGAATTAGAGATAAATTAGCAGCTCCTTTTTGTTTGTAAGTATTACTGTCTTAATGGTGTGAGTGCACATGCAAATATAGTTGCTTTATTCTTTGAAATCTTTGTAACCAAGTATACCTCCATCATAAAAAGTAAGAGCTGTTTATTATAGTGTTTACACTGCTGAAAAACCATGCTAATAAGTGTACATAATGGATATTTAAATATAACTAAGTGAAAATCAATTTTGAATGCTAAAGATAATCAGTTTAATATAAGCTTTAATAAGAGCTTCCTTTTAGTGTTTCCCTTCTATGCAAATAGGGAAGGGGGAACATTTTCCTTTTAGTTAAAACTTGACTCTGAATTTAAGTTTATTAAAGAATGAAGAAAGAAAACAGATGTAAGTATACATACCGTGGAGTAAGTATTTCTTTATACTGGAGTTTCTCTAATTTAGCTGGTGCTACTAATGACATGGGAATCACAATATTATCTATATCGTAAGAGCTCTCACTTCTTAACCTCCGTCGTGCAGTATTCTGTAACACAGAATTATTGTACTAATTTACAGTAATGTTTTAGTTACCTGTGGTGATATTCCTTCAGTAGTTACATAAAAATAATTCGTAGTATATCTGTGACCTAATTTTTGTAAATTTCATTATCAAATCTGAGTATAAAATGCTAAGAAAGCATCTTTTGTAATCTAAAACCTCTTTTTTGGACCACATGTAAGTTATATTTTGTGTAGAAACACACGCGATTATTTGAAAGTCTATGAAACTTGGGAAGACCCTAGTTGAAATGGCTGCTGCAGATCTTCGTGTATGTGCTCCTGGCCCCTGAGTGTCAGTCTGCCCATTTAAACCTTAACTGTGACGTATCTACTCCTGGGCAGCAAATAAAATAAAATAATTTAAGAACAACACAAATCCCACACTTTAGTTTTGGATATTAAACAGTAGAGATGGTGATAAGTTCTTAACATAAATGAGCTGCTAGCTTCCAAGTAAAAATGGTTTATTTAACCAAATGTACTATTTTCTATTAAGATAGTTCTAAAATATACTGGTGAATAAGACTGGCATGAATTAACAAAAATATTCTGACAGTTTTTATCAGCTTATCTGAAAAAAGTCTAAGATTAATTAAAATTTACAAGATTTAAAAAAAACCTACTTGTGCAGATGAATTTTGGGTTCTTGATGTAACATTGGCATTAGAGACAGCAGTAAAATCACAGTGGGATCCTGGTTCTGTACGTTGAAAAGCAAACTCTTCAAATCTAGTTCTTTCTCCTGCTGTGGAAAGAACCCTTCAGAATGTCACATGTTAAAAATGACCACATGTTTTAGAATTATTTTCCAAAATAAGTGAGAAGTGGTTGAGCCTTATTTTTTTCTTTTTTGTTTGCTTGCTTTTAAAAACATAATCAGAAAACAAAAGAAAATTATAAAACAAGAGTCCTGCCTATATTCTTGCTACCAAGTATTTCTGGGTCCTCAGTGTTCTCTGCCTAGTACATTTTGCATTGTTCCTTGAGTAACTTTTTTCATTGTCTTTTCCTTATTCTTGTTTGTTAAGTGTACCATTCAGGCTGTATTGTCAAGACTGATCTTAAGTTTCCTGTCTTTTTTCCTTATCTTTTCTTGTCTTACTTTCTGGGAGATTTCCTCAGGTTGACCCTCTGAGTTTTTGTTTTTATTGAATTTCATTTTATTTTTATTTAATTTTAGTAAATTCTGAAGGCACTTGTTTTCTGGTATTCATTTGATATAATATTCTATACCTATTTTGTGAATGAAATTCATTTTCTCAGAATATTAATTTTTGTTACCTAATTTTATTAGTATTATTTGTTTTGTGAAGTTCTGCTTTTTATTCCTAACTGTAAGTATATTTGTGTTCCTTTTTACTCATTTAGTGCTATTATATGTATTACTTCAGTATGGATTCTTTTAAAAAAAGAATATATTCTTCATAATGTAAAGTGTAATAGAGCCAACTCTATTTACATTTCTTCAGTATTAAAAAAATATTCTGTATTGGTTAGTTGCTTCAAAATTGACATATTGAAATTGTTAATTGCCTTCTAGGCTTCTTTTATCCCAGAAGAATTTATTTTTCAGGGCAATGTCTTGTTAGGGACAAGCCAAATTTTCCAATTTTTGTGGTTATCTATTTATTTGTAGTATACCATTTTATTTGATAAATTTGAATCATTTCTATTTAGGTCATTAATCTATAGTTCATAGTGTATGTTATTATGAGTTTGTAATTTTCCCCATGTATTAGCACATTGTATATATGAACATTCCTTAAAGGTTAGGTGATTTTTGCCTGTCTGTTCTTAAGAGACACTTAAACAAAATCTCTAGATGTGTTTGAGAGATTGTTCATTTTCTGCCACAGTGTGTTTGATCAAATTGTACTGATTATAGATGTGTTATTTAAAGTGTAATTTCCAAAGACACTAGAGATAAATTTAGATCCATTGTATAATTTATAAATCAGTATAAATTAGCTTCTAATTTATTGAGTATGTCCATGTTATTGAAATATACCATCTGGGAAAGATTTGATTCATGAATATGATGTGTGTTAAGCCAATGAATAAGAACCAGATGTGTATAGATTACTTTCTCTTCAAAATATATCCTGCTGTGGTTTTCTTCTATATCATTAAGAATAACTATCATCTCCTAAGTCCCTACAACAAACCATACTTGATACTTTTAGAACAGGTCTGTTTTCAAACACTACCTCTTGTTAATCTTCTAAATGTGAGTGAGGAGACTCCTCAAGAGAATGAAAGGGGGCGTAGAAGTTCCTCAGTTGAATACTGATCACTGTCTCCAAACATAAGACATTTAGGAATAGTCGGAAATTTCTACCAAATAACCTTACACTGACCTAGTCTGAGTCTAATGTAACCCTGGATACTAAATCCAGTACAGATAACAGCCTACAGAAATCAAGTAACTGAAAAACAGGAAAGAAGTAATTAAGTGTACAGATAGCCACCTAGCAAATTAATGAATTAAGTTCATGAGTATAATCAGAGGGACATGGGTGCTTTTGGTAGTTAATGAAAAGTTCTGGATTATAAATTCCCACAACACAAGGGTTCTTTTTCTAATGTAATTTTTTATTTTCAATATTTAAAACTAATGGTCATATCTTCATTTTAACCTACCTAATGCTGTTTCACTCAAGTGTCTCTTTTTTCTTCCCTGTAATAGTTGTGCAGATGACTGTGACCTTATCTGAGGCTTACATATAGGTGAATATCCATTTCTCCACTGATTCAGAGAAGTCCCTTGAACTAAAACAAACGAAAAGAAAGTGTGTAAAGTTTTTGTCCTATAACAAAGACAGTGAGCAGCTAATTTGTGTCTGCTTATAATGTTGGAATTTTTAAGGTATTAGTTCCAAATTACATGAAATGAAATAAAAACTCAGTTACCAAGATAGAAGGTTCCTAAGCTAAAAATAAATAAAATAGTAGGATTTCTCAAAAATGATCTCAGAAAATACCCAATTTCCATTTTTGTTCTACTTCGTTACAAGTGGGTAAAAAGAAGGGGCTATGCTCTCATTATCTTCAGAATCAATGAACACTGGTTCAAATATGTGAATCTTCGATGAATGACAATTGAAATTCTGAGGTTATCCTTAAATCTAGAAACACTCTGCACCAGGTAAGCATCATCATGCCATGACACAAGGGACTCTGAAAGCAAGAACCTCATTTCATCCAACTGTGACAATGATACCACTGTTATTTAGCTTTTAAAACCTGAATTCCAAATAATTTGAAGTTAGTATCTCTGCCTGAGTTTTTTCATCATATTTATATAAGCAGCTGTCTTTGAATTATGAGGATTCAATAAATTTAGTTCTCCCATGGGAAATGTGCCATAAATGTTAGCTTTATCATCTGAGTGCTGTGTATCTGAACTTCATAGTTCAAGTATTGGTTTACTCAGTACCTTGGCTCCTTTGGGGGGAGCAGGGGATAAAGGTTTAGAAATGTGAAAAGGGAAAAATAAAAGGCATAGCCTAACAGTTGTCATGAATCCAGTTACAAGATGGCAAAGCATTCTGAAAATGACAGGCCAGATTTTTCTTTTCTTTCTTTCTTTCTTTTTCTTTTTCTTTTTTTTTTTTTTTTTTTTTTTTTTTGTACATAGGCTTATTTATAGATGCAACAGAAGAATACAAATCAGATTTTGAAGCATCTCTACAAAACTAACATCCTATGGAATTTTACTGAAGAACTCAAAGCAAAAGTACAAAGGAAAATGGTTACCACAAAAATGTGATAAATATCAGTGTTTTTCTAGACCTGCAAGAGGATAAAAGTGGCAAAGGAAAAGTGATAAGGAGCAACTGGTAGACTGTGGGAGCCAGCATCTACCATGCTCAGTGAGGCTGCTTACAGAGCTTAAAACCCAGTTAACAGAGCCTAGCTTTCCTAGAGAAATAGGTTTAAGGTACGGTCCTCATCATCCCCTCTTTGAAATGTTCTGTGTTGTCTAACTCCAATCTGAAAATAGTTTTGAGTCCAAATCTTTGCTTCTCTTATTGATTACTGTAAATAGTGGTAGAACAGTACTAGCCATAAATATCAGTTTCAAATATGAGTATACAAACTCCTAAAATCTTCATTACTGACACCATAAATAAAACAATCTAGAAGTAAAAGAATCATCTTAAGGAATAATTACTGGGGTGTTCTCTTGAGTATAGAATAAGAAATCTGTAAAACCATGAAAAGTCCTAGAAGCCTCCTCAGAGAGCACTCATAAATGTTAAATATACTTGTTCATATTTAAAAGTTTAACTCGTTGATCCATGTAACAAAATAGCCCCAGCAAAAAAAAAAAAAAAAAAAATCAAAATTTGGGCTGGAAACACTTCCGCACTTGAGTAGACAGAATGAAGAAAATGGAATGATAAGAGCACAGTAAATGATGAGCATTTGAAGGAAGAGTACTGAATTTTCCCTGAATTGCTTGCCATAACTCCTAAGATCTCATACCTTTCACTTGAATGCAAAACATCTAATTTCTAAAACAAAATTTGTTGTGTGTCATAATATACAGAGATAAATATATCCTAAAAGTTGCAAGAAAGGAATTTAAAAGATTACTGTAAAGAAATGAAGATTAGTGAACCTGGATGTAAGAAAACAATGACTAGGGAAAATAGCATTCTGAAGGCATCTAAATTTTCCTTCCATCCAACAAATGGAGAGAACGATGTTAAATAGATACTTGGACAGCATAACTAAAGAGCTGAACATTTACATCAATTGTACACCTTTACTGTCAGTTGAATATTTTAAGCAAGTCCCATCTAGATCACCCTTTAATTGTCTTTGTTGCCTATAAGGTAACACTGAAGGGAAAGAGAACAGAATAACCTGTATAAAGGTGCAAAACACAATGGTGAAAACCAGCAAGCAGGACCCAGTCTCTGTTGTCAGAGTTTAAGGATCTCCCATTAATTCCCTAAAGTACCTTAAAGGAATAGAGGTAACAAATTGTAATCTTAAGTATCATTGGCTACAGTGATGAAAGGAAATGAAAAATTAGACTTTCAGTGTAACTAGGTTATTGTGTTGGATTTAATGTAACATAAAGAGATTTTAAAACAAGCTTGTAAGATCATAGTGGATGAAGCAGCCTGAGCCCTGAGTTTTGGAACTGCTTAGAGGTTATGACAACTTTGACATACTCAAAATTCACGAAACAGCTAAAACAATGCAAAGAATTTCCATATGCTCTTTCCTCAAATACTCAGACCCTCTTCTGTATGAATTCACTTTTTGACATAATGTTCCATTACAAAATACACAGTGGTTATCAAAAACAAGATCTTTTATATAGCTTCAGGAAATAGTACTAACTAATTTATAGACTTACTCATATTCACCAGTTATCCCTGTAATCTTTATGAACTCTTAATTATGTATGTGGTACATTCTTTAGGTCTACTCTTAAAGTCCTATCTCAAGGAGCTCTGCTTCCTTATCCATACCCTGTAATACTTTGATAAAGATAGGCCTTTGATTTGGCTTTGTCTGGCATTAAACTAATCATGTATTTACTCAACTTTACAATTTGACTTTAAACCTCTCTTCTTTGAAGTCAACACAGCTTTGTAAGTATAAAATGTAATAGGACAAGATAAAGTTCTGTGGTGAGCCAAAGATCTGTCTGCTTACCTCCCACGTTTACTCAGCAGAAATACCAGGCTATTTGTAGATACTTGGAACAACTACATTGTCTTATGGCTCCACAATGTCTTTATTTCCATTATTTAAAGTCAACATTGCATGTAATAACATATTCCATAACGGTGCCAATGTCTGAGTGCGCTGAGACTGAATGAGTTGAGGTGCAGAGTCTTGGGCCTCACTTCATGAATCTGAAGCTGCATTCTAACAGTATTCTTCAAGTAATGCTTGCATGTTGAGTTTGAAGAACACTCATTTGGAATCTTCATCTTTGTGTAAATTCCAAAATGGAAGTTAGCATCTTTATTTTTCTGGAATTTCTTTCTAGTTCTCATCATCCTTAACCTCTTATTGCGTTATCTTAGTTATGGATTTTTACTATATTTCTTTGCAGCACATCCTGTAATAGTTATTTTTGACTTTCTCCTTTGCTCTATCTGTCTGTCTGTCTGTTTATCTAAGCAGAAGTAAAACAAAGGAAATTAAATATTTTATTTTTATTATATACTTATACAATATATAAAATATATTTAATTTCCTGTGCTTTACTTTTGTTTTTCACCATTTAATACTCGGCTTAGCACCGAGTACTTTCTCTATGTGAAACCTACTTTTATTTTGGACATAGGAAAAATCCTAATGCTTATTTGAGTTAAGAATGGTAAGGAATAAAATAGGGAAAAAGAAACTGGTACACAAAAGAATATTGTAACGTGAAACTCAAGTATATTGTACTTCACACCTTTAAATATTTCCATTTTATGTGGCATGTAACATATTGTATTCAACATCAATTCATTTCCTAATGTTTATGCTACATCCTTAAGTCAGGAAAACAGTAGATTATTAGAAAAAACACAATCCCCTTCTCTAATGCATTGTATATGCTTACTTTTGCATATTCCCTTTCACTGAAACATGTATATTTTATAATCCATACATATCTCAAATATAGTCATAATTTAAATTATAAGTCTGTAGGTATGTTCACCTCATACTTTACTGCTCATTATTACTTGGGTATTGCCTAACATTTCTCCATCTATTATTAAGGCATTCTGTAACTGCTAGACCTCCACTGTTAACACCACCATCATAAGGAACCACTCTAACAGTCTTAGAATACTGTATTTTGGGGTTTTTAAAAAAGAATTTATTCTCAGGATAAATCTCAAAGAGTAGAATTATGTTATATAGAAGTACCTCAACATAGCCTATATTTTCTAATACTGCTTCTTCTTAAGTGTAGGTAATTGCTCCTTGCCGTAGGTGTTTGGATTTTTATTCTGTAACTTCTATTATGAAACTTTTTAAGACATGGAGACTGTATAAAAATGACCTCCATGAATGTTACACCCATCTTTAACATAATCAACTAATAACTAATCTTGTTTCATCTCACTCTTGCAAACCTTTATGTTGCAAATTTTAAAAAAAGTCTACACTTATATCAGCATGAATCTCTAAAGAACTGATAAGTATAGGTCTAGTTAAGTGGTCACAATACATTATTAAAATGACAATATTTCACATACAGCAAAAATTCCATGTTCATATTTGGATTGTCTGAAAAGTATATTTGATAATAAGGGGGGGGTTGTATTTTTCATTTTTATTTTTTAAGCTGGGTGTTGGTAGCTCATGCCCAGTTACTTTGGAGGCAGAGACAGGTGGATATCTGATTTCAAGGCCAGCCTGGTTTGCAGAGCAGCCTAGCTGTACAGAGGAAACCCTGTCTCAAAAAAAAAACAAACAAACAAAAAAACCCAGACACTTTTTTTTAACTTTGTGTATATAACTAATTTCGTCATCACAATTCCAACAAACTGCTTATATTGAGTATGATTTATACAATAACGTTTTTTACATAACTGTAATTGAAAAAGAATACTCTTACATTGTAGTATTCTTTGTTTCCATCCTTAGATGAACCTTTAAGATAGTTTTTAAAATTGCATATTCTAGTGTACACTTAATGAATTAACATAATTTTGTCATGTATGTTATTACTAATCTTACATTATCACAAAAATGCTGAGACATTTCTGAATAAAGACATATCTAAGATTAGATTTTTGAAAAAAATTGGGTTATACACTTTGTAGTCCAGTAAGTATTTTTAGTAGGAACAAAAGTTGTGATTTGTTTTAAAGCCTCCAAATGAGTCTTAGTGCCTCTTAGTGGTGTTACGTGTTACGTGAAATATTCGAGAATACTGTTTTTACTGTATCAATAGGAATTATTTAAAACGTTTCATCTTATCAATAGGCAAAATATTTAAACATCCACAAAGTGTCTAACACACAAGTTTTTGGTAAATGTTAGATTCTCATTTTCATTATAATATAGATTTTCTAGTTTTTTTAAGACACTATTAACATATAGCTCTTTAATCCATCTGAAATATATATAAGAACTCATCCATCTACATTTGTTTTAATATGCTATATGAGGAAGACTATAAGTCATTATTTAATTCCACTGAGTATAAATAAAAGGTGACTAAGAGCACAACCTTTAACCCAGACTGTTCTCTAGGCCTACCTCACCGTGATTTACTTATTCAAGAACAGCAGTACCTGCCTTTTGTAAAGTACCTTCAGATACTGTCCATATATAAGACTACATCAAGCATTGTATGTATGAGTGTTTTGTCTGCATAAATGTATATGTATTGTCTGCATACCTGGTACCTGTGGAGGTCAGAAGAGGCCGTTAAGATTCCTCTGGAACTGGAGTTGCAGATGGTTCTGAGTAACCATGTCGGTGCTGGGAAACGAACTCAGGCATTCTGCAAGACCATGTGCTCCTAACTGCTGAGCCACCTCTCAAGCCTCTTGGCATTGACTTTAATTGACTAATGCCTCCTTACTAAACTATAGGAATACACAGGAAGTCCTTGTTCTGTCTCTAGCCTTTTGTTTTATATTTATTTAGTTCCTTTGAGTTGGTTTTGTTCAGTACCATCAAACTTCATTATAACTATAAAGCATTTTGATACATGACACCTTTCGATATTTGCTATCTGTCAACATTTTCTCTGAGATAAACTTCAGAAGGGTTTTGTTCAAAGAGAATGTTTCAACCACGCATGGTGGCATACACCAAGAACCCCAGGGTTTAAGAGGCTGAGACGGGATCATGTGTTGAAACAGCAAAGCTAGCTCACTGTCCCACTTTGTCCAGGAAGAACCATTGTAGCCCAGGCTTCCCTAATCCTGGGAGTCCTCCTGTCCGCCTCCTAGTGTGGGGATGTAGCAAAAGGGTTCATAATAAATGTAACTTTAGAATGCTCTCTTGCTAAGTGTAGTGGTGCGCTCCTTTAATTGCAATACTTGGGAGGCAGAGGAAGGCAATTCTCTTAAGTTCAAGGCCAGCTTGGTCTAAACTGAGTTTGCTCCAGGACACACAGAGAAAACTTGTCACAGAAAACAACATCCTTTCCTGGTTCTAATTAAAATTCTCTGTATACAACAAGATACAGAAAAGAGACATCTTAAGTTACAGTGTCTTCTAACCAGAGCAGTTTATTCCCTCCACAGAAGAACATCTTTCATGCTATGTCCCTGGAAAACTCTTAAGTTATGAAAGTTTTCTTAATAGAGACATTGCCATCTGTCTTGAATGAAGACTGGGTTCCTTTCTAGCTACTGCTAAAAGTTGGTAGGTCTTTTTGCTTTTTTAAATTGGTATTCTCCCTCTGCCTCCCAGTGCTCTTAACTGAACTCAGGGCCTTTGAACACTGAGCAACACACAGTCCTACTTCTCAGACCTAAAATGGCTGGTTTTTTAATAATGAAAATCATTTAACTTACATTTATTTTGCAGGTATATATTTTTTACCTGGGAATAATCTGTTTGCCTTCTTTTGATACTGAATTGACAGCTTTGCCGAGAATCAGAAATGGTGGGCTTTTTTTTTTTTTTTCATTCCTTTTCAGAGTGCTCATAAACAGGTCATTATAATCTTGAGATTTTATATATAAACATTAATTCATTACTTAAAATTATAGAAGCCAACTACAATTTATTGTGATTTATGTCATGAAATAATATAAATTTTTATTCAGAAAAACTTAAAATACTATATATTATAATGGTTCCCAGGTTTCTTGTTCATATCATGATTATATTCTTTCTCAATATAAACAATAAAATACATGCTATTCTATGATTTTTGACATGTCTCCATATGCAGTTGAGCTTTATTTTTTTCAATACTACCAATTCCTGTAATATTTCCCCCCTTCAGTACTTCTGAGCTATAGAAAGATCACCAAGTCTACTATAACTTGGTATCCTCAATTTTACCATATAATACTATTTTTTACTTGTCAGTACTTCATAACTTTCATTCAGTAGGTATCATACACTGTAACCTAGTATTGTTCCTATGTTCATTCTCTCATTCTTTCATCCATCTATTCATTCTCCCTGTTCCTCTTTTCTTTCCTCACTCTGTCTCCCACTCTCATCCTGTCACCTTCCACCCTGTCCCTCCCCTTCCCATGTCCTAGGACCAAGGCCCCCAAACAATAAGCAATCCACGTGCTTATGTGTGTGTGTGACTTAAGGGAAAAGTATTAAAAATTAAGGATTTGCATTTATTCTTTTGTTAAATTTTATTTACTTAAAATGCAAAAAAAGAAATGTGGGCAATGTAAAAACATGTACAACTGCACGGGATTTGTAAATGTGACGTACCAGGTGGCGGAGCTATGACACAGTCACCTACGAATGGATTTTCAACAAGCTCTCCTTTCACATCAGCCTTCTTAAATAAGGTCTCAAAATGAAGGTGAAGGGGCATCTCTGGAAAAACAAAGAAAAACATTATTTTTGGGAACACTGCTTTCATTAGCCCAATACTAATTTTGTTTTCTTTTAATCAATAGTACGTAAGCTTAAAAAAGTTTACACAGTAAGAAGTTTGTGAAGTACAAGTATCAGAGTACGTTTCCAAGAAGGTTGGTAATAATGTTTAGAAAATTACTAATTTAGTACACTTAATAAACAAGAACCTAGCATATGAACAACCAAGATCTTCCTTTAGTATGTAAAAAGATGAGTCATTATAAATGTAACTTAGATGAGTAGACACAAATGCACCCAAAAGATCTTTACCAAAACATTTAAAATAATGACATATGTATATCTATATATACATACACACACACACACACACACACACACACACACGGTTGTTACACAGGGAATCACTGCTACAAGCAGAATACATGAGACCATAAAGTTACACATTCTTTGACATGAATATTAAGTGGAGCTAACTTTATAAAGACTAAAATTCACAGAGAAGCTGTCTTCCTTAAGGTAGAGGAATTAAGTTGAAAATACTGACATTTTATATTTTAAAAAGAAGCCAAGTTACAAATGTGATTTACGTTTAATTTGTTGTGTTAGAGGGTGGTAGGTTTGTACAAGTGCCACAATGTGGGCATGTGGAAGTCAGAGACACCTAATGGAAGTGGGTTTTCTTCTGCCATGTATGTCCTAGGGATTGAACAGGGTTTTCAGCCTTATGGTAAGTGCCTTTTACCTGGTTATTGAGCCAACCTGCTCAGCCAAACTTCATATTTAGTAAGGATCATAGAATTTGCAGCAAAAACATGAAAGATTAAATGGGAATAAAAATTAAATACTGTGTTTTAAAGTGCTTCTTAAACTTTCCAAGATTTTGTTTGCTAAATATAACCTTGGTTCTCTGAAGACCTATTGCTGTTCTAACAAGAATACCCTGTGTTCTACCACTGTGAGTGATGGAAACCTGGCATAACCAGAGATGGCCCTTGTTCTTCCTATATACCTCCCTAAAGTACCTTGTGGACTTTTAGCAAAGTATTTTATTTATGTTTTGCATTTATATATAGTAATAAAACTGGAATACAAGTACCACGAGGGATTTATAGTATCTGACACAGAGTAAATATTGAGATTTTTGTCAGATGTAAGAAGCTTTAGCTTTTAGATAAAGAAGCTAATCTTACTAGACTAAGACATCTTAGAGTATAGAGGATAAGTTTATGTTGATATAATCCCAGAGGTACAATTTAGAATCAGGTTATCTCAGCCCTCTGAGTTACATCAAGAGAGAAGTAAATTAGTTAATAATAAAGGGTAACAGTTTAGGTGATGGTGGATTACTTCAGCTCCTGGCTCCTTTTCCATTGTTCATTAGCTGAATGGTCTTGGATGCATAACCTCTCCAAGTTTAATATGCTCATGTATAAGATGCAAGGACAGCAGAATGTGCTCTTGTGGGGTTATGAGAATTGGGTAAAAATAGCCAGTGTGCTTAGTACACACAAATAGTTCCTGGGAATACAGTGAGGCCCTGTCTCAGCAATGCCCCCCCAAAACAAAACTCAAACCATTTTTTTAAGAGATCACCTGTACCCAAAAGATTATATTGCATTATAGAAAATACTCAAATTTTCATGAGGTGGCTTACCTGATGGCAATGACAGCACAGGATGAAAAGAGGAATCTAGTTTTGAAACATGTTCTCTTAACAGCTGGGACTTGGAACTCTGTTCCCAGTTATCCCAACTTAAAGGCGATCCCATGTAAGGTATCTGTGTTGCATTTAAAAATTCTTTTGAAGGTAAAGTCTACAAGGAAAAAAGGCAAAGGTTTCACCTTTTGTTTTAAGACTTGATCAAAGACTGTTACATAGTATGTATCTCTGTGACACTAGAACAGACTCCTGGCTTAAGTAAGTCACCTTGATAAAGAATGAAAGAAATTAATGCATTGGCCATGCATCTTGAGAAGTGTGACCAGCCCCTTTGGGTTTTTTTTTTTAAATAAAGAGCAGTATCCATGAAAATAAGTCTTTCTGCCATCATACAAAGACAGAATAATGAGAAAAGAGTCCATAAAATGTATCTCTACTTTGGTCATATTCAAATTTTTTAAACTAAATTCCTCCTATAAAAAGCTTTACACATCTGGGGCTGGAGAGAGCTAAGCAGTTAAAAACACTTTGTACTTTTCCAGAGGATCCAAGTTAGAGTCCCAGTGCCCTTATCAGGCAGACCACAGACATTCTACAGCTCCAAAGGATCTGACACCCTCTTTTAGCCTCCTCAGTCATCTGCATATACACTGCACACATTTTTTGCCAAGTTTTTTCAGTTAATTTTTATTGTTTCCATTATAAAAGATTAATTTTTATTTATTTAATTTTTTATTATTATTTTGTGTGTGTGTGTGTGTTTTGCTTGCATGTGAGTGTGGTGCCCATGAAGACCAGAAGAGGGTTAGGGATATCCCAAACTGCACTTTTGTGGAATTGTGTACTACCATGTTTGTGCAGGGAATGGAACTCATGTCCTCTTCAAGAACAAGTGCTCTTAACTGCTGAGTAATCTCCCCAGGCCTACTGAAATGAAATTAACTGTTATGTATTATTAAGTATATCCCCACATCTATTGCCAACTTTCTTATTCCACCAATGTATTTATACTGTCCTTTTATCTTCAGTAGGAGATAGGAATCCAAATATATTGCCCACATATAATACTAATTTGAACTATTGTTAATTATAATTTTTTGATACTTGGTAATACTAACCATACCGAGTGCATTCAGTTTCATTAATAGAAAACTGACCTAAGGAGATAGTCTTGTTTTGCAACTGATTATAATAGGAATGGCATGAATTTATAAATATTTCAAATGATGTGCATGGAGCTGGAGAGATAGCTCAGTAGGTAAAGAAAGTCCTTGCCAAGCAAGGATGCCTGATTATATCCAGCACTCGTGTAAAACTCACTCCAGGTGTGGCACCTGTAATCCAATGCTGAGGAGACAGAAGGATTCTGGAGGCTTAGTGGCCAACCAGTCTAACAAACTGATGAGCTCAAGTTTCAGTAGCCCCTACCTCAAAAGATGAAATAGGACTCCCAAGCTACTGTGGCCTGAAACTGCCATACTAACCCTCTTTTTGTATGAGGGTCACCTATCCTAGATAAGTCAAAGAATGTTCTCCTCACAGCAAATGGAAACCATCACAGAGAACTACAACTGTACCCAGCATACAGATGAACAGAGCTTAGGGAGCTGCTTTATTGTCCAACTCAAGAGTAGTCAGCCTTGAAACTTCATAAACATAACAATGAACTCAGCAGGTTATGTATTTGTGTGTGCACATACACGTGTGTGTTTTTAACAAATGCAATCAAAAGAAAAGGAGGGTATCAACTTGAGAATGGGGAGCATTGGAGAGGTTTGAGCAGTTGGTAAGATCTGTAAAGAGAAGGGAGGAAGTGATATAGAACTATTTAAAAGAGATAAGGTGGGAGAAAGACATTGACTATCAACCTCTCCAGCCATACACATACAGATGCACACACATATATATAAAAGTAAAATTTAGCTGGGCGTTGGTGGTACACGCCTTTCATCCCAGCACTTGGGAGGCTGAGGCAGGTGGATTTCTGTGTGTTCGAGGCCAGGTTGGTCTACAGAGCTAGTTCCAGAGCAGGCTCCAAAGCTACACAGAGAAACCCTGTCATACACAAAAACAAGTTTAAAGATGTTGTAGGAGTGTTTCGGTGAATTGTTTACCAGCATATATTCCCAGTTTTCCAAACTAACCTTTAATATAGTAGTTTCTTTTTCTGAGCGCATTGAAAGCACTACATTTTCCATGGTAAATTGCACTAACATATTTATAAAATAAAGGTCAAGTCAACCTTGGATTGTTTTGAAGAATTTTAGTAGAGGTTCATTAGGTTTACATTTGACTCAGCAATTGGCTTTGTTGACTTCATTTATCTTTGCTTTATATTACACTGATCCCTGCCATAGTTTTTTTTTTAAGATTAATCAAGTACTCTGCTATGTTTTCTCCTCATTAGCATATTCTTTTACTTTTTATTTCTATTGTATATTTGTATACATGTTCAGGTCTGTACGTTTGTGGATAGAGGTGCATTCATTCACATTGTGTTCATGTGAAGAAGCCAGAGGTTATGTCAAGTTGTCTTTTTCTGTTGCTCTCCAATTTATTTTTGAGGAAGTGTCTCATTTAACCTGATGCTGGCCAGCAAAATCAAGCTCCTCTTCTCTCTTCTAGAAGTGTGCGCCACCACACCTGGCTTTAATGTGGATACTAGGGATCTGTACTTGGGTCTTCATGCTTGTACAGCAAGCATCTAAACTGAGTAAGTGAGCCTGTCATTTACTTTTTCATGGTTTCTTATAGAATTTATAATGAAAGCCAACATTATTCTTTCACTTTTCTCATAAAACTCAGTAACATCAAATACGTTAATCCCATTGTTCTCTTTCCTGCTATGTAACATTGGTAGACTCAACAAAATTCTTTATTGACTTTTTCTTTCAATGTCTTAAGGAAACTTTCTGTCTCATTTGTTTTGTTTTTAAAGCAAGTTTTTCATAATGTGACCTTAGTTTGTATTGTAAATAACAAAAATTCCAGAGGTAGCAAAATCTTCAGTGACAAGATTTTGTCTGTTGATGGCCTACTTCTTCATAGAAATATTTTACCTGGAATGTCACATAGCAGGCAGAGTGGTAGCTCTCTGGAATTGACTTATATGGTCACTGGTTTCATTCTTGAGGGTTGTACTCATGACCTAACTACTTCCCAAAGGTAGGTCCTAGCTCTAAATAATCACATAAAAGGTGAAGCTTATATGTATAAGTTTGGGAAAACATTCTATAGAATTCCACAATGGCTCTGCAGGAAATTTTATGTCTTGATCACCTACAAAATGCATTAATTTGATCTCAGAAAGTATTAACTCACTCCGAGCATCAACTCAAAAGTCTAGCATCTCATCATTTATATGTATATATTTATTATTAATATACATCAAGTACTAGTAAAATTCTAAATTCAATTTATCCTTTGGTAAATTCTTTTCCAGTGCTGAACTCAACACACTATACACATAAAAAATGAACAGTAAGAGAGGAATAAGACAGTTATTCTTATTTGCCCTCCCCCAAAAAGAAAACACTTGTGCAGAAACAGTCAGGTTTAAAATATAAGAAACACCCAGAAAGAATTAAAAAGAAAAACAGACAATAGATGTGAGATCTGATAGGAAGTGAGGGGTTGAAGATTTAGCTCAGTGGTAGAGTACTTGCCTAGCAAGCAAGCACAAGACCCTGGGTACGGTGGTCAGCCAGGGTGGGGTAGGGGGTCAACAAATTATAATCCTTTCAAGTATGCATGGAACATTCACATATATAAGTGACTTTGGTTTACTCCCTAGCACTGACTTAGGCTGGTTCACAACCATCTGTAACTTGAGGTTCAGGGATCAGAAACTGACTTTTGACTTCTGCAGGCACTGAATGCACATGGTGCACACACACACACACACACACACACACACACACACACACACTCAAAACACTTGTACACATACAAAAAAAATCTAAAAGGCTTGGCTGATATCATACAGAATGTGTTTTTTAATCACAAGACAAATTTGAGATAATACAGTGATATTTGGAAATTCTAAATCTAGGATCAAAGGGGGGGGCATGAGATATCATAAAATACAAAGAAACTAGATAAAGGGAGGGAATACTTTCTGCTCTTCCAGGAGATCTGATCTTGGTTTGCAGTACCCTTGTCAGATGACTTATAAGCATCTGTAACTCCAGGTCTTGATGAGCTGACACCTCCTTGCTTCCACTGGTTCCTACCTGCTCGAGTACCCCCCACCTACAAGTCTAAAAATCTAAGAGACTTGTTTCTCCATCCTCTTGACTTTGGAATGGCCCTATGCTTTGCCTTTGTCCTACAGAATGCAGTAGAAATGGTTTGTGTCTTCCCTCTTGTCATCTTGGGGGCGTTGTTCTTAGGTGACATGAAAGGAAGCCATTTTTACTCATGGAATATGAGAAATCACAAGGTAAAGGAACTGGAGCAGTCAACAGTCTGTCCTACCTCTCCAAGGTATGAGTGCAGCTAGCTTCCTACAGCATGGCACAACAGTACCACAAGAATGTGCACTGCTCTAATTATACCTCATTGGTAGAGTATTTTCTCGGCATGAGGCAAGCCTTGGTTTCCATTCCAAAAGTGCAACTAGGATTACAGTCCAGTTCCAAAACACATATGTGAAATGACCAAAATGTGTTCTAAGAACACATTCCCTCTCGGAAATGACTTTCATATCTGAGTAAAATTGTGTACCATCCAGATTGACCATAATTACATGAGGCATATTTTTCTCACAGAAGTAGTGTTATGCATGTAGTAAATTGAATTTTCCAACTCATAAACTCTTTGGAATATAGAACTGTTCCAACAAGGCATTCCATAACCAATATTATTTCTCATTATCTAAAGAAGATACTCTTTATGGAATCATGTATATGTGACACACAGATGGTGAAGAGCTGGTTTCCTACTAGTGGCCTACTACTACTTAAATAATACTTAAGTCACACCCCCTCCCCTTTCCTTCATTTAATCAGACACCTCATACCTGGAATTAACCTGTTTCCTCCTCTTTCAACATTATTTGTCAGCTATAGATTATTCTCTCTGCCCTCACAGTACAAGAGATTATCTGAGACATTTGAGATGAAATTTAATTTGTCTATATCTGTGCCTTATTTC